TTTTATGATGTCTTATTTCTGTGTTTTTCAGGTTTTGATGTTGCAAAAACAGGAGATGCTCGAATAGGTTTTGTCGGATTTCCTTCAGTGGGGAAGTCTACACTGTTGAGCAACCTTGCTGGGGTGTATTCTGAAGTTGCTGCTTATGAGTTCACCACTCTTACTACAGTACCTGGTGTTATTCGATATAAAGGTGCCAAAATCCAGGTAAGAAATGCAAAACGGCTGTTATATTTTGTGTTTTAATTAGATTTTGACTGTTCTGATAACTGCTCTTCTCTGCCTGGATACATTAAGCTTCTGGACCTTCCTGGAATTATCGAAGGGGCCAAGGATGGCAAAGGTAGAGGGAGGCAAGTCATTGCAGGTAAAGCAATCATGTAGCTTGCAATCATATTACATTAAAATGAAAAAGAACCTGAATACAACATTTCTTAAGCTGTCAACATTTCCTCTTTGTTTTTTAGTGGCTCGAACATGCAACTTGATCCTGATAGTGTTGGATGTGCTGAAACCTCTGGGTCATAAAAAGCTCATTGAACATGAGTTAGAAGGCTTTGGTATTCGACTGAACAAGCAACCCCCTAACATTGGCTTCAAGAAGAAAGACAAAGGAGGCATAAACTTTACTGCAACGGTATGTATTAATTAAATCACACTTCGTGCCACTGTAGGGAAGGCATTTTGGACATTCTTATGGAGGATAAAATCTTATATTTGTGAGAGCAGAAAACCAAATTGTTAAGCAGAGGTCTTAAATAATAGACCAGTTCTCATAATCTGATCAGAGTCCACTAAGAATTGCTGCCATCTTGTGGATAAGGATGACATTAGAACATTATTTAATGCATGTCATAGATTTATACTATTTCATATTGGGAAAACTTAAAAAAAAAAAAAAAGTTTAATGTGCATTATAGCACATTATAGCCTAGAAATTGTTTAGTTATGCCTAAGCCTCTCTCTCTCTTTCCCTCTTTTTAATAGTGTGCACAGAGTGAGTTAGATGTGGAGACAGTGAAGACCATTTTAGCAGAGTACAAAATCCACAATGCCGACATAACTCTACGCAGTGACGTCACGGCTGATGACCTTATTGATGTAGTGGAAGGAAACAGGTGAGCTGCTAAATAGGACTGTTGGATTTCATTTGAACTGCCCTTTAAGTTGAAGTTGACACAATTGCTATGATTAAACTGAAATGGAAAGCCTCTGATTTAGGACCATTTTATTACCTGTTACCTTATGTTGTTTTTAAATTGGTATCAAAATGTGATTTAAAATTCACACACTTCATATACTATAACATATTTTGAATTTGAAGTGGAGGCAATGGTGTTCAAAATCTCACAACAACTTGCTATATTGTTTTCAAAGTGCTATTTAATTTTACTTTTATTTATATTTAACTTTCATATTTGAACAGGGTATACATCCCATGCATTTACGTACTCAACAAAATTGACCAGATCTCAATTGAGGAGCTTGATATTATTTACAAGGTACCCCACTGTGTCCCAATCTCTGCTCACCACCGCTGGAACTTTGATGACTTGCTGGAAAAAATGTGGGACTATTTGCAGCTTGTTCGAATGTAAGCAACATATGAAATGGTTTACAACTGAACATGTTTGGTAAAAGGTTCTAAAATGCAGTTGTGTGTTTGTGTTAACAGCTACACCAAACCCAAAGGCCAGCTGCCCGATTACACGTCCCCTGTTGTGCTTCCAAATGGACGCACATCAGTGGAGGATTTCTGCTTAAAAATTCATAAAAACCTCATCAAAGAATTTAAATAGTGAGTACTAGTACTTTTAACATATGATGTACTATTCTCTTTAGATTGCTTGTTTGTTTTCACCACAATACCATCCACAAACCAAAAAACATAATAAAAAATTACCAGCATGTTGTTTTGATAAAATACTACAAAATGACACATAATGATGAAATATTTTAAGGCAACACAAGCGCTTTAATCACAGCTATCGCTCTCTTTTGGTAAAGTGCACTATAAAAAGATACATTTTGAACATTGATTAGGCCCTCTTCTAATGTCTCCCAAAAGACAAAAGCATCTATCAATGTGTAAGTGCTACTGAGCAACACTGGCCCTCTAGGGAATGAGAAACCAAGCAGATTAAAAATGGCCATCACAGTAAATGTGAATTTTGTATGTTTTACTTGATACAATATTGTAGTAGTTAATTAATCAGCCTTAGAAATATTACTAATAATGACCTAAACCTCTTACTTTTTCAGTGCACTTGTGTGGGGCTCATCCGTAAAGCACAACCCCCAAAAGGTAGGAAAAGACCACATCTTGGAGGATGAAGATGTTATTCAGCTTGTGAAGAAGTAACTGGAAACGACTGCATGTACACATCTGTACAGTCTCCTATAAAGATACCATGCATGGATTCTAAAGCATTTGTGTCACTGTTTTTGATCTCATTTAAAAACAATAATGGAATACATGACTTCAAGTGTTGAGTATGTCCAATATACTTACACCATGAATAGTTCATATTGAATATTGGTTAAGTCTTGCACAAATCTGTAAAATAAAAAAAATCTTTAAATGAATTCTGTACTATTTGCCTTCACTCATGACTTGCATCTTGGCTGAGCTCAGCAGACAATGTCTGTACAGTATATCATCTTTCACTGGTTACACTGATTATGATTACAGAAGCGCATAGAAATGTTGCATCACTGAATCAGACTTAGCCCACTGTTCCTCATAAAAAGCTACTGGTTAAACATTTGTGCTACCAGCAACACTAGAGTCTGGCACAGAAGGATTCTTGTTTGAAAGCCTTGTCCAGCTAAGTGATTTATGTGACATTGATGATGACGGCACTTATAAAGGCTGACCGCCTACCCCCTCCCTCTTGTGGGGACGGCCACTCAGGTTAATCAGTTCATTCACTCAGACGCAGTCTGGGGACAAAATACGCCAGCTGTTCACAACTAACAAGCCTCCACAGAGCAAGATAAAGAGCATTTCATCAGAGCAACACGACTGGACAACTGCATTATCTAGTGTCTGTATGTTGCAATCTCTGCAGTCTGTGTGGCCATTTTGTGCTTGACCATTTGATCAAAGGCTGGCGCCAGACATAAGGATTAAGGAATACAGAAGCGGAGAATTAGAAGGATTCATGAAAAAAGTCATATAAATTGCAAAAAAATTGACTGTAGATGGAAGTCTACTACAATTGTGACAAATACTTTGGCTTGGACTGTTATGTTTATTATTTTGATTAATTAAAGAATATAACCAATATCAATTAAACCAATTAAACAGATGTAAAATTCAACACACTGTTGGGTGAAAAATGACTGCAGTGTAGTCTACAGTTTAGCAGGAGTTCGAATATCAAAAGAGGCTCATTTCTCACAATACCTAAGATGATTCTGAAGAAAAGTACAGCAATACAGATGCAAAAAAGTGACGTGTAGATTGGAATAAGAAAGTAGTAATATTTGAATGCTCTCTTTAAAGACGTAAGGAAAAGCTGGGTTGGGTTGAGCGCATTGCCTGACTGACTGGCCTGCAGAAGGAACAGCAGGATCAACCCTCGTCAGACGCCGCCTCTACCCCACCCCCTTTCTCCCTGTAAATTATAGCAGCACTTTAGCTAATGAAAGAGTTGAAGACCGGGCACTAATAAAAGCCATTAAGTGAATAAAGCACTTCCCCCTCTAACAAAATTAAAGAATCTACCCATTTGGAGAGGGAGGACTCTGTATTAATATTTATGAAATGCGGAACCAGGCCCCCCCAAACTCTCCTACCCATGTCCAATCCCGGGCTGACCAAGTCCTCCTTGCCAGTGCACCTATCCCAAGAGAACATCACCAACCCCTCCTAGCTGGAAGGAGGGGCAGGAGATGGGGACTTGAAGGGTGCTGAGGACGCAGTCAGGACAGTCTGTCTCCAGTTGAGCAGGCTGGAAGACCCCAAGACTTCACTCCAGAGCATCCTGACGCCTTCGTCCCACCAAAACCCGCCGCAAAGACCCGGGCCCCTCACAACATCTATGGGGCCAGAGGATGGAAAGCAGGTTCCATGAAGGTCAGGTGTGTAGACAGCAACTGGTAAATATTTTTTTGAAATGTAAATTTTTTTCGTAAGGTCAAAGACAACCATTGACAACCTTAAAAATTTTAGCGTACATATTTTGGAAACTCTACTGGTATTGTATCAAGTCATTTCTTGAATTAAACCCATGAAAAAGGTAAGAAAAATACATGTTTCATCAAACCATGACATACCATGACTATGTTTTTTTTTATTCGCCAAAACATTGCTTCATCATCACAACCTTCCCTTCACCACCAGTTTTAAAATATTCCAGTTACTTGTTCATTTTGACATGGGTCATTACAAATACAAATACTTTGGTCCATAACCGTATGTCATTTCATCACACAAACCGGTTCAGTTACCAAAAGTCTAAGTTGATTAAGGCACCAAGTGCTCTCATTTTAGTAAGTCGTCCCTGGAGAGGCTCAAAGAGACAGTAGAATAGGTAACAAGATTGCCAATTCTGTTGGGAGATGCAGGACTCTTTGCTTGATGATATCGCGACTACTGACATTGGTCTCAGTGACCGTTAACATAGTTAGCTGAAAAACGTCAAGTCTGGTTTAAAGTTAGATCTCGCTTAAGCAAACCAGGATAAAATTAGAGTAATTTCTTGTCTTGTGCTTTTGTCCTGTGACTTTACAGGTGAAAAAAGTACCGAAATCTGTTTGTTACTCATACTGTAGGACTTGTCGCTCCTTTGATTGTCTCTCTTCTTTGTTCAAAGTATACTAAAATCAACTTTGGTCTGAAAGTCTTTAATTGAAATTTTACATCAGATGTTAAACCTAAAATGCAGATAGTAAAAATGTACACTTTAGTCGGTGAGAAGGGCGCCAACATTGGGAGGGTGGGGTTTGTCGCAGTTTGTACGCAGAAAGGGTGTAGTCCCATTTTCCGCAGTGCGTGTGACCTAAGACAATTTTGTTTGATTCTGCAGATGTTTTAACCAATTGCATCGCCATTTTGGAATCATTACTAGATGTAATGACAACATTTACAAATCTGAATAACTTTAAAACAGACTTGTTGAAGTTATACGATACCCTTTAACACAGTAGATGGAAATAACCTTCAGTGTTTTCAGGTCATTTTCAACCCCTATGTAGGTGGCCAAAGCCTTCTGGAGTACGTTTTAGCGCTCTTATTTTCTCTTGATGATCCTGAACTGGACCCGAGGAAGTATTGGATTTTCCGGATTTCAGAATTTGCCCAAGTCCTCATTGTGCTTGATCTAACCATGCAGTGCGTCTTCTGTCCATGGTTGTGCCAAGCACCTTGGAGCCTTGTGAGCACCATCTGCCACTGAAAATAAAGGCTTAGGAACACTGAAACATTTGTTATAGAAATATGTAATTTCTTCATGACAAAATAAAGTGTTTGATTTGTTACTTTGTTTTCCTGTGTTTTGAATATTTGGGGACTGGTTACTTTTTTACAATAAATATGTAGAAAACTTGTGTTACCATAGTATTTTTAATTGAATTATTAAAACATAATATTTTAATCAAATCAAATAAAGGCAGCTCTCTGAAAAAAAAAAAATGCTCCAATGCTTACCTGTTTAAGCATTCTATGATCATCTACAAGCTGCTCTTTCAATGTGTCACATCTGCACAAACTATCAATTACAGTAAGTGCCCAGTAGCTTTTAACTAAGGCTAATAATCCCAGCCCGAGGGCCATATTTTAAAACAATGTTCTCTGAGTAAGGACTGCAGATACATCACAGATCAATAAATCAAACTATGAGACATTGTGCAATGTCTCAGGCACACAAAGCAAGGCTCCATGTCCATGAAATGCTCAAATTATATTGTATGCCTACTCTAAGGTTTCATAATTTATCATGGTGGTACAACGTAAAAAGAGTTCCTTTCTTACGACTCAATACATTCGCTCCTGTGAGCTGTCCATGTTAGTAAACCTCTCCAGAATATTAGCATCCAATCATAGTAATTGGAGCTATTACGTAAAGTAAGAGGTCCATGGTGATTTATAAACAAAATCTTTAGTAATGAAAAAGTTTGTGCTTGTGAGCACTGCAAACAAAAATCAAAAACCTTTTTCCACTCAATATGGTATATGTAAGACCACGAACCAAATCAAATCAATATTTCATTTTAGTTTCATGATCTCTTGAAATTGAACATGTTTCCCCTGAAAAAACAAAGACAGAAGTTTTTAACCCAAACGTGATTTCCAATGTCCCCTGCGCTCCCAAAATTGTGTAGTTTTTTTTATTTTTATTGGGACATAAGTGTAATTTCTTCTAATTGAATAGGTGTTTTATTAGTCTGCAAGCAACATGTTATGCCAAGCTTATTGAAACAGCATGCGCCAGTTCTGTGTATGTTGCAGAGCCTTTGACCTTACAGATCATCCTATTAGACTAAACTACACTGCCACCAACAAGCACTAGCTGCACAAACAATGACAGAGGAAGTCCACTGCTCAAATACTGATTAGATTTTTTATTTATTTTCTAGTTTTCCATTTCAATATCCGTTTAATCACATGATGCAAAATTATTAACAGTTTAAGTAATTCTTAAGTAATCAAAAAGACACACATCACAACAAATAACCTGCTGGAGCTCAACAAATGCATAATAGTATGAGTCAACTTATTTTGTGGATGCCAGACAGAATCTGAATACATTCATAACCACTGCATGAGTCCAAATATTCAGCTATTTTTTCAGTCAAAGCTTTCTTGTTAATGAGTACCTATATACACTGTATTCACTTTTGTTGAAACTGACAGATTTACAAAGAATGAATGTAATGTAATGTATTATTTACTTTCCAAACTTCACTTCATCCAAGTATTCATACTACAATATCCATCATAAATGCTCTTGTTTAAAAAAAAAAAAAGGTGAGATTAAAACTATTGACCACTAATAAAATAATGACAACGGTGACTAGCTGTAAACATTGTTCTTAAATTAGGCAACATTTACTTACACAACATGGTGCATTTTGTACATTCACTCCACCCCTAACGCATGGCATTTGATGTATGAATGCACTGTAAAACAGTGCTCGCCTGAAGTCAAATAGTGCAAAGATCAGTTATGCCTGATACAGCCATGGTCACTGGGCAACTAATGAATTGAAATGGGAAAAAATACATGCATTTTCTTTATTTACTATTTGCTGAAATGTAAAAGGAGATGAGTGCTCTTTACTAAACAGGCCTCCATGTACAAGCATATGGCATTTGGCAGGCATAAATGGAATAGCATTTTATTATGCCATGTCCATAAAATGCATTTTCCTTTTCATCAGATTTTATTGTACTTTTGAATTGCCTACTTTGTCAAAGGCTCATGATGGTGTTTGAGAAAAGTATTTTTGGATGTACAAGACATGGTTATTTTTGCAAATATGAACAATTGCATTTGTCATGTGTATTCTTGATACTAATGATACTGATGATACTGACCTTTAAAACAAGTTTACCATTGCCTTTCAACAAACTGTCCCGCCCTCATCAAAAACCTACAGTGCTTTTAATTCAATACAGTAACCGCTGCTATGGCTGAATTCACATTAGATATACAGAGTTGACTGCCTGTCTTTAGTCACAAAGACAGGCAAAAAAAAAAAAAGAAAAAAAAGACAAGAACATTTAAACACACAGTGCTTTGGCGTTAGCATTTCTACAGGTAGGAATTTCTGCGCAATCTTAGAAAAGTTTGCAGTTGCAGGCATCATTTCCTCAACCAAAATAACACTTATACCTTGTTGGCACTGTTGGCATTAAGTGGCTGAGTAAATAGAACACTGCCAAAATCACAAGTCTTAAACCAGATTTTCCATGGCAGCATAATGGACAGAGCATACCTCCACATGTTCCCTCAACTTAACTGTAAGATTGACAACAAATTTCTCCTCAAAACTGAAGAAATAATCTTGTGTTCAAGCAAACGACCCACACCGTGTTAAAGACGGAGGAGTTTGATGATGTATAAACACTGCCCTTGAGATAGAAAAAGGCTAATTTTAAGCATAGATTTGCCCAGAGCCACCTGAGTGTGGATTTTCTCCAGTAAGGCGCTCCTGGGAAGGCTGCCGGTTTTTGTCGCTGGACTTTATGACTCCTGCATAGTCATGGATCCCTACTTCCAGGTTCTTGGCTCTGAGAGCAGCAGCATGCAACTTGTCCAGGAAATCAGGCATGCCTAAATAAATGGTACAGTATGCATGTATGTTAGAAATATTCTCTTTTCATAAGTTTATTTTAAGAATTAGAGATGTACAAAAAATGCTTACCACTTGATACCATCCAGCTCACACAATAACGAGGAAACACAGTTTGTGGATCATCACTGTAAGTTAGCAAGTAATCAAATCCATTCTGTGAGACAAAAACAACATTATAAATATAAATTCTCCTCCTTTTGGAATTAAGTGAGGCATTTGACACAGTGATATTCTTATTGACTGACTTACACACCTCATACATTAGGGAAAGAAGGGACCATCTTTCATCAAAAAGATCCCTTTTGGCCTTCCACAGGGCAGTTCCTTAGCTCCCCTGCTTTTTTCACTATATACTGCCACTCTGCCACATTATAAAAGCACAATGTGTCTTTCCATAGTTATGCTGTTCCATCACAAGTTGTACGCTAGCCATAAACCAATGGATGAATGCAAATCTCATACTGAATGAAAAAAAAACTGAATTCTACTAGTGGGGCCTAAATCAGATGGCAGAGAAACTTGGGAACTTCAACCAGTAGGTTAAACCAATGTCATCAGCCTGGGAGTAGTGCTTGACTCAGACCTCAACTTTAACACACATAAACAAGGCCATCAAAGCGAATCAGGTCATATGTAAAATCAAAAAGATGCAGAAAAATTAATTCATGCATTTTTAACAAGTAGATTAGATTACTACAAAGCTGTAAAACTCACAGACTACAGCTTAATCAAAATTCAGCTGCACACCTTTCAGCCCACACTTCAAAAAAGGGCACAGAACACCTGTTGTAGCTAGAGATAAACGATACATACATCTCCAGCACAGGCTGATAGTTTGGCCTCGTTTACACTTACACAGGTATTTTTAAAAAAAGAGACATTTCCCTTCGTTTGTACCCATCTTTTATATGCAAACGACGAATCTTTCTAAAAACTCCGGCTAGAGTGGGGATTCTGGAAAACTCCAGTTTCACATTTGCATGTAAAGTGAGATAAACAGTTTTAGGAGCTGACGCGCCGAAAATGTGACCAATGTTTACCTTTCGTTACGATGATGAGAGTGTACGAAATACAGGGGGTGCGGGGGTCCGACACACCCGATTAACCCATCACACCCCCTAAAAAGCTTCAAAAGGAAAATTTTGAGGGGGTTAAAATTTATTTTATTATTTTTTTATCTTTCCATCTCTCTATCTCTATCTATATTAGGAATGGGCATGATTAGTTGATTAATCGATAATTGATCATTAAGTATTTCATCGTTTACGTTCATTTTTAATCGACAAACCGAATGTAGGTTGCTGTGCGTAGCAGGGTGACCAAAAGCCCGTTTTTCCCCGGACATGTCCATTTTCCACGTCTTGTCCTGGACGTTTTTTTTTAAATAAAGTGATGCAAATGTTCAGGTTATCATTACCTTTCATTGGGCCATTAAATTGAGCGTCTCTTGTAGCTCTCTGTGCATTCAGAAGGAGCAAGCAGACACAGACAGTCAGTCAGCCTGCAACATGCCAAAGCGCAAATGCACATTTAATGATGACTTGTACAGGAAATTCCCCGTTTTTCGTCCTGGTCAAAGCAAGTGAGAGGCCATGTGCACGGTGTACAAAGCAGGCACATATGTTTCGGTGTCCAGTGGCAGTGCCATGGACCTCAAAGCTCACCAGGACACCAAAAAACATCAAAAAGCGTTGCCAGGTGAGAGTAGCTCAATGTCGATGAGGAGGCCCCACCTCCCACCCCCCCGTATGGTGTCCCGTGTTTGACAAACACAGATATGGTCACCCTAACCTATATTCCACTGAGTCGTGTCCTTTAGTCCGACAGAAGTTGACCACATCAGCGTAAGAGAGCTGTTTTTTTTCTTTGTTTAGTTTATGCAAATTAGCCATGCGGTTTTAAGTTTTGTTTCTGTAAGACTTGCGCAAAGCTGCATTAAACACATAATGTCAAACGGGCTGATGTGGCGCTAGAGTGATTATGGTTTATATGTTGTAAAGTTGAATTTATTTATGCAGATTAGTAGTAATAATGATCATTTTAATATAAAAACATTAATGATTAATTGATAATCGTAAATTCTCCCGACGATCAATTAATGAAATTTCATCAAATGCCCATCCCTAATCGATATCTATCAATATATATAGCTATATATAGATATATAGATAGATATAGATATATATGTAGAAATAGATATATATATAAATATAGTCCAGACGCCATCCCATATAGACCTGGACAGGGTCACACCGATGTTCCCAATGTTCCTCCAACTGCAAAAAGAATCTATGTTCCCCGTTAACACCGCGGGCCATCCTCATCTCAAGTTATCACCATGAACTCAAAACAGCAGCATGTAGCCTAGAAGTTTGTACACAACTCACCACACATCAGCCCGGAGCAGACGCTCTGAGTTTGGGCAACAGTGCTAAACACACGGGAGCTCTCACCATAGCGCGCAGCCCCTCAAGACGGGGCTGGGGGTCCAGTGTTTGTCAGATTGGTCCGGAGGCTCCATCCTCCATGTCCTGGTTCCAGACGGGGGCGAGCAAGACCAGCGCGCAAAGGACTGGGTCAGAGTGCTTCAGTGCCGTCATCTGTGTGCTGGTTCTGTGCAGGGATAGCGAGAATGTGCTGTGGACTACAGGTCCGGTGGGCTGCTCCGGTCCTCCGCGCTCAACCATGGCTGGTTCCGAGGTGGTGCAAAGCATCCGGACAGATGCGTGAATCCCGTTTGGTTCATTATATGTTGTTCTGAGTGGTCCGTCCACGCACGTGTTTTTTTCCCCCGGGGAAAGGGCTTCTCAGGTGGAGGCACCGGACACCACTCCCCGCTTCAGCTCATCTGTTTCTTCTGGTGCAAACACTTTTCATGTGTTTGCATTTGCACACACAGCTGATGTATCATATCCATGACCAGAGATGAACAAGGGCTCGGAGGTCAGTGATTTTGCCACTTCTTTGACATATTTGGAGATGAGAGCCCGCTCAGTAATGCACGTTTTTCAAGGTATTTTTAAGTAATCCTTACAACTGTAATGAAATAAATGCTACAGGTTTGAATCTAATCCAGGTCCCAGAGGCTTGGTGTAATTATGACGGTGCTCGATGGAGAATTTATACAGGTTGATGTAAACGAAAACTTTTTTGAAAACAATGCTGTGTGCACGATGTTATTTTGGAAAACGGAGGGAGGGAAATATTCGTTTCTCAAAATACCCAGCTATGTGTAAACGTAGCCTTTGTTTTGGTCAATCTGCTGCCTAAAAAAATACACAAAACTTTATTTTAACACTTTAATATGAAGAGAAAATTGCAAAATGTGACTACTCAGCTCTCTTATAGGTTTATGGTTAAAAATAGCTGTGGCTAAGTTTAGTAAATTTTAATTACATCATTTGAGGAAAATTCATCAAATTCGGCTCTACATATCGGTCCAAAACTATCGGTAGAGCTCATCGACCATTGATTGCTCTCAATTTGAAACAATCAGTATCAACCATTAAAAAAACATATCTGATGATTTCTATTTTTAGCCCCCCTATATTGGACCTCAGTAAAGTTGGCTCCTCATCAAACGCACACCTACATAAAAACTATGTCAATAGTTTGTGGTATTTTGTGCTTCATAAAGTTTCGTTTGTGCTGTTTTAGTTTTTGAAATATTAACATTTCTTTCATAGGTAAAACTGGGGTCAGCCAGCCCCCCGGAAGCTTAAAAATGCTCTAAAATGCCCCAAAATGGTGTAATTCGTTTGTGCTTCATTTGTGCTGCAAAAAATTTAGTTTGCTAATATCTTAAGAACCATAACAGCACAATTTTATTTTTGGCTGATGACCCCCTCAAAATGTTATATAGTGCTCAAAATAGGCAGAAAATTATACGAAACATTTGTATTTTGTTTGTGCCATTTTGTGCTGTGACAATTTTCATTTATGTTAGTATATATCTAAAATTATTAATAATTATTTTTGCAGAAACTATATGGCGTAATTTCCGCTCAGCTGACGACAGCAAACTTCACAAAACTAGTGAAGATAAATGATCTCAGGCTGTGGGAAAGTAATATTTTATATAATAATACATAATCAAAAACAAGTTACAAAAGACTGATACATACTTTTGCACAGCCTGAGATTGTTTATTTTCACTAGTTTTGCAGAGTTTTGCTAAAGTTGCTGCCATCAGCAGAGCAAAAGTGACATCATATACGTAAGTTCCACACAAATAATAATTAATAATTTTAGAAATATACTGGCACAAATTATAATTGTCACATCATAAAACAGCACAAACAAAATACAAACATTTCATATAATTTTCTGTCTGTTTTGAGCACTATATAACATTTTGAGGGGTTGGATGACATCATCGGCTAAAAATAAAACTGCTAATATCTTAAGAACCATCATAGCACAAACAAAACTTTTTGCAGCACAAAACACCACTAACGAAGCACAAACGAATGACGCCATTTTGGGCCATTTTAGAGCATTTTTAACCTTCCTGGGGGACTGACTGACCCCGATTTGACCTATAAAATTATCATCAATATCTGAAAAATTAAAGCAGCACAAACAAAACTTTTTGCAGCATCACTTTTAAAGTACTTTGTGGTCAATCACTAACCTACATCTCCAATGTGTTAAATCACTATACCCCACCCAAAACAATGTACTCACCTTTTGGAAATTCCTCAAAACAGAGGAAAGAAGCATAGAGATGCTTTTATTTAATAATATATGCACCAATATCTTAGCTCTTAGTACTTTTAAATCCAAAATTAAATCAGAGTTTTATTAACTTTAAATTAGTATAGGACTACCTGAATATTTTTATACTGTATTTACCATATTTTCCGCACTACTGGGAGCGCTCTTAAGCCTCCAACCCCCATCAAAAAACAACTGCGCGCCCCGCAATCCAGAGCGCCCTATACATGAATTCACTCGGGTGTACCAGCACAACTTCAGTAAACTACAAAGCCGCACCACCTGCAGCGCACACAGCCACCGCGCAGCGACAAACACCCGCAGCCACACTCGCCACTCCGCACAGACAAGGAATGGAACGGAGGAACGAAACGAAAAAGGGAGTGCGAGCAACTGACCCATCTATCTGCTGTGTTTCGTTTAAAGTCCAGTGCAGTTTATTTGCGAAAAAAGTTTGAAAATAGACCATTCTATGACAGTGCGCCCAATAGTGCGGAAAATACGGTACTGTTGCACTGTCTATTGTTCCTACACTTTGCAACAAATGAAAAACTATTTTCCTAAAGCAATAAACTGTAAAATAAATCCTTATTTACAAACCTCATCAAATGACTTGTGTGGACGAATTACCATCTTTGATTGATAGGAGTGTACCCTCACAAACTCCTGCGACTCTGGAACTCTAGGATGTTCAACAGCCCTGAAAACAAACAACAACAAATATTTAGCTCTCCTACACCCCAGATACATTTTTGTACCTTTTTTGCATAACTTTGGCTATATTGCACCAAACAGCATGAAAATTGGTCAGTTTGTGTGTGTTTTTTTTTTTTATCTCACATTAATTGAAAGGTCTATAGCCAAAATACTCACACGCGTGGTCCATTTTTGTCCCATTGACTTCCATTCAAAATAGCTTTTTTAACTGGAATAACATTGCTAGTATATTTTTACTTTTTGATTTATTTCCCTTTCTTTGGATTAGTTGAAAGCCCTTCAAAACTTTTTGTTTTAGTGTCCTTAAATTTATTTTGTTTCTTTTTACTGCGTATCTTTTATTACAAGGACATGTTAACAGAAAGACATGTGTACATATTAGTACTCACTGAAGGCCAGAGACATAGATATTGGAGGTTAAAATGATATGGTTGTAATCTAGCGGAGTCCCAGAGTATTTGTGTGAGTTTGTGTGTACATTTTCAGGTGTGTCTGTCAGTCATTGTTTACGTCACTATTGATAAACAGTGAAAATATATATTTTTAAAAACAAAGGAATTGGAGATTTAATTCTGTTATTTTTAGGTCCACCATTTCAAGCATGATCATAATATTTATATTTTCAGTTATTTTTACACAATGCAAATGTTACTCCCCCTTCACCGCCACTCAAACCCATGTATGTTAAGATACACATACACAAACATATCATATCAAAAGTTGAACAGAAACCATCTGTAGTGCATAAAAATAATATAGTATTATTTTTATATGTACATTTTTGTGACAAAAGACCACAGGTGTGATTATTAAAAATCGGCTTTGCACAGAAAAAAAAAAATCTAAATCAATGTAATGTCACTATATTATGACATCCCGACCCTCTAATAACCCCAACACAAACAAATTTAAATTAGTTAAAAGATATAGAAAATATCTAATGCACAATGAATGATTAGGACAGGAATGAATGAAGACAATGATATGAAATAGTTGAACAAAAATCTGCACTGCATAAAAATAATATGGTATTCTTTTCCAGTATATATTTTTGTGAGAGAAGGATCACAGGTGTGACTATTTTAAAGGGGTGCATGAGAGTTAAAACCAGACGTTTCACTATATGGCAAATGTGTAAGTATAGATTCTTACCTGGATACTAGAATCATCAGGTTGTTTTCAACATCCACATCATAGCGACGCACATAAACGTAATCCCTTGAGTACATAGGATACTGCGGTAATGAAGAAATTTATTAAATCTACAAATTGTCACCTTAAATAAGAAGTCACTCATCAATATTCCGATTGATGAGTGGCTGAGTGTTTTATTCAATAAACACTGAATAAAAATAAACTCACTGGAAAATGCGTTGCCCAGTGTACAACTTCTGACCCTGTGTTGACATCTCTGTACTACTTCCAGTTTGATAACAAGTGCATCCCACTTCTTTCTGTATTCTGTGTCCAACTGGGAGAAAGAGAAAGGTAAAGGGCAAGGTGCCGAAATTAGAACCAGAGTAACACTGCCCTTTTGTGGTAGGCATGTGCCACCATGTTGGACAAGAACAGACTGCTATACAAACATGTAAACTGTGCGTGTATTAACAACATCATCTACACTTGTTTAAAAGATTTAACTGCTTCTAGTATTCTCTGTACCTGAACATTGAAGAACTGCCTTGAGGTAATGTCCTTATAAGAGCCCAACACTGTTGAAAAAATATTTTTTTACTCACACAAAGAGGTAATAATTGTGTAAAAGTGGGGGAAAGGTATTTGCTGACCTCTGTATTCATACAGGTGACTGTTGGTGATTGGTCGCCTCCACACTTTGAAGTCTTTCTTGTCCATTACAATTTCCCAACCAGGTTCTGAATGACCAGTCACTGTCCCAGAAGATGGATTGAGACGAGTTGCAGTGTCCAAGGTCTGCAGCTCTAGTCCACATCTTAACAATTTTGTAAATGACTAATTTATTAAAGTTACAATGACAACACAATAAGTGCACAAACAATGTCATACCTGTGCATCTCTTCATCTTGAATCTTCTCATTATCCCACATGAAGACACCAGCCAGGGCGGCAATGAGTTTTCCACTTGGGGCATGCTTGCTCTGAAATCTGCGCCATATGTTCCCCACAAGAGTCCACTTTGTCCGTTCAGAATATATGTTGGAATACAGTTCTCCTATCTGGCAGGCACGGCGCAGTCTCTGGCCAGTCACAAAACCACAATGGTCCGCGAAGATGGATAGTAATCCTTTTCTGCACGGGCTGGACCTGGAGGCCTCGTTAGTACCTACTCCTGCTCTCTGAAGCCAAGACAGGAACAGACCCATGCTCTTGTCCAGCCATGGCACCTTGTTTAGCTTCGCTGTAGTGCACTCTACAGATTTCCTAAAGCCCCTGGCACCCTGAGCTCTGACTGTGTTCACACCCATCTCGCAGAGTGGACGTCGGGGCACAGACTGAAACATGACGACTATGACCGTGTCTCTAACTTCCAAAGACAGAAATGTCAACAGCAAGGTGCAGAGCTACACGGAAATTGTGGCTTTGGTTACTGCCACGACTCTGTGAACACATGCATCACGGACACATCATAAATATTCATAGTAAGAACAATTTGCAGAATCCATATTGCTACTTTAGCATTAAAGGTGTTTGTTAGCTAACGAACTAGCACTAACACGCGACTGGCAGCTACTTTTCAAAATAATTCCCAGCATATAAAGCACAGAGTCGAGATATGTCCACACACGCATTTGGGCGTTAAACCATTCCCAGTAAAATGATGCATGACAAAGGTGTACCTGTGAATAGATCGTCCAGGTTGCCTCACGTTTTTGAAACACTAAATGCGTTTGACCTCCACACTTCCGAGAGGCTAACGCACGCCCACGCGGAAGTCACGCCTCCAAACTATAACTGAAGCGATGATTGGTTTGGCTAATTTTTACAGCGTATGTGATTGGTCAAAGAACAAGTCTGTCAAAAGATAATTCACGCATCTTTTTTTAAACGCTTCTGTTAAACGTAGGGTTGCTGTAGAACGTTTATCAGATTGACAATGTCGCTTTCTTGTGTTGCTTCGAGCAGACCATGGTGGAAACAGAAGACATTCACAAATCATAATCAATGGTACACGTGATCCGGAACCATCTGAAACACAGTAGCGCCCCCCAGTGTGCACTGCAGCGTTACATGTCAATCCACGTGGTCTACATACAAAAGACTCATCATAGACTGCATATATGAGACTATCTGGCACACAGTAAATTAACACAGATGTGCAGTGCTGTTCTGCTGGGTCTGCTCGCGTAGTCGGCTATTGGCAATATGACTGCAGCAACATACCAGGCCTAGTGGGCTAACAGCTGTGACATTTCAAAGGACTCGGGAGGACGTTCGGGCGTCACAGCCAGGCGCCATGGCTGACACTAGGTGGCACCATTAGGGTATTTTATAGAACAAGACAGGGACAGCTAAAGGTAAAAGAAATGCTGTGCAAGTAAGAGCAGCATTTTTGATGACGACAACAACAACAAATAGGCCTGGGCCTTTAGGTTGCCTTCACAACAGACAGACAGAACAGACCTGGGTATTGTACAGCTCCCGAGACACATTGGTTGACTCTGACCGGTCCCTTTAAGCTAATTTTGAATTACAAAATAAATAAATATTTTATAACTTTACCTCATGCATGGACTTAAGGTGCATTGCTTTTATTTCAGAGTTTTTTAATGACATTTTTGTAAGGCAACCTCACTTTTTCATTGCTTGTCATAACATATACTTTTACCAGTAAAAAAAAAATAACAATAATAATAATTTTATGCAGAATGTAGTTCAGCATTTTGATCCGACCCTCCACAAGATTTTTTGCTTCTCATGTGGCCCCATGGAAAAAAGATATGTTGTCATTTGAATTGCGTAATTGCTATGACCACGGAGGAGGGTTGCTGAAACCCAAAAGTAAGTGGCACACCTATGCACACCTAGAAATCTGACCTGCCTTTTATCTAGGTTTTAGAGTATGGGTTGTTGAACGATGTATTATCATGAACCAAATATGTTGTTATTCAGGGAATTTCTAAAAGGATTCCATTGACTATACATTTAATAAAGTCTTTAACAAGGTTTTACTTTGAACGGGCCTAATGCAAAAGCCATTCTTAGGTAACTTTGCAAAGTACCTCCTCCTCTGTGAAATTCTTCTTTTGGGTGCTAAGTTTGGTTACAGGTGGTGGAGACAGTTCAAAAAGGCTTTTTTTTAACCACGTTATGCAGACCATACATACTGTAGCAGCTTATGTATACAGAACTGTGTGTGAACTCTTTTGCATTACGACCCCTAATGTTTCTGGACTTCAGTAAGCTTACACAATAGGCTACTCACATTTCTCCCCCTGTAGACCTATAAATTTGTCATACAGTCTATCATTATCTGATATTTTAACACTGCCAATTTTATGAAGGGTCTCATGGCTCATTTTAAAACCTGCTTTTGTGTAATAAGTATGACCTGGCTGAGATGATTAAGATCAAATATACTTGAAATGTGTCTAGGGTGACCAGTTGTCCCTATTTACCCAGGACAGTCCCAGTTTTGAGCCCTGTGTCCCATAGACCATATTTATGATTCTTCTTTTATACAGTCTATGCTGTGTCCCCTGACCCAGCAGATTGATCCAAAACCAGTGATTTGTCCCAGTTTTATACAAGAAATGTCCCAGGTGTCCCTATTTTTGACCAATCTGATATCTTCCAAAAGTAGAGGCATACATTGTCATTTGTTTAGGTAAAATACAGAAAAGCTGCTTAACAATTACCAAAACACAAAGAAAATATGACTATATTGACTCACATTAGTGCTGAGTCCGAAGCAATTTTTATTATTACCAACCAACCCAAACCAGGGATGTCCTTGTTTTTGTTTTGTTTTTTTGTTTTATTTTAAAAATCTTGCCACCCTAAATGTGTGTTATTTTACAATGGCCTTGTCTCATTTCAAACTTAAACTTCGACTTAGACAAACTTTATTGACTCACAAGGGAAATTATTTTGACACAGTAGCTCTCACATTACAATATAATATAATAACAAAGAGTAAAAAAAAATATAAATGGTATTAATAAATTCTAAATAAGCAACAAAAAGATAGCAAGAGACATGTGTCAAATACAGCATAATTATATAAATGTATATGTACAAGTTAAAATAAAATAGAAAAATAAGTATAATATAATATAAATCTCAGCTATATACAAGAGGTCATAGGAAGATAGTGAAACAATGATGATTGACAGAACATGGACGGATAACTGTAGTGCAGTGTACAAGAAAAGCATGAGTAGACTCTACTTCCTGAGAAAGCTCAGGTCTTTCAATGTGTGAAGCAAATTATTACCTTCTACCAGTCTGTGGTGACCTGCGCCCCATACTTTGCTGTGGTCTGCTAGGGATGCAGCAACAGTAAAAGGGACATTGGGCGGATTGACAAACTGATCCGTAAAGCTGGTCATGTGATGGGCTGTGAGCTGAAGACATTTCTCACAGTGAGGGACAGGAGGACACTGGACAAACTGCTCTCCATCATTGACACTCCTGCTCATCCACTGCACCAGACAATAGAAAGAGGGGAGATAATACTCCTTACATTCATTCTCATTCTCCAGCAGGCTCCTACAGCTCCACTCAAACAGTGAGAGATACAGGACTACATTCATACCATACTCTATACAACTGTAGAACAACTCACCTTTATGTAACAGGTAATACTCCCTACAACTGTACAACAATTCACCCTAATGTAATGAATAATCCTATGTCCTGTCAATCATCATATCACTGTTGCACTGTCTTCCTATGACCTCTTGTATATAGCTAAGATTTTATATTTTATTATTTATTTTTCTGTTTTATTTTCACTTGTACATATACATTTATATAATTATGTCTTATTTCACATCTGTCTCTTGCTATCTTTTTTGCAACTTATTTAAAATGTATTATATATATATATATATATATATATATATATATATATATATATATATATATATATATATATATATATATATATATATATATATTATATTTTTTTTTTTTTTTTTTTTATTATTATATTGTGATGAGTGAGCTACTGTGTCCAAATAATTTCCCTTTTGGATCAATAAAGTTTAGGTAGTATTTAGGTAGCACACCCATCACCTCCGCTGCCCACAGACCAGCCTGGAGTCCCCATCTTCCTCCCCACCTTCACCCATGGCACTGCCCAACCATCTAGAAAGCCTCATCAGATCGGGAATCAAGATGGTTCCTCTCACACCTAATATAGCACGGTCAAGGGTTCTGACATCAACTATGTTGAACTCTCCCCCATACAAAACTGTGCCTGTTTCACCACCAGAGACTCTCTCAGCTCTCCCCTCACCCAAACCTCCCCCTACTCCACCTCTTCGGTCCTTACCTGGTCCCTCACCCAAACCTCCCTGTATTTCCACCTCCTCGGCCCTCACCTGGTCCCTCACCTGGTCACTCACCCAAACTCTCCCCTGCTCGCCCTCCCCCGCCTTTCCCCAGAGCTGTTATCACCAAGAGCTAGGATGCACAGGGCCTCTGCTGTCCCAGGACATACAGTCATGATAAAGGTAATATCAGGCTGGGGCCCTGCGATGGAGCTATATCTCCAGTTACAACACGTAGACGGATTAAAAGAAGGACAGTTAGACTGTCTAATCAGAGAAATTTAGTTCACATTCCCTGTAAGAAGATAACATCCAGTCCTACTGAAACTAATCAGAAACTTGCTGTGCTCAATGTCAGATCTTTATGTAACAAATCATTTCTAATTCATGATTTTATTTCTTCTTTTAACCTTGACTTTATGTTTTTAACTGAAACATGGCTTGACAAAAACACAGGTCATGCAGTGCTAGTGGAATCAACCCCTCCCAACTTCAAATTTGAATCTGAAACACGAGCAAATAAAAAGGGTGGAGGAGTGTGTGCATTTTTTAGAGATCATTTGGTTACACACAGGTTGTCATTTGGGGTGTTTTCATCATTTGAGTATGTTTCCTTCAAAAATGGAGCTAAAACAATCACCGTCCATACTCTACATAGTCATATACAAACCTCCTCAGCACTGTCAAAGTTTTATTGATGATTTTACTGAGATGCTTTCAGTTGTTTGCACAGACTTTGATGGTTTAGTCATTACAGGCGATTTTAATGTACATGTGGATAATGTGTGTGACAAAAATGCCAAAGAGCTTAGTGTTGTCCTTGAAACTTTTGGTCTGACTCAGCATGTCAGTGAGCCCACTCACAACAGAGGGCACACTCTGGACCTGCTCATTACAAAGGGTGTAAATATTTCAAATGTCACTGTGGTTGATGTTGCTCTGTCTGATCATTTCTGTGTCTTCTTTGACCTGTCTGTTATTCCCAAACCACCGGCTGCTCCTACAGTTGTTCAAAGAAGACACATAAATGATAACACAGGTGCACTGTTCATGGAAATGATAAATTTTGAAATTGCCTCATGTTCTAATGTTGATGATGTGTTGAACTCTGTGACTTTGAGTGTTTTGAATGTTCTCTGGATGCCATCGCCCCGATAAAGGTTAAAATGGTTAAAGAGGCAAAAAGCTCCGTGGAGGAATGATGACTCAGTCAGGGCACAGAAAAGGGAGTGCCGGAAGGCTGAGCGGAAATGGCGCAAGTCAAACCTCCAGGTTCATTATGAGATTTACAGAGGAACAATGCATATGTACAACTACACTTTGAGTAAAACAAGAGAGAAGTATTTTTCGGACATTATTGGTAATTGCAGTAACAACTCTCGTGTCCTGTTTGCAACAGTGAACAGATTAACAAACCCTCCAGCTCCACTGCCACTAGAACTAATTTCCACATCTAAATGTAATGAGTTTGCAGTTTTCTTTAATGACAAAGTTCAGGGCATCAAAAATGCCATCAATTCCACAACACAAATAACAAGCATGAAACCACAGAGACACTTAGAGCTGAATCACTTTGCACCTGTAACTGATAAAACTGTTTTAGAGATCGTTACCAGTCTGAGTTCATCTACTTGCTGCCTGGACATGTTACCCACTAGATTTCTAAAGTCCGTCCTCAACAGTTTACTTTCACCACTCACTCACATAGTTAACATGTCACTTCAATCTGGAACATTCCCAAACGCGTTGAAAACTGCGGTTATTAAGCCTCTCCTAAAGAAGAGCAGTCTTGATGCCACAGTACTGAACAATTTCCGACCCATCTCAAATCTGCCGTTTTTTGGCAAAGTCCTTGAAAAAGCTGTTTACCAACAGCTTATGAACTTTCTCCAAATGAACAACTCCTTTGATGTTTTCCAGTCAGGTTTTAGATCACCACAGCACTGAGACTGCTCTTATCAAGGTGACAAATGACATCCGCCTGAACACTGATGCAGGCAAAGTCTCAGTCTTGATCCTGTTAGATCTGAGTGCTGCTTTTGACACTGTCGATCATGGGATCCTCTTACAGAGACTAGAGGACTGGGTGGGCATCTCTGGTACTGTACTAAACTGGTTCAAGTCCTATCTAGAAGACAGGAAGTATTTTGTTGAAATTGGAAACTGTGTCTCAGATCACATGGCCCTGACCTGTGGGGTGCCTCAGGGGTCAATCCTGGGCCCCCTGTTGTTCAATCCCTACATGCTGCCATTAGGCCAGTTAATAAGCAGCAATAACGTGTCCTACCACAATTATGCAGATGACACTCAGATCTACGTCTCTCTGGCAGCAGGAGACTATGGACCAGTGGACTCACTTGGTCACTGCATCCAACAGATCAGTGTGTGGATGCAAAACAACTTTCTCCAGCTAAACTCTGACAAGACTGAAGTCATAGTGTTTGGTCCACAGAAACAAAGGGACAGTGTCAGCAGTCACCTCCAGCCTCTCTCTCTAAAACCTTCAAATCAGGCAAGAAATCTAGGGGTAATAATGGACTCAGACTTGAACTTTAACAGCCACATCAAATCAATAACAGCCTTTTACCATCTAAAAAACATAGCAAAAATCAAAGGTTTACTGTCTAAAGCAGACTTGGAGAAACTTATCCATGCGTTTGTCTTCAGTAGATTAGACTACTGTAATGGTCTGCTCACTGGTCTCTCCAACCGAGCTGTGAGACAGCTGCAGCACATCCAGAACGCTGCAGCTCGGGTCCTTACTCGAACTAGGAAGTACAAGCACATAAGTCCTGTGCTCAGGTCTCTGCACTGGCTTCCTGTGCCTCAGAGAATAGACTTTAAAGCAGCTCTGCTTGTGTACAAGTCTCTCCATGGCCGAGCACCAAAGTACATCTGTGACATGTTAGTGTCATATGAACCATCTCGCACTCTGAGGAGCTCAGGGACCGGCCTCCTGCTGGTGCCCAGAGTCAGGACTAAACAAGGGGAGTCAGCGTTTCAGGTTCATGCAGCTAAAACCTGGAACAGTCTGAACATGTGAGACAGACCTCTTCTGTGACGCTGTTTAAATCTAGGCTCAAAACATTTCTGTTTAACTGTGCATATAACTGAAAGGTTTTCATTCCGCACTCTTCTCTCCAATTTATGTCTCTCTTTTTTAATTTTAATCTTCATGATTATTTATGTTTTGATTTGTTTTTATTATGATTTTAATGTATTTCTTATTCTGTAAAGCACTTTGAATTACTTTGTGTACGAATTTTGCTATACAAATAAACTTGCCTTGCCTTGCCTATTATCTGTTACATAAAGGTGAGTTGCTGTACAGTTGTAGGGAGCATTATCTGTTACATTAAGGTGTGTTGTTGTACAGTTGTAGGGAGCAGTGACTGTTACATAAAGGTGAGTTGTTGTACATCTGTATTAAGGCCGATTTTCTGTAATCTTTGAAAATGTACAATCAGTAGACCATATTATTTTCGTCATTCTAATAGATCCACGGCTGTAGCACACACAGTCCACTGTAGAGCGCGTGGTGACAGCTGGGCGTGGCGTGGGGAAGGACGTGGGGCAGAGCGGCAGAGGCGGAGTTTGCTCGGGGGTGTATCCAATAAAATTGCGGGCAGTGAGTCTCGCAGCCGGTCTGCACCGGGTTTTTCAGCACTTCCTTTTTGCATTCGACAGATGGTATCCATTCAATTTTTGGAGTATCCGAGAAAAATAATCTAGTTAGTTACGATAAAATAGACTTTATTTTGAATAGATTGGCTATTTTTGGAACTATAATATACCGTGATCGGAGGAACTTTTGAATTATAGTTTCAGGTTTTATCCCGCGCCCGCCCTCTGTACATTGGTGCGCGCGCTAATTAGCTTAGGTTAGCTGCTCCGAGCACTCTTCAGAAACCACTACATTCACGATTGGTAAGTACTTAGTGTAAGCCAACGTTGCGTGGTAATTACTGTATTCACCTCTCTAATTCAGTTGTTATTATATTCGGCACGAAGTAGAAGAAAGACAGCGGAGAACATATAGCTGCGCCTTATGTGATGGTGTCGTTTGTTGTCCTCGCTTGAGTTCCGATGTTATAGACCGATGTGTCCTTCTGTCGGATTGGTTTGGCGTATTTACTATTGGTAGTGTCTGTATGTCTCATGCCAACATCTGTGCGTCCACTCAGACCGCATAATGTTAATCTCTGATACATGTGATTCTCCGAACCTTGAGTCAAGCTCAGGGGTATCTCTTTTCAAATATAGGTCAACTCTATAAAGCCCACGTAATGTACTGTAATAAAACTGCTATAAGACAAATTACAGATCGTATTTACACCAAGTCTGTAGTTGCGTCATTGGCAACCGCGTGATCCGCTGTGCTATGAATGAATGACGACACGTGCTGGGCGATTCTGTTTTCTTAGTAAAAAAAAAAAAAGGTCGGAATATTGTCTTTGGGAATCTGACCATGTCGTAAACTAAACATACAGTGTGTGTAAACAAAAGGCGAAAGATTACGCTTTTTCTTGAACTCTGTCTGCGTGCGACAACTGGCGAAAATGGCTTCCACTGATAGATTTTTCAGGAACGACGTCTGCTTCCGGTCTTGAGTTTACGTGTGTTGTGGTTGTGAATTGTGACGTGCGCCCATTCACGGTGTACAAAATCGATGCTTTAACGTTGCTTTGGGATGCATGTTTTATGGTATAAAAAAGTGTTCTTTTTTAACCACATGTTACCTTTTGTTTCCTTTGTTCCAGGATGTACTCCTGCTCCACTGCAGTAATAGTTACACAATGGCAGTCTCCTCATTTGGCTTGATTTCTGAGCTCCAAAGAAATTGCAACAGAATAATTATAATTACAGGATAGCATTAACCCTATATTATTGCAATACAATACCTAATTATTTTCTGGTTAAATCCAGAACTGTTAGAAATTTGCACTGTAAATAAAATTGCCTGTTGGACAGGTAGCCCTAGAATTATTTATTATCTTTACCTCTTAGTGATTCATCCCTTAACCCTTATATTGTGAAGAAAATAATTATGGATTCCGCAACTGCAACTGCAACTGCAACTGCAATAATCCTAGCAGCCACTGCTGGAGTAGTAACAGACACACCACTGACAGATTACATGTGGCTGCTGATTGTTGGCTTTATTATCGCCTTTATCTTAGCTTTTTCTGTTGGGGCCAATGATGTAGCAAATTCTTTTGGCACAGCAGTAGGCTCTGGAGTGGTGACATTACGGCAGGCATGTATTTTGGCTACAGTATTTGAAACTTTGGGCTCAGTACTTCTTGGCGCAAAAGTGAGTGAAACTATACGCAAGGGTATTATTGACGTAGGCATGTACAGTGGATCTGAGCAAGTGTTGATGGCTGGATCTGTCAGTGCTATGGTTGGTAAGTATTCATAATTTGTGCACCTGATGAAGTCTTTTCAAAATAACACACAAAAACAGATTTAAAATGCAAGTACCTGTATATTAATTAAATCATAACTCTCTTCAGGTTCTGCTGTCTGGCAACTGGCTGCCTCCTTCCTTAAGCTCCCCATTTCTGGAACACACTGCATTGTTGGTGCTACTATTGGCTTTTCACTAGTCGCCAGAGGCCAGCAGGGTGTCAAATGGTTTGAACTTCTAAGAATTGGTAAGTATTTGCAGAGGTTGTACTCCGTTTACTCTTTAGGTCTATAATGCCTTGTATAAACATGTCTAATGTAATATAAAGTATAGGGTGACCAGTATTGCACTGCAATAGTTTTTCAACCTTTTTCTTTGTTTTTTGTTGATAATGTTGGAATATAAATACATTTATAGAAATTATAATTATTTTACAGTGGCGTCTTGGTTCCTGAGCCCTCTTCTTTCTGGTATTGCATCTGGAATTGTTTTTTACTTTGTACGCATGTTCATTCTTCAAAAGGTAAGTTGTATTTAAGATTCAAAATCAGTCATTACCTTGTTCAGATGCATTAATGATCTTTTCTACTTTTTTTGTAGAAAAACCCTGTTCCAAATGGATTAAAGGCCTTGCCTGTTTTTTATGCCATAACGATGGGAATCAATCTGTTCTCCATCATGTTCACTGGAGCTCCAAGTGAGTATCATTGTTCGTCCCTTAGCTCTGCATGCCTGCCCACAGCCACAGCTCTGAATAGGCCTCTCCCTCAGACAGCTGGATATTACCCACAGACTGCACCAGACGATGTTTACCATTTTCAGAGCCTGTGTTTTTTTTAAACATGTTTTTAGGACTGGCTTGTGGTTGTATTTGGGTCATAGCTGGAATGAGAGTTTAACATGGTGCACATCAGGCAGATGGAAATAGGATTTCACTTTTTCTCTTGGCATCACTGAGCTTGCAGAAGGAAAAGACAAGTAAAGGGGGTGTTGGTCATAGATTTGCTGCACAGTGCAATATAATAATCTTGTGGGTTTTTACGCAATCCATATATTAAACAAGCAACTTTTGCTCCTTTGTTCTCTTCTCTCTACAGGGCCTAACAGTTCCAAGATCTTAACTGGCCTGGGCCTATAAATGGTGGCTACAGGCCAGAGTATGACCATTGATGTGTATGTGCACTCTTGTGTCATCATCAGGGTGAAGATTTTGTGAAATTTCACCATAGTCCTGCATAATCAAATTGTCAGATAGTTTAGTAGTGATGGCCCCCATTTCTCCAAAGTTTACACCATGCCATTTTGCTGACCATCTCAATTGATTTTAAGATGATTCCATCAGGCAGACTGTACAGCCCTTGTATTACTCCATCCTCTGCAGCAAGGGGAAGACAACTCCCAAGAAACAACCCACTTGCTGCCTCATGTACTTTGATAGCACTTGATGTTCCTGTCTCCTAAATGCTTACACCATAATATGATAGGACACCAGGCGTTTCATGGCACAGTCCAATACTCGACTTCACCACATACTATGAGGTGTCACATCCTCTGTTGGATTTTGTATGTGTGTAGTTGCATACAGTACCGTCCAATATTGTGGAAATGTGTGGCCCTACCGCTTGATCATAAGGCAGCATAATATGGTTTTCAAATTTGAGCATCAGCCCAAAATTGCTTCTTAATTTGTTTATTGCTGTTTTCCTTTGAAATATTGGTGATCGGCCCAGCTGTTTGAAACCTTTTCCTGTTGCCCGTCCTGAAGGGAATGATCTTCCATTGTGTAACAAAACAAACAGGAGTTGGTAGCTGCGTAGTCTCGTGTTGCAGCGTGACTGGAGAGTGCAGCATGGACTCTGCCCTGAAACAAAAATGACTACCTCTACCAAGACTCTTATCTTTCAACCTTGGCCATTCATTGTCTTTTATCTTTTGACATGACAAACAGTTCAAGTGATTTTGTTGAAGGTCACTGCATTAGAGGTGTTGCGGGATATTGTTGCTGGACTATTTCTGTTGCAATTATACTGCTGACTTGCAACCTTTATGACAAAGATGACTGCCTCTGCAGTGAAATATTCTTGAAGTGTGCTGCATTACATCTTAGATCTGCTGCAACAACCTTACTGCAGTCTTGGCACACACTAGACCCCATTGCTACAATGATCTGCCTCTGCTAAAACTCCTCCCTTCTCTATGTTCTGACTTTTTTTTATGGAACTCTTAGTATTTCTGCATACTTCCTGCTCTCTGTCATCATATGTCAAAACTATATATTTATATTGCATACATTCTGTATAAGGGTACCACTATTTTAAATTTCCTGTTTTTGTATCTTATTTTCAGTGCTTGGATTTGACAAAGTTCCATGGTGGGGCATTCTTCTCATATCTTTGGGCTGTTCATTGTTAACGGCTCTTATCGTGTGGTTTATTGTATGCCCTTGCCTCAAGAAGAAGATTGAAAGTAAGTTACATGCTTTACTCGATATATGCATGTAAAATGACCTGCAAATGTAATTTGACACAAATAACTGAAGCCTTTAATTTGTCATAATCCTGCATGATGGAGAAACATAGAGCAGCCAGCAGAGCGTAAACTGCGTAAATTACAATATATACTTAAAATGTACACGACAAGAGTTTTCCAACTTTCATCTAGTTATAAAACGAATACTATAATTGAGATATAAGAGGGGTTTACTCTAAGATTACAAAGCCTTGAGGTCTCCCAGCTAAGCTCCATATAATTGCTAGAAACAAGAACAGTGGTTTTCTTAACAGTAACTATTGACGCTCACTATTGTAAAATGATAAACAAATGTCATGTGAGTCTGAAGTCCTATTGTGTCTCATAACAAAAGCTTATTTTCTGAAGACACCAATTGTGAACAAAATTTATATTTTTAACTAGGAATACTTTGTATTTTAAATATAATGATGAAATGCCACTGTTCTGGTGTCTGTTGAAACAACATTACAGTATTTGTGTTTTCACATGGACTAAGCTGTTCTCACCAAAATCCCTCCCCCACTAGGAGATGTCAAGTCGTCGAGCCCTTCTGAGAGTCCCCTGATGGAGAAAAAGGAGCTCCGAGAAGTCCACTGTCCAATACTGAAGCAGTCCTCCAAGGAGTTGTCAACACCTGCCGCTTCTGCTACAAATCAAGATCCTGCAGGTCAGCCCCCAGCTGTCCCTGAGGAGCACAGGGTGGCATTTGACATTGGAGATTCTGGTGATGTCGACAATAATAAAGAACGCAGAGTGGCATTTGACATTGGAGAGTCCGATGACACTGAATACAGCAATGAAACTAATGGTAAGTAAAGTTGGATTAACACTTGTTGTATACAAATAGGTGTGATGACAGTTTAATAGGCATAACGTATGTTTCTAAACCACTTAAGTAATGGGTTTAAAAAGTTGAAAACATTCACTTAATTGGTATTAAGATCAATAATAACAACTTTCACAGATGATCACCACCAGCTACACTTGTCTTGTAATCAGTGCAATAGTTATATGTAAAATGGTAATTAAAATGTTCTGTTTCTCTAGTTCCAAAACAGGTCCAATCGAACAACCAAATCAACCAACAAACATTCAGCAATGGTTCTACAAATGTTGCCAACCACGTGCAGTTCAGTAACAGACCAGCACAGATCCCCAGCAACGGCTACACGCAATACCACACAGTTCACAAAGACTCCGGCCTCTACAAAGACCTGCTGCACAAACTTCATTTGGCCAAAGTTGGAGACTGCATGGGTGAAGGCGGCGAGAGGCCAATAAGACGCAATAACAGCTACACCTCCTACACCATGGCTATCATCGGGATGCACGGTGACTTTAAGCACAAGGATGGGGATTTCCGTGCTAGTGAGAATGGAGACAAGGGTGCAGGGTCAGGTGGTCAAGATAGGAAACGTGTTCGTATGGATAGTTACACTAGTTACTGCAATGCTGTAGCTGAGCACACAACCCCAGAGGGCCTTGGAGAGGGAGAGGTGGTGCTGGATGTAGGAAAGGAGGATGCAGACAGCACTCGGAGCTCTCTGGATGATGATGGGCCTGAGGCAGACAAACCAGAAGTCTCTATACTTTTCCAGTTTCTTCAAATCCTCACTGCTTGCTTTGGTTCCTTTGCTCATGGTGGTAATGATGTGAGGTAAGCAAGGTCATCCTTTTTGATACAGCAGTTTTAGTTTAGCTTTTTCTCCAAGTTCACTATTCTAAATAAACATTTATCTTGCAGTAATGCCATTGGCCCCTTAGTGGCTTTGTGGCTAGTCTACACAACAAGCAGTGTCAGTTCAAGTAACCCTACCCCCATCTGGCTGCTGTTATATGGTGGAGTGGGCATCTGTGCTGGTCTCTGGGTTTGGGGACGCAGAGTCATACAGACTATGGGCAAGGACTTGACCCCAATCACTCCCTCAAGGTATATGCAAGTTCAGAAAGCTTTCACAAGCATTAAGACTTAACTTTAATGAATATGTTTTCCTTTCAGTGGATTCAGCATTGAATTGGCTTCAGCTCTGACTGTTGTAATTGCATCAAATATTGGTTTGCCTGTATCCACAACACACTGCAAGGTAAGTTCACTGGTATAGCTACAGCGAGTGTGTGTACATTTGAAATTTAGCACTCATATTTCCACCTTTCCATTTGTGTTTTACCTAAAATGTTTTGCCTTTTTAAACAATATTATACTCTAATGTTAACATAGTCAAAAGCTCAACAAGTAATTTATTATTGAGATACTGCACTTTCATAGATTGCTCTGCTATGCAAGTGGTCACCTTTTGCTTCCTAATCTAATGGAAAAAAAACCAATTGTTTCAGGTGGGTTCTGTGGTTGCTGTTGGATGGCTCCGCTCACGGAAAGCTGTGGATTGGCGCTTGTTCAGAAACATCTTCATGGCATGGTTTGTCACAGTGCCCATTTCTGGCCTCATCAGTGCTGCCATTATGGCAATCTTCATCTATAGCCCCATTCTGGTATAGTTTGCATTCAGTTATCATTAACATATGCATCAGAACATCTTTTGAAGATCCAACAAATCCCAACAGTAGAGAAGACTTCTTTAATAAGGACCATGACACCTTAAGCCAACAACTAAGAGATTGTTACTCCATCTTTTACCTAATCTGAATCCACTGCTTTGATTTGGAACATTCACCTCCAGAGAAGATTTTAAGTCATTTTTCTCTAACCATTTCCATATCACTGAATTTTCGTTTGTCTTTTTTTTTTTACTTTGAAACTTTTGTATATACACTTGTGTTTTGTTTAAAATGTGTTTTTTCTTTCAACTTTTAAAACATTCAGTGTTAGTCTTTTGCCAGAGGAGTCACTCTTGTTAACATACTGACAGTACTGTAATTGTCAAGCAGTAATTTTAGGCTTAAATTATTAGTGTGTGTGTGTGTATATAAAATGACTCTTAACTGTTAAACATGCATTTTATGAGTTGAAGCATTGAATCATAAAAAGCTATGACATTACCTGTCAGTATGTGCTATATCCACTTCATCTCATTGTTTCTGATGTACTAATGCTGTAAACTACTTCAGTTACTTGAGACACAAGAAATGTAAGGACAGAATGTCTCTGGGGGGGGAATTACCTGCTAAAACTTGATTGCATCATGGATGGTTAAATGCTTTGGGCCTGCCCAAGCCTTGTTCATTTCAGCTAGTACTGAATGTTCAGCTCTACTTTTCTAGAAAACAACTGCCTAGAGTTTTGGGTTGCTCTTGCTTAGACCTTATATAAACCACTGCGTGTAAAATTTTATATATTGGAAGTGGTCCAAGTGGTTGGATTGAACAATCTATTTAAGAAATGTGTGCTATTTGGCAGCAGTGCTAAATGCATTTTGACCTATAGATGCTGTAGAGGCCTTAATTGTTTCATTTTCCCTTAGGTACCAAAGTTTTTTTTTATGCACATCAACATGACATGAAAAAGATTATAATGAAAAAATAAATAAAAATGTGGAAAAAAACAAACAAACCTATAAATAAAAAGTAAAACATCCATATGTCTATTGTATGAATAAACAGCACAGTTTTTAAAACCAGGTTTCAGCAAATCAAACACCTTGAATTTAAGGCGACAATTCTCGGTCAAACTTCTAAACCTCTGCTGAAAGTACAAGCAATAGCTTAACCTAACTCAACACATGAGTAAATGAGCAGTTGAGGTTGCTAACTAAATATAACATTTATAGACTCAAATACTAATGTTGACTAAGCTGTTGGTTCTAACTGAAGTCAAAATAGGTTGAACCATACTTGTTTTTTCCAGTGGGAGAGGTTGATGTAATGTAGGCTTTGTTATACCACAGACATAAACAAAAGAAACCACATGGTACAAATAGGTGGAATAGTTCTTCTTTATTGACGATGATCTCAGTAAGGCCCAGTGTGGTGGGCAGGGGGGTGTTCTTTCACTCCTCTTCATCTATGACGTAAAAAACAGACAGGATTCCTTTATGCTAGCTTTGTGTTACAAACACTCCAATTCAGTATTTTTCCAGGTCTTTCAAAATGACTGCTAGTATAATCTATGAATCACGTCTGCGGTTTATAGCCCACTCATGTGAGTCACATTGTGCAGGTAATGATGAATGAGAGCACCACTGTGTAAAACAGGGCGAGTCTGCTCATATCAATAGATTCACTTTTACAACGGAAGCAATTCCTTTTATGAGTCCAAACACTAAACCAGTAAGAAGAATTACAATGCTGCTTACATACTGGATATGAGTTCTTGTTGCATGACCTTTAGTAATCCTATTCAATAAATTGATTTGAGCTCCCTTTGGGGCAGGGTAGTGCAATTTTTCTGAAAATAACCAGTAGCAAATGATACAGTATTAATCAAGCGCATTAAGCACCCAGGGACACACGTTTCAGAGTGGCCTGGATTTTTGTCCTAGATCTGTACGCACACCAGAGAGACTGGGCTCAAATAAACAAGTGTACCATATTTTTTTTTAGGTCAAACTCCTGATTTTTTTTTTTTTTTTTTCATTCTAATTTGGGCAGCAACTGTTATGACTGTGTCTGTGAACAACACAGAAAAATAAACCTGCTTAGACTGAAATAGACTCTATTTCAGACCTTAGTTGTAAATTTGTAATAGCTGTAAAGCCAGATTTTACAGTCTTCTGCCGGTTATAGCTTATCTAACACAGACTGGTTGTGACTGGTTTTGTTTGTCCTAATCTAGACCATTGCAAAACCAGCAATTAGACTTTCACTGCACCTCTCAAAACAGTTCCCCACCACATCTCGACTGGGCAGGTACCGCGTCTGAGTGGGCCACAAAAATGTTAACGACCGTCCCCAACCCAGACCACTACTGTCTGGATGCACAAATTGTACACACATAGAGAGCCAATTCAACCTCATTCTGACCTCCTGTGTAAACCAGTCTAAGTTGTTACCTTGCTCGTTTGATGAATCTTGAGCCAACTCTTCTGTAAAAACAAAACAAACAAAAAACAATAAAACAAAAATTAACTTTAAATGGATTCAAGAACACTATATTTAATTAAATTTGGTGGATCCTACCTGAACTACTTGCAGATTCTGTCACTGCAGCATTATGTTCTAGGAAAACAATAATTTTAAAGTTTTGAGATATATATAATATATAAAACATTATGAAGTTCAAAACTATGAAGTACAAGCTCACTTATCAATGTATCTAGTTACATCCCAGCAACTTCTTCAGGCTTCCATGTAATTGTGTAATGTACATTTTAGAGCCAAGGTCATTTTGTCCTGGGCCTCATTTAATTTTTTTACTTTTATTCATTAGTCTGATTTTAGTACAGCACCTTAAGTCATTTGCCAAACCTTAAAAAAAAAAATTGAGACTATTTAGAGTTAACATGCACTGACCTTCTATCTCCTCTGATGACTTGGATCACATTTTTGTGTAAGACAACACAAATATTTTTATTCAATACTTCCTAGAACCCCACCCTCTTCCACCCCATCATGTTCAACTCCAAATAGGACCTTACTGCCATCTTGTGTCGACCTATGAAACAGCAGCACAGTGCGTCTTACCGCCCTGGGTCGCCGCAGCCTCGTAGTTCCCATCTCCTCCTGCAGTGGGGAGGAGGATTTCAGAGTTATGCAACGATCAGTCTGAGCTTAACAGATCACATGCTGTATGTTACACACTTGTGTTGACATCAGCCGGCCCCTGGTGCTCCTCTACTGTTACATTTTACACAAACATGACAGTTAATACCACATTAAACTCTAGCCGACATGTCACTGGAAACTTACCACAGCCATCTTTAACTGCATCTAAAGAAAAATCATGAGAAATGTCTTCATAACATGGCAGGCAAGGCTGGATTGGTTTTAATTCAAAATAATATACTGTATTAAGCTTACCCACGAAGTGATCATCTTCATTGCTGTCCACAGCCACTTTAAATGAAAAGATGAGGGTGGGAGAGACACACACACATATATATATATATGTATATATATATATATATATATATATATATATATATATATATATATATATATATATAATATATATATATATATATATATATATATATATATATATATGTATGTATATGTATGTATATATATGTATATATATATATATATATATATATATATATATATGTATATATGTGTGTATATATATATATATATGTATATATATATATATATATATATATATATATATATATATATATATATATATATATATATATATATATATATATATATTTGACAGGAGACTTAAACTCAAAACATACTCCTGTAAAGCCAGTTTACTCCTGGTCCGCGAATAACTGACTAATAACTAATAGAGTTTATGCAGACTTTTATATTTGTAATTAAACCGTAACAGCTTTTCACATTTTAGATGTATTTTGAGGTCTTATAGAAAACAAGTTCATTACTCAACAGTGACACTCTTGGTAACTTTGTCAGCTGCATAACCACTATAACTGATTGTTATAAGCTACTTTGAAGGAATTTTTGAAAGATAAAGAATATAGGAAGCAGCAGATATAGGGCCTGATATGATGGCAAATGCATAAACACTGAATTATTACAGGTGAAATATTAAACTATCAAGGTTATTTCAACTCTTCAACAACTTGACAAAGTACATACCGTTCTTTTGCTGTGCCTCTTCCTTTTGAGCAGCTTCAAATTCTTTCTGATCTAAATAGACAGTAAAACAATGATGAGGACTGTGATGACAGAACTACATTTTATCGTGACTGGTTGGCATTAGCATGTACGATTCACTGTATGTTTGTCCAACTGGTGATAGTATTTCATATTATTTATTGAGAAGTTTTATAACATCGTCAAACAGTGGTGTTGTCATCATCCCCCGATATTTTGCATTATTAGAGAACTATGCAATAATAAAAATAAGAAATGTAATGCTGTTCAGAACACAATAATAGTTTAGGTCTGTATTTAATCATAATGACAAAGTCTTTTGAACAAAGCACATGTTTCTTATTTCATAGATTGTATAACATTGTTCTAAGGGATAAAAGACTAAAATCAACATCCATTGTTCAGCTGGAGTAATGCAGACCTACCTATTTTCTGGAGCTCAGTAAGGCTATCTGCAAAAAGGACAAAAAAAAAGTAAATCTACAAGTGACAAAAAACAGTAAATTATTTGAACATTTGTGTTTTTGCCCTGCACCATTGCCTTAATTGTTTTTTTCTCATTTTTGTGGCCTATCCTTTAAAAATACCAGATTTTGCTCATCCATGTTTAGATTTTCCAACCACCAGGTGTTATGTCTAGACAGGTACCGTTACATTTACACTTCCCTCAAATACGTTTAAACTTTGCTTGAGTAATTTTATGGACTACAACTTTGTCCTTGTACTTGAAGTAATATTATTTTCAAATAACAGTACGCCAACATGAATAAAATCTTTGGCTTCTCTACTCACCTCTGTATAAAAAAATGTGAGTTACAAAATAAGTTTAATTTGTAAAATGGCAATAATATTGTTTTACAAGCACCAGTCATTTTATTTTAGTAGTTAATTGTAAAATGCAGAGAATTAGAGTTCATCACTAGTTGTGTGTGCACTACATAAGATACATATTATTCTTACCATTCTTAACAGTTTTCTCCTCATTCTCTGCAACCTCAAGAAATGCAGACAGGCCTAAAACACAGATAAAACAAACATCATTATCAATTTCTTCCTTAGCATCCCTCCTCTAATTCCAGTAGCTATAAATAAACACTGTAATAACATTGATCTTACCACTGTGAAATGCTGCCACAGAAAGGACCACAACAGCTAACAGAGCTCTCATCTTGTTTTTTTGTTTTGTTTTGTTTTTGTTGTTTGTTTGTTTTTTTTACTTGAAGACTGGAAAAATTTAGTTAGTGTCTATTTTGCAAAGTGTATTTTGGTGAGTGAGCAGCCCCTTATATTTTCAGCTGCATCACATGTCTGGTATTGACAGGCAGCTATGGTACCAGTGTCCCCCCCTCCCTCCTACCTGAGAGACATCTGGGCGAGTGGCACAGCACAGAACCGTCCTTATTCAACCACAAAATACTACCCATTGTTGGATGCCCAGTCACATGGGCATGCATTTAGGATGTGTCAGTGTCTCTTTGGGAGAAAAAAAGAAATGGGGTTATGCAACAGATCAGGCAAAAAAAATGTTAATGCAAAGTAATCTAATGCAAGTAAATTTGTGATCTTTTATTAAAAAAAAAAAGCAAAAAGACCATATCCATTTATATTACATTTATTGTAAACATTTGGACTTAAATGAGCCTGTTCTTAAATTTTTGTAAAGTTTTACAACAGGTTCACTGATTTGATTAAAAGTGCAAATATTAATATTATTGCTGAATCACCTAATTCTCAGACAATTTAAAAAAAATAAAAAATTCTCAGCAGTTAACAAATAAACAAATAAGAAATTTGATATTGCCACAAGTAGCAGAATCTTTAAAGACAGAGGAATTAATGTTACAACCACACTTATGTCAAGGCATAAGCAAAACTAAACAAAAAATCTAGCAGTAATAGATTTCACTCAAACAAAAAGCAACCCATACACTCAAATATTTAAGACATTTAAAAATCAAATACTTCTACACAAATTGAGCAATATTTAGTGCTCCACCCTGCAGTGTGTAATTCACAGTGTTGTGGCCTTTAGATCCATTACTATTGGATTTAATAGAATAGGCACCAGTAATTCTGTTGCCCAATGTAAATATGCAGAAGTACATGAATGAAAATGAATAGCCATGTGACATTTCCAAACTAGGTGACCTTGACTTAATGACCACCATACACCCAAAAAAGTCACTGAACAAGCTTTAGCCATTTACCTAAACTGTATAATTTAAATAATTATTACACAGAATTTGCTTGAAATTAAAAAAGGCACATCCCACAGAGATACCTGAAGAGCTTAACCCTGACCGTTTCAGTGCAGTATTTTTAACTATGGCCACTTCCTTTCTCAGAGTTCTCCTCTCAGCCTGGTGTGTAAATCTTCCTGGTCAATTTTGCCATTCTGTCCATGCCAGCGATGGTGAGCCAGTAAAGCCAAGTTTCTTGCTGAAATGGCACTCATCTCCATAGCACTGGCAGCCCACTCCACAGCATTTAAATAGTACAGACGGTTGTGTAGAATTAATGGTGGGGTTTTTCGTTGTGGTGGAGAGTAAGCTGGATAGGCCAACCAGCGCGATTCAGACACAGAATCCCAGGAAAGAAACATGCTCTTCAACTGCTCCTGTGTCAGTGGGTCTGGGGAGAAGATTTTCCAGACTTTCTTGTGGCTTGCAGGGGTTGGCTTGTACCCAGGAGGAATGTGCACAGGGTCCAGTGAGCTCAAACTGTTGATGACTGAGCCCTCTGAAGCTGTGGTGAGGACATCAGAGACCATAAAGTCTGAGGCGGCTGCTGTGGTGCCCAGAAAGGACACATTCAGAAAGCCATGGACCAGAGTGGCAACAGTCTGATGGAAGCGCCCAGAGTAGTGGGAGGGGATGGGTGGGGAGAAACCAGAAAAGGTGATGTCTGATTTACCAGAGTGAAGTGGAGTAGCAATTATTACAATCTCATACAAAGAGTGTGCAGCACCATCTTCCCCAGTGTAGTTGACCTCATAGAAGCTAGTTGCTGCCCCTTTAAAGCAAAAACGAGACCATAAGAAGCTTTAAACTATTATATTGACTTTTTTTTTTTTATGAAAAAAGAAAGAAATATACATGTCATCTAAACTTAATTTTTATTAAACTTTAAAAACTTTATACAGTTTTTCCTCCATGAGTATTAGAAAAGTGCAAAAATGTTGGTCATAGATCATCATATATAGCTGACTAACACAAATGTTTTTATTTTACCTGACTTGGATGGTCGAACTTTTACTGCTATTGAGGTTACTTTGGCTGGGATCAGTTCACTTTTGGTGTTGTACAACAATCCTGAGCAAACTCTTTTATTGCCTCCATCTACAGCCCAAAGGCCTGAATCTGCTCCGGCTAGAGACACTGCTCCTATTCAAGTAACAGAAAAGGAAGTTTAAGTTTATAGTGTGACACATTAAAACTTATTTGTTATCACATGTTAAACATACCTACAAACCCATTAATGCGTACACTCTGACCATAATTTACTCGAGTGATGGGTTCAACTAGGTCATTGATGAAAACTTGTGAAAATCCTTCGCCAATCATCGTTTCCTCCAATGTTTGGTTCATAAGAGTCAGAAATCCATCACCACCCATGGCATGCAAGAGTTTCCCCACACTAGAGAAGGAGTAGCCATACTGCTGGTACTGATAGATCCTGTACATATAAGAATATTACTTAGTCTGTAAGTTAATGTGGACAATAAAAAAACAAAAAAAACAGATGATATTCAGAAGGACTGTAGTCAACTTAAGAAATTCTTGGTTGACTGAGAACATGCCCTGTGCATCGATTGATATGCCATTGTCCACATAAATCTTATTTATCTCAATACTTGTTGAGTCGAGTAAGTGACCAAAGCTTTAATAATCAGATTATGTTTCATAAACTCTGCAAAATCTTGGTTGAGCTTCAAGTGCTGTTCAAAAAGTGAATATTCTGTTAAAAAAAATTACACTGCATTCCTCAAAAAAAATCTGAGATATAATATTTTTTTATATCTCCCACCTCCATCTGTAAGGTTTTATTCTTACATGGGAGGACTGTAATGAGAATACTAAGGATAACCCAACTGTGAAATTCCACATTCACACATGACAATGTACTCACCGCATAAATTTATCCAAAATACTCTCCACCCACATCTGCATTCGTATTAGGTTGAACCCATATCTCCACAGAAAACGCAAGAAGTTTACAATGAACCAGTCACTCTCCTCAAAGATTAGTTCCTTTCCATTAAAAATTGCCATTTTGGATGCAACATCTTTTCTTGGAGAAATGCCTGGAATAAGTTAATATAGGTTTCAAAGTGATAATATATGCACGGACAGACTACATTGAGAATGTATAAAAATTACCTAATCTGTCAACAAAGTGCTTCATATGGAGGTTGAGAGGATGTATAACTGATCCGCCCACTTCATATTCATAATCACCGATCTTAACAGTTTGTAGTCGCCCACCAATTGCATGAGATTCAAAAACATCGATCTTTACCCCTGGACCAAACTCTTGCCTCAGGTAATATGCCGTAGCTGTACCACCGATTCCTGCTCCAACAATAGCTTTCAAGAAGAAAACAAATATATATATTTTAAGTAAAAACTGTTAGTAAGCAGTAATAGTGACACCAGACATACCAATCTTTTTGGGCTGATCTCCAAGATGTGGGGCAGAAGCCAAGCTCTTTCTACTTGAGTTCCATAGTCCCAGAAACAGGAGAGCTCTCAGAGAAAGGGAGTGTAGATACATTATGGACTTCTAACGCTTGAACACATCTGCAAAGAAGAGTAAATAAGGCCACATATAATTACACTACACTACATATTACTGACTAAGCTCTTATCATAACGAGCAAAGGTCACAGTGAACTGAAGTCAATATCAGGTTTAAACAAAGAACGACATATATATTTAAGACAGTAACCTACACCCGAAAATTGTTTGTTGTAACTAGATTAAAAAATATTACGGGCATTTGATTTGGGTGTAGAGCATGGTATAGTTTAGAACACAAGTTAAAAATCATTACAGCAATCACAAAGTATGTACAATAAGCCGCGTTGGCCATTTACCCAGAGTTATAAAGATTATCTGTCGCCACAGCGAAGTGTCAGAAATTGTTAAAAGTTCAATAACTTCCTCAGAAGTGTTAAATAGGTCCATGCATTTCCGGGATTTTGACTGTCACTTCTTCATGTCTGTTTTCAGTGGAAGTCATTGTTTCAGAAACCAGCACCACTCTGTGGTCGCTTTAAGAATAAACGAACAACATCGATGCAAATAATACTTAAAAACACGGCACTAAATACAGAGCCGTGTTGGCTAATGCAGTATCTCTGGCTATTGATGAGGAAAAGGTAATAAGCATATTTAGATTTAAAAGACACAGGCCGGAAATTGGGTGATGATGATATTCAGTCTCACGGAAGAAAACCGGAAGCTGTCCATTTGAGCTCATTTGAACCATGCCTGAATGGAGGTGACCTAGACATCTTAAATTTCACGTTTTATTGCGCTACAGTCTATCTAAGACCCAATTCAACATACTGAAATTAAAACAAACACGAAATGGCAGAGGCTCACCAGGGACGTGTCCAAGCTGTAGTGGAAGAAATGGTCCAGAGTCTGGAGAGGGACCATATTCGCAAAATGCAAGTAAGTCCACACGTACTTTACAAGCCTGTTCACTTCACATTGACCCTAAACGACCTGGTTTTTTACAGAGTCGTATGTTCAAGTGCAGCGCGGAGTGTTGTGATCGCTCCACAGACTCTATGACCCAGGTACATCAATGCATCGAAAGGTGCCACACTCCACTGGCTCAGGCTCAAGCTCTGGTCACCTCAGAGATGGAGAAGTTTCAGGTGAGGACAGCGGCACACAGGAAATATTACTCAATGATATGTTGTTAAAAATAAATCATGCTGTTTTCATAAATAAGTTTGCTTATATTGAAAAAAAAAGTATGTCATTATGTCAGAAGAACATTTACTCACAGGTATTCTTGCTAACCAAGGTGAAGTCACTGATCTTGTTTGTAAATCATAGTATTATAAAGGCAAAATTTAATAAAATGTATTCCTTTATATCTACATGCAGGACCGCTTAGCCAGGTGTACAATGCACTGCAATGACAAAGCAAAAGATCTTTTTGACTCTGGTGCTAAAGAGCCTGCTGTAAGGTCCATGATGGAGCGCTGTGTGGGCACCTGTGTCGATGACCACATTAACCTCATTCCCAGCATGACCCGAAAACTGAAGGAGAATTTGGACTCTATTCATCAATGAAGAAGGCCATGGGCTGCCCTGTGAAAAACCTTAAGTGACTGGTGGTTACACTTGTATTGTTACACATGTAACAGATGCACAGTCAACTCATTCAGTTAGGTGGAAATAAATGAACTTCTCATGAGTTCTTGAGGCTGTAGATTTAAGATTTCCAGTGTAATCTTGTGACAGTTGTCATGATCTGTATGATCTGTACAGCCTCAGCATATGTCTTTGACTTGTGACTGGTTTGTCAGTGAATGGCCAGGAATCATGGCATGATTCTCAACCCAGAGAGGAATCGGATCTCTGTACTGCCGTGTTTACCTACCAAAAATAAAGCACTGTTTTCAAGTCTTAAATTGAGTATGCTGCCATGTGATTGCCATTTTACAATTTTATTGTACTGTATTGTCAGCTACATAATAAATGAAATAACACTAAAACCAAAACATAACCAAAGTTAAGCAATAACATGCAGCTTCAATGAAGACATGGTTTATATTAGCACCACAGCCCAAGTAAATAGGCAGTTTATTTTTAAGTCATAACTTTTACTCCTTAAAAAAAAGATTTAAAAAATGAATAAGATAATTTTGATACAAGTAGGGTGCCTTTTAGAGGCGTTGATCAACATGCATGATACAGCAATATGTCATTTATGTTCAGTTAACAGCAGATCGCCTACAAATTGGGCCTAAACTAAATCTACAAGAACAGTATAATTATTCCTGATTATATGAAATGTTGGGGGAAAAACAGCACAACAAATAACCAAAATATTCTGTGATTGACAGTGCAAAATAAAAACCACAAGCTGCAAGTAAGGCTGTCACTACGGATGGACATCGACATTATATAAATTAGACATTTGCATGTATGGTAGTCTACAACCTCCTAAATGAATGTGTTCCTTTAGCAAACAAAAAAATGACACACTTTATTATTAGACTATAGTATGTGTACATACCATATAACTTCATATTTTGCTGATTAAAGACATTCTCTGTATCATCTATAATGTATCTGAGAAGAGTGTTGGCTGTTACGGAAAAAAAATCTAGTTCTTACTTAGTTGCATTAAAGTGCAAAACACATTACTATTGCGTTGGTCAAAGAAAGAATATACATAGTGGAATTAAATACTGGCTTCATGTAGACATCATAGGCCTTGTTTTACTAAGAAATGAGCAGTCTATAAATATTTGTTAATTTGGTTAATATCTAGTCAACTCCTTTTAACAATACCTCTGTTCCCCTATTTGGAACAGAGATTTGATAATAGTTTACTATAATTTATCATTGAGCTATACATTTTAGGATAATTAATGGTCCACACATCAGTGTAAACAGTACACACTGAAGGCAAAAGGGATTTTTTTTCTCAGCAAAATTGCTGAAACATGAACTTTCAATTACTGCAGAACCAAATCTACCAAAACAACATCACATACACAGTATGAACAGAGCATTTAAATGACATGGGTATCAAATGTGGTGGTATATTTACATACAAGTTCATGTCAATTCTTCAGCTCCACCAGAGGAATGGTAGCCTTATGTTTGATCATGACACACTGCGAGTGCTGCTCTCTTGTTCAGGGGAATCTGGTCTCTGGTCCGAGTGAGACGACGTGTACAGGAAATTACAGCAGACATAAAGTGGGAATGACAACAAACGACTGTCCAGGTTCATCACCACATACTCCTGAGAAGATTCAAACAGACTATTGTGTTAAAATAGTGTAAACCTCCTTATAGTTTGGACAACTCGGAAGAGGACCAACCTGGTCTTTTTCTAATGTAAGAAGTTGGTAACCCGTTGAGCGACTACACACCAGCTTTCCCCGGGTGTCAAATGAAGCAAGGCGTAACCTGGACCATGAGAGAAAGTTGGTAGGCCAACACTGACTTATATTCATTTTATATGAAATTCATATTCAAGTTCACCATTGCTGGTGCTCACTTAAGTACATCAGAAAAAAAACTATTAAACTATTAGGTAAAAGTGCATAATTATCTCACCTGTATGCCAAATGCCTTCTGGGCTGGAGACTAACAGCGCCCCCACATGGCTGGCTTAGAGTATTTCTTTTAAAAACAATAAAGCGATTTGTGTAGGTTACAAGCAAATCAAAGCCAAAGTTAAACCCCGTCCAACGCCAGCAGTACTGAAAAAATATACATTAAAAAGTTTTTTAAAACAATTATTAAAACAATATATACAATATACAACATATGAGGTACAAATGCAGCTCACATCTCCTTCTTTAGTCAATTTTCTGCCACACCGCATACTGCTCAGTTCAAATTCCTCCTTGTTTGCCTCCTGAGGACTAATTACATTAGGCACCTTGGTCAGAACTACAGCATTGAAAGGGAATATTTAACTTAATGTTTTTTTTTCCTTACCCATTGTCATTGTCAAATTCAGTCCTGAGCATGGCAAACCACTGATTTTTGTAAACAGTTGTTAGCCAATCTGATCAAGAAAGAAAAATTAGTGGAAAGTAAGAATGCCATTAACATCAGCATATACAGCATTTTCTCAAGAGAAAATAAGGACTGTACCTGGGGGGAGAATATTGTCTCTCTCCAGGATGCGAGCAGATGCCAGATCATTGATAATATATTGAAGACGAACATGTTTAAATACTGAACTAAAATGTTTGCCATCCTCTGAATTTAAAAAGGGTTCTTGTTCACCAAGGTCTGTTATACAAAAACACCTTAATACATGTAAACAACTGTGTATGTTATGAGCTAACTATGAACTTACCTGTTCGCCTTTTACAAAGCCATGCATCTGCATCAGCAAGTAGTTGTTTGATAGGCCCATCCCATGATGGATTAAGCTGCAGAAACATCCACTACAAAAGACAAATTTCATAGAAAATGTCCACTTTAATATAATAATCATGCATGCCAATAAAATGTTTTTACTTACCTTTTTAAGGGCAGTGTATACATCCATTTCAACTTGCATAACAAACAGGTCTGATGACTGAATGAGCAGTTCCATTATCTCTGTACTGTTAATTAACAAAAAAAAAGATTAAATGTGTATTTTTATACAGTTTAATTAAAAAATAATGGCTTTTTACAGCCATATAACCAGTTTGTACACATTACGAAAATGTTCAGAAAAATGTGAGTTGAACACATACCCAAGTTCCTTCATCAATTCGATATTCTGGTGGGTCATTAGATTGTTGAGAAGCCATTCAAGACATCTGCAAAACCAAACAAAAGCACACACCTAGAACACACCCTTTGATTTGACTATGTAAATTAAATCAACTGAAAAATGTTCTTACTTTTTCATAACTGAATCTAAACCATATATACTAGCACAAGCATAGTAGCTACACACAGTCTTTGCACTGATGTTTTCCTTCATGGTCTCTCCACACTGCTGGATCAAGCCATCCTGCCGACCAATCAATATAGTTAGAATATCAACATCAGTCATGAGAGAAAATACTTACATTAAAACAACATGTGTAAAATTCACCAACCAGTTGAAGCATACAAGCTGCAGCTAATATACTGACGACTCTGCTGGGCTTAATCAGAACATCATCTCGATATAGTGAACCAAACACGACCTGAAGGGCTTTAAACAAAATAGTAAAAATGTATTAATTACACATATTTAAAAGGAATGAAAGACAGCTATGAGTGGGCAAGTTCTTTTGTTTTACCTTCAGTGTCAATGTTTTGATCTGGAATCTCAAGGTTGATCTCCATCATGTTTGATTCTTTCCAAGAGCCGCTAAACATGCTGGAAAAATATCCAGACTACAACAACAGAGATACATGAAACCACTGAAATGCAATTTACAATAGTGTGCAAGTTGCATAATTGTTCAAGTATTTTTGGCTTACCTGACAAAGGTATACTTTGTGAAGGTTCCACTCTTGTCCTAATGCACAAATGCGAATATCGCTGTTTTCCCCATTTAAAAATAGAGTTTGATAAATGTATCGAGAAGTGCTTTTCAGTTTCTTTCTGTAATAATTAGGGCACAAGGTGAAAAATACAAAATATAAATAAATGCTAAATACAAAATATAAATAAATGCTACATCTTTTGAGGACAGACCTGCGAGGTGTATCCAAGACAGCATCATCATCATCTTGCTCACTTTCACAGTCACACTGTGCATTGCGTTTCCTCTTCTTACACTCACAACTGTGTTTATGGATGCTGCTGCTGATGCCTTCCAAACTCTCCTCTGGTCCTAAAGGGGGGGACTGGAACTTGCTCCCCAAACTTCCCATTTTTATTCTTTTTTTTTAACAACATAAAAAACAATAGTCTGAATTAATGAGCAACTAATAGATCGATATTTTTAGGACAACGGTAAAGAGCTTTGCCTGAAATTACATTATGCAATTTGTTGATTGTATAGCCTAACTGGTAGCTAGCTAACTTGTAACTCAAAAAGCAAAACCTCATACAGAAATTAAATAATACATGTAGAACCATATGCGGCCCTGACTCTGAAAAAAAACAAAAACGGGCACTTCATTTCACAAAATCAAATTTCGGCAAATATCCAACTTACATATCTCCCCTTTCAAACAAAACAAGTTAAAAAAAAACCCAAAACAAAACAGGTGAAACAGGTGACAGCGGAAAATGTGAAGATGTGACGGGACCAAGAAGAGCTAAACATAAAGCTAGTCTTGCCAGCACATACCAAAACAAAGCAGCGCCTCTCAGACCAGGGCCTTCCTAAAGACTGAAGAGTCACCCAAATTGCCAAAGAAGTATCGGTTCCGATCACATGTTGTACATTTACAAAAGCAGTTCTTCTTCCAGGGAGATGTGGATAAGTTTATCACAAATGTCAGTGCGGTGCAGTGCAGAAAAAAGAAAAGGTGGTGCAGGGACACTTCTTCGCGTAGATTCAAATAGATTCAGAGCAGTGCACCTTATCCACGACTGCCTCCTGTCGCCAGAGATGAACATCCACGAGAATGATCGACAATAATAAAATAAAATAAATATGGATGTATGAATCACATAAATAATTATTACCGACAGATCACTATGACTTCTTGTGTTTCAGACATTTTAGAAGAACCACGAGAACCCAACGCACCGATGGTCGGAAATGACATTTGGGATGAAGGGCGTTTCGTTTCGCAAATCCAACCAATAAGCGTCGTGTTCCACTTTCACAACATTCCTGACTCTCCTCCTCCGCCTCTGCTCGTCTACCCGTCTGCCTGCCGCTGTGTGTGGACTGTGACACGTACTCTGTCTGTTTCATTGCTGTGACAGAGGGAACTTGTCCTCTTGAACCCTGCAAAAAGAAGAGAGTTCACAAATTCCATGTCGCCAAGCAGTAACCAATTTATTGTCGATCATTTGTAATATGGAGACGCAAGAGGCAGTGGCAGGTGAGCGTGGTTTGATGGTTAGCAATATGTGGATTTGTATGTGGTGTATCCTGTGTAATTATATCTAGTTAGAGTCAGGCCAAACAGATTAATTTAGATAAAAGTTGTTGTACAGAGATTTTATAGACCCAAAAATCCCAAATTTGAGAGATGTTCACAAAATAGCCTGTAGCATGGAGGACTACGTCAAAACAATTTATATTATAATTGCTTTCTAACTATGTCTATGCTGATTCATTCTAGGTGCTCTTATGGGCAGTCATGAAGAAAAACCTGCAAAAAAAGACAAAAAAGCTTCACAGAAGGAACAACAACCATGCAAAAACAGAATGGAGCAAATTTTTGGCTTCACAATAGAGGACTTCCGCTCCTGGCAAAGTTTAGTGACCCTTCTGAACCGCCCCATGGATCCTGCATCACTGGGTATTTTTCGGTTCTTGTTTGGTAAGTGCATTCTCACATTCAGTTAACAGACCTTTAACTTGATTGTAATGTGAATGTTTATGTTTTGTATTTGCAAGGTATGCTCATGGCCATTGACATCACACAAGAGCGCGGCCTCAGTCACCTGGATTGGAAGTACCTGGATGGAGCTCCCGTGTGCCGCTTCCCACTCTTTAATTTTCTGCAGCCACTTCCTCTAGACTGGATGTACTTTGTATACCTGGTCATGTTTCTTGGTGAGTTTAAATAGGTGTTTTCGACCCTAAATGCAGATTGTGGTGATTATTACAATAGAGAAACACTTGATTTTGTGTGCAAACAACTATGAATACAGGAATAGGTCTATATACTTAACATAAATGTATTTTTTGTTACAGGGGCAGTGGGGATCATGCTTGGTTGTTTTTACCGCTTGTCCTGCCTTATGTTCTTATCAACGTACTGGTATATTTTTTTTTTGGATAAAACTACTTGGAACAATCACTCTTACCTCTATGGCTTGATTGGATTTCAGCTCACTCTTATGGATGGCAATCGTTACTGGTAATGTAACAAATCATTTAATCATTTATATTAAGTTGAGTAAAAAAGCATCTTAAATATAATACATTTTCACCACAATCTTATTTCAGGTCTATAGATGGACTACGGAAACCTCACATAAGAAACGCTCATGTGCCACTGTGGAACTACACTGTGCTCAGGGCGCAGGTCAGACGTTGTTCGACTTTCACCACATATTTTGTATTAAACTATTCTAACATTTATTTTCTGTTAAAGATTTTTATTGTCTATTTCATTGCTGGAATCAAAAAGTTGGATGCTGATTGGGTGGAGGGATACTCCATGTCATATCTGGCTCACCATTGGCTTTTTGACCCTTTTAAGTAAGTATCTCCATTGTTACTTGGTGTAAGGATTGCATTATATGTGTCTAACCCTGTTTATGCCTGTTAGACTTATTCTTCCAGTTGAGCTAGTGAGCCTCCTTGTGGTGCATGGAGGTGGTCTTATTTTGGATTTGACAGCTGGCTATCTACTTTTCTTTGATGCAACAAGACCTTATGCTTTTTTCTTTGTCTCCTATTTTCACTGTATGAATTCTCAACTTTTCAGTATTGGTAGGTCTTTGGATTATTCTCATTTGTAGAAGTTTAAACATCTGAATATGAATACAATTAACTTATTTTTACAGGAATGTTTCCCTACACAATGCTGGCCACTAGTCCACTTTTCTGCTACACCGATTGGCCAAGGAGATTTTTTACACATTTCCCAGACTTCCTCAAGCCTATCTTGCCAACCACCTCATTGGACATTAAGTCCAGTTCTTCTTGTGTGTATGGTGAGGTACAGAGAGGCACTGAATGTCAGGGGACTGCACCTGTGAAAAAATCCTTCAAACTAAGGCACAAGATGGGGGCAATTTTCACCATTGTTTACATCATGGAACAACTGTTCATGCCATATTCCCACTTCATAACACAGGTAAAGCAGCATAGTCGCTGAAACAATAACCCGGTATTGTATTAGGCAGTAGTAGTAGAGAGTATTATAGATGTATTCTGCAGACAGCAAATGCATTCATTGGCTGCTCTCAATATAAGTCAGTACAGTCATTAACCTATGGCCAACAAAGTTTAAGTGAAAGCATTAAGATTTTTCCTTAAATTGATAATGAGACTGAAGAAATCATAAAACCGTACATAAAATGTGAATGCTTATGCTGATCTGTGTTTTTAGGGTTATAATAATTGGACAAATGGCTTATATGGCTACTCATGGGATATGATGGTTCATGCCCGTAGCCATCAACATGTAAAGATCACCTACAAAGATGGAAAAACCGGAGAAATTGGATATTTGAACCCGGGGGTGAGTCAATGAACTAAAAACCAAGAGCAGTACTGTTAATCTAAGTCAAATTAATGCACAATTGCAAACAAACAGTAATTTCCTTTATTACAAATGTAATAAATGATCATTGGCTGTGTCGTGTGTAGGTGTTCACTCAAAGTCGACGCTGGAAAGATCATGGAGATATGTTAAAGCAGTATGCTACCTGCCTAAATCACCTGCTTCCACGCTATAACATCACTGATCCTGAAATTTATTTTGACATCTGGGTGTCAATCAATGATCGTTTTCAACAAAGGTGACACCTTATTAAAACATACATTTTAATTTAAACATTTAACTTAAATGTATTGTGAAAGTATTAATGTATTTATTTTTTGAAGGATCTTTGACCCCCGTGAGGATATTGTGAAAGCAGAATGGTCGCCTTTCCGGCCAAACCCATGGCTAATGCCTCTCCTTGTTGACCTTTCACCTTGGAGGACCAAATTTCAAGAGATAGAGGGGACTTTAGATAACCAAACTGAGATTGTCTTTATTGCTGATTTTCCAGGTTTGACATTTTTACATTTTGGTATGTTCTGTACATTTGAAGCATGCAATGATACCTTTTAGTCTCAATTTGATCTTTATATTGGAAATGTTCTTTTCATTTCCACTGTTGATTTTGGATTTAAGTGCATGTATAATTTGATGAGTACTAGATGATGTTTGTGTAGGTCTTCACTTAGAAAACTTTGTCAGTGAGGATCTTGGAAACACAACCATCCAGGTTTTGCAGGGTCAAGTCAATGTTGAGATAGTCGAAGAGAAAAAGAACTACACTCTAAAGAAGGGAGAGCAGACACAAGTATAGCAGTTCTTTACATTTTGATAATATGTTGTTATCTTTTGGGCTGAACTAACTTCGTCTCTGTGTATAGGTACCTGCAGGAGCCTACCATAAAGTGTACACAGTTTCTGATGGCCCCTCATGCTATATGTACATTTACGTCAACACCACAGAGGCTGAACTGCAAGAAAACTTCACCAAGCTGCTAGAGATTCAGGAGCGAGTTCGGAATGGGACCGGTCATTCATGCTTACATAATTTTACCTTATGTGCCTTTATAAAATACATTTGTAACACAAACATGTCTCTCCACCCACACAGAAACAGAACCACTTCCTCCTGAGCTGCAGCCTCTCCTTTCTGCTGATGAAGGGTCAGAGGTGAATGCCACAGACCCAGTAGTGCGACTATTTCTGAAGAGGCAACGACGTATGAAAGAAGTAAAAAAGCGAAGAGAAGCGGGTATTTTGGAGCGGTTTGACCGATTTGTGACCAAAAAATACTACACTATTCGTAGAGGGTTTGTACCATTTGTCTGTTTATACACAGGGTCCTGTACTGTGCATCAAACTAATGTCACGTAATGCATTACATTTATTTATTTCAGATTTTTAATGACAGCAATTGCTATGAGAAATCTGGCTGTGGGTCTCCCTCCAGTTGAACAGCTTACCAGAGAAGTTGCCTATGCCAACATGAAGGGTCCTCAAAATGATGACCACCAAGATGAAGCTCTTAAAGATGAAGTTGGTCACAGTGAACTCTAAAACTAGCTCAAAGTTGTACAGGGGCTGCCTCACATATCAAGTTCAACTACTGCTGGACTGTTACTGCTCTGGAATTTTTAAAGACATTTGTATTTTTTTTACTTGATTTTTATATTCAGAATTCAAAAAATGTTTTCCTGCAAAAACGTGTTGATTGTTGCGATATGAACACTAAATAGCCCAAACGCTGAAGGCTTAATTAGTGATGGGTTTACCAACATGCTTTCTTTGTATAATTATTTGCTGTATATTCTGATGTAAATGTTGTTTTATGCATTTATTTTTTTTATCTATAGTACAATATGAATAAATTGTTAATTCAATTTAATTCAAAACATGACACAGTTTTTTAGTATACTAATTTAATGACAGTACATTCTTTGTCACCCATTTTCTCATAATATGAGTAGAAATTATGGCACTTTTACAGCCTCTAGTACAAGAGAATAATAGTGTTTTGTTTTTGCTTTGTTTTTTTTACCCAAAACGTTTCATTATTACTCAACTGATCTGCAAGATTCAGTAACAAAAGTTAAGATCATAATGATCTGAACAATTAGCTACAATTACTTTAGCATGTTTACAAACTATTACATGATAAAAATTAGCACTTATTTATTGCACAGTATAAATGGTCATTTTTTAACTTTCATAGTTGACAAGATGACTTTCACAGATGTTCCCTTTTCACCCATCCCAAGGTCATAGTGTCTCGTATAGTGTTACTGGCCTTATAATTATCTTCCATTTTAATCTTTTTCATTCAAAATGAAAACTTACAGCTACAAGTCAAATATGTCTGCAATGATGACACACCTTTCTAGCAAAGAAATGTAGCAAGACTCAATTTGACCATATTGTGAATTCATTTGCAACTTTATATGAAAACACAACAATAAATTAAATTTGCAGAAGTTAAACATTGTACTTTAAGTGCTCATATCACTAGATATTTGTTCACTACACTATTACTCATCTATCACACTTCCTTAACAAAGCTATAAGTTGTCTTCATTAATGACTAAAGATCATCTAAAGAAAATGGCATCACTGAAATTGTAACAGCTGAGTAACATATGTTAATAACTTTTGTAGATATAATGTCACATTATTAAAATATGTAACCCCATTTCTGGTTTTGTCCATAATGCACGGCTCCACAGTGCTGGTGTTTCAAAGGTACACAATTCCTGTTTACAGGGCAGGGTCCAGTTGCTCTGTCTATGTAGTGGACAAATGTCTGTCTCCTCCAGTTCAGAAACATTTTTCCATAGACAAAATAAATTTTTTCCCTCAAAAATTGCTTTGCTTGCAATACATTATATGCAGTTGTTTGTACATTGTGCATGTGAATGAGACACGTACAAATATAACTACAAGTCTTATTTGCCTCAGATAATAGTGTTCATTTACTAAATTATATCCAAAAAGGGTCAACTCTTTGACGAGTCATAAATCATCATAACATATACACTACCAGTCAAAAGTTTGGACACAACTTCTCATTCATTGTTTTTTTTTAATACGTTTACTACTTTGTACATTTTATATACATATGGAAGACATCAAATATATGACACAAAGTACATGGTATTATGTAGCAAAGAAAAAAGTTAAATACCTCTACTAAATTTTTTTTTTAATATTTTATATTCAAATGCTCAAAGTAGTCACTCTTTGCTTTGTCAACAGGCCTGCAAACCCTTGGCCTTTTCTCAGTGATCTTTCTGTTAACGTCTCTGGCTTCACAATAGAGCCCAACCGATATGGATTTTTGTTGTGGCCAATATGAAACCAATATAATGGGAGTTGGAGCTGCCGATAGCCGATATATTTAGTGATGTAAAAATTCACTGTAAATCTTGAATTGTATAAAAAAATTAGGTTTGGCTCTAGTGGATTTTAAATTGGGTTTATTTAAGCAACATTTATTGTTCTTCTGCCTCTTTGTGTCATATTTACAGACAGTAGATAACATTCTAGCTACTAGTGATCAGTGTTGGGAGTAACGCGTTATAAAAGTAACGAATTACAGTAATGCATTACTTTTTGCTGTAACGCAGTAATGTAAGGCATTACAGGGGAAAAAATAGTAATATTTTACTCGGTACAAATGTGAGTAACGCGCGTTACAATGTTTTTTTAACCTGGATTGAAGTGGTGGGTTTTTCTTCATACAAATTCGCTAAAATCACCTCGATATCAGCAGCGGTGAAACGCCGGAGATGCGCCCTCGTAGACCTTCAGGTAACTGCGGGTGAAAGGACTGACAAAGAACTCCATGCTGTTTAGACCTAGTTTAGACCTGGGTCAGTTCTGGTTTAGACCTGGTTTACACTCGTCCCTCCCTCTATCGCAGTTCACTTTTCGCTGTCTCGCAGATTTATTTATTTTTTTTGTGCAATTTTGCATGCCCTGTTTTTTTTTTTTTTTACATTGTATGAACACGTGTTGCGTTCCTCCCGCTGCGTCCTGACTGGCCAAGGGACTCCTGTCTCCTGTACAGTACAGTACAGAATGTGTTCAGCTGCCAAATTTAAATACATGTTCAATCTCTAGCAGTGTGATTCTGAAGTGCTGTACGGTTGCAAGTTTTCTCCCCGACGAAACCCACAACGTCGACGAAACGTTCTGCACTGACAAAGGCTCCTGCGCTCGCACCCAAAAGGCAGAGGAAGATGCAAACCATCACACAAAAAGTTGGGCTTCTGAACACGCTGAAGGAAGGTAGAAGTTACTCACTGTAGCAGAGTCTTGCACCGGCTCGGGTACCTGCAAATAGTTGCTGAAATCAGGGCCGCGAGCCCGAGCAGCAGGGTGTCCATAAAGAGCGATTGGATGACAGCCGCTCTTCCCTCCGTGAGGTGCGGAGCAGAGCCGCTCCTTTCTCCTGCGGTCACCTTCGAGCCCGTCCCTACAGTGAGTCCTGTTTTAGTCCTAGTTCAGTTCTGGTTTAGTCCTAGTTCACTTCTGGTTTAGTCCTGGTTCAGCTCTGGTTTAGTCCTGGTTTAGACCTGGTTTAGTCCTGGTTCAGTCCTTATACAGCGCAAAAGTTATTTTGGTCAGAGTAACTTAAAGTAATGCAATAGTAATGTAATGGCCTTACATTTTAAATGCAGTAATATTGTAATGTAACGAATTACTTTGAAATGACAGTAATAGGTAATAAATAACGCATTACAGTTTCAAAGTAACTTGCCCAACAGTGCTAGTGATGGGTAGCAGGACTAAAGCAGGTCCAAACCAGGACTGAAAAAGGACTAAACCAGGACTAAAACAGATCTAAAACATGTGTAAAACAGGACTAAACCAGAACTGAACCAGGACTGAGTGTCGGGACTTGGTCTCTATCTCTCTCCCTCTCTCGAGCCCAAGATTAGTCCTGGTTTATTCATTTTATGCTGAACTACAGCCAAATATGCACGTTTTTTCTATCCTATGCGCAGCAGATTTCTGAAAGTTTCGTTTTGAGCCGCTGCCGCTGTCAAACCACGAGTTTGCACACGGCTTGAAGAGAAAAAGTGAGAATATGAGAAAACAAGACTCCCAAAAAGAAGCAGGCTCCTGTCGTTCGCTTCAAAGAGCCGGCTCTAAGACCCGCTTCGTTCGCGACCGACCCATCACTACTAGCTACTAAAGTAAGCCACCGCTATTAGCCTTTAGCCGTAAAAACGTGCGAGCCGCGGTAATTAATTATATGCATAAATGTGGATCATTCACACGTCTATTCACAGCTCATTTACATATCAATACAGGTCCAGTAACAAATATACGGCCAATATAGTCACTTTACAATAGACCAATAGAAGAGAAAACAGTCTGTTTATGTGTGGGAGCTACAGCAGCTAATCGCTAACCTAACCTGGCTTCAAAGTCGATGCATTTCCAACACCCACCGCTCACACAGTCTCCTCCTCACATCACAAGTCTGCACTAATAAATGTCCTTTTAATCCAGACTTAAACCGATTGTCCGTAAAAAGAATATAATCTCAGTGTTGCGCACATGGATCTATGTCTGCGGGTGTAAACAATAGCACGTGAGTGAAGTGACGCGACTCTGGGGGTGTGTTCAGGGACAGTACGACCACAGACACACAGACAACCGCACAATGACTCCGCAGATAAATACGGATGTGGAGCCACATATTAGGACATTTATCTGTCTGTAAATTGGATTAAATGAACATAATGTGGAGAGACTAAGATTTATAACGAGGTGTAACATGCCCACGTGAAATATCGGCCCCTATCTGCAAGCACATCGGCCGATAATATCGGCCAACCGATATATCGGTCGGGCTCTACTTCACACTTCACAGCTGTGCCATGTCATGGTCAAGAAATATTGAGTTATTTTGAGTTTATTTTTTGTTTGCTACATTTCATTTGTGTCCTTCATAGTTCTGATGTGTGATGAGTGAGAATCTTCAACGTAAATAATCACAGAAATGAAGAAGTGTGAAAGTATGTCCAAACTTTTGCCTGGTAGTGTATACATTTCAGAAGCATAGTCATATGTACATATGCCTGCTTTTAAGGACCCTCATAAAAATAATTCCAGTACACAAAATTCTTACATCCATGTGTCAGTTTCTATCTGGTTATTTTGGACTCAAAGATGGGAGTGCACTTCCTGTAACAGTGTGGTCTTTCAGGGCATGTGGTTGTTCTACCTTGGCTGAAGATCTGGGTAGAAAATGCCATGTATCACACCTTCAATCACAACGTTAGAATATATATCTGAAAAAATAAAATAATAATAATAATAAAGAAATAAAAAAGTATTGGTGTATAGGTACAAAAATGATTTAGACAAACCATGGGTGGAAGGAAGAAGGTAGGGGTCTCTCACAAACAACATGACTGGCTGGTGTGAGAGTTTACTGTGAAAAAAAAGACCAATTTAAAAACAGAATAAAATAAAACACACAGAGTAATGTTGGGTTTCCATGCTTTTAGGGGACATTACTTTGATTTCCATTCATTTCATTACTTGAACTTACATTTCATTTCATACTATTTGCCTATTCTTAACCCATTTTAACCCATATGTGAATTTTAAATCACATTAATCTATAAAGAAAGGTTTAACGTCATAGGCGCAATCATAAACATTTACCTCGATCCCTCAGATTCTGTATCAAATGACCTAAAAGAAAGTAAAAAGATTATGATTTTTAGGTTTCGTTTTTATTTCTTTGAATTGGTAGTTTCAACGTACCCATAGCTTTCCATTTTTGGCACAGAGGGAAAATGGCGGATGTTCAGGAAATCCAAGAATATCTTTGGAAGAATCTCATTTTCTATAATTATGGTCTGTAAAAAACAGAGAAAACAATGCAAATTACCACGTGGCCATATGGGCAAGACTCTAAGGGCTCGATGTGAACCTTACTTCAGTGTAAACAACATTAAAACTCTGTTCAAAAGCATATATACAGCACCTGCATCTTAATCAATACTACAGATTAGGGCTGGGCGATATGGATCAAAAAATATATCTCGATTTATTTTGCTATATCTCGATATATGTTCAAGAAAAAATAATCTTCTAAAACTGAAAACTGCAAAAACAAATCTGCCAAATTCGACAAGGTCTTTTTTTTTAATTGAAGTGTAAGAGGTCGGCAGTTCATATAGGAACATTTAAGATTACAAAAAACCTAATTACATAAATAATAATTTAACTGTAAAATAAAATAAATAATACATATTTCCTTCTTTTCATTCATAAATAAAACAACTCAAGACAAGCTCATCTTTGCATTAACTCTGTTATCCAGACCAGAACCATAACCATGAGCTCCTTCAGCAGAAGAAGCTCAGGATGTTCTTTATTTTATTAGATCCATGTTCCAGCAGTAAGGAGTTCTGAGGTTTCCCACAATCCACTGCAGATCAAACCCAACGTTTCCAAACACTATTGTACAAGTGATACTGCAGCAGATTATTCATTAAAATCTTTTCCATAAATAAACTTTACATTACTAAACTTTACAATATATAAAGCACAACGACTCTAGAGCCACCTCAGCCATTTTGACATTATAATGTGTTTAATGCCGTTTTGCGCACGTGTGTTTACGTTTTACAGAAACGAAACTTAAGCGCGTGGCTCATTTGCATAAACAGCACTTCTCACGCAGCTCAGCTCGTTTAGCTTCTTTCGGGCTAAAGGACGCGACTCGGTGGAATATGAGGATGTGCTGCTGATGGTTTTGTCTGTAAATGGTTGAAAAGGTTCGTGGTGCTTGAAGCTTTTCACTGGCACCAACTTTCGGCGTTCACGGCGATAGTGAGGAGTGAAGGAGACACGAGCGAACAAAATCAGGGAGGCGGGAGCGCGCCGGAAGGTGACGAGAGAGAAGATAAACAAGCGAAGAGGCAAATTCTAAATTTAATATAAGCATTATATCGATATATACGATATGTCAGAATTCATATCGAGTTTAAAAACTATCTCGATATATTTAAAATATCGATATATCGCCCACCCCTACTACAGATATAGTAATACAATAGAAAAGAGGAAAAGATACCTGTAAGTAGTGCTCCAAGCCTTGCCTCCTCTGCTCCAGGACCTTGGGAACCCAGTTTCTGACATGTTTAGAAGGGATGTCAGGTGGTTTAATGGTTTTCTTCAACTACAGGTAAGAACACCAATACTGAGCTCATAATGGTAATGCAAGTATGTATTACTCATATTTAATGCACAATCAAACAACAAATTGTGCTGTAGATGAAAAGTTTCTTTCTCAAAAGTCAAAGTTAAAAGGCTGAAACACTCCAGCACTCACCAACTTGTGCAAAGTGTGGAATTCACTGTAGCGTTTCTCAATGGTGTGCTGTCTTCCATTTATTATAACTTCTATTTTAAAGACCTAAAACACAGACAGTGTCATTAAGTCATAGCCATATTACAATCTGCTAAGCTGTCACTTTGTCAGCATCTTAACAAGAGGAAACAGGCAGTTTCTCCATACAGGCTTTAACTTCCTAAACTTATTTATTCTCTTTCATGCAATGCATCATTCCTTCTAATAATGTAAATAAGAAAATTTGTACTGCAGGACTGTAGTATAAAGTAAACAATAAAATAATAAAGATCAGAAAAATTGCAGAAATGACACTGCTAGATACTGTTCAAGAGCTCAGTAATGTAATGACATCTAAAAGGAGATAATCTATTGTAAGGATAATGACAAGATAAGCCTAATAAATAAACTTAATTATAACCACAAGTAATAGCATTTAGGTACTTAGGGGTCAATATTAAGACATTTGATTAAATAGGTCAATTAAATTGACCTATAATTCTATAATTCTAACACATCGTCCATATAGGTATAGTAATAGTCTTTACAGAATAAACAAGATTCACTGTCACAATATTTTTTTATCTTGATCTTAAAATTAAAAAAAAGAAAAAAAAAAGAAATCACATAAAAAGGTTACATATCAACGACATAGAATTCAAGCATATAAATGCGGAAGGCAATATAAATTAATGACCCAGAATTAGGGAAGGATAAGGATTGAGATGACTGGAGTCAGCGAAAATATGTTTGTTTTCACTGAATGGCAGCTTACCGTGTATCCTTTTTCGATAGTGTTGTTCTCTGATCGAAACGACGGGATAAACACCGAAACTGGGTGCATGTTGGTAAATTACGCAAAAAATAACAGGATATTATTATTAAATTGTATGTTTTACTAGTAAAAAAGGAATGCACTCCGCAGTCCGGTCTGTGGTCTGTGGCTCAGATCAAAATCAGGGAATTTTAAAGCGAGTGGTGAACAGTTCTGCGCCGTGGTGCCTCCAGTGGCGGGGAGGTCTATCGGAGGTCAGCACGCTTTTTAGCTTAGCGTATCTCTCACACATAAAACACAGATAACTTTACTTTTACAATGCTAAAATTCATGCTGGAGCAGAGAAAAAAGCAACAGATTACAAGTTCAAGTAGGGTTTTATTCAAGTCAAACTATAATGTGTGTAAATATAGTCCTATCACAATTTACAGTTGTTTTCCATGAGTGTACATTGAATAAAACTGAGTATACAAAGATAAAAGATTTTACATAGTACAAATTTCCCAAAACAATAATCATGAACTGTTATAATTTATTTATTTACTCCAATTACAAGCGTGCTAAATACACTTTGTTTTCTTTGTTTGTTTTCACACTTGCCTTTTCTTCTCCAGTACCAGGACCAGGGCCATTATCTAATATCTGGAAGAGTTACAGTGAAAGAAGGTGAGTAACAAATCAAGTAAATTTACCTGAAAAGTGGCTGGTGACATGGATACATACGTTGACATGTGACATCCTGACACAGAGGCATGATTACCAGTGTAGCGGACATCACAGCGCACTATGTTATTGCTGTAGTCACTTTCTGGGACTAAATACTGAGGGTTCACACTGACCTGTTGAAGAACATAAGGCTTACTAGAAAAAAACGTGACAGTATTAAAAAGGTCCCTAGTAATTGCTAAAGAATTTTTTTTCCAAAAGCAATGATCAACACAATGGCGTTGTCTTCTGGCTACAAACCTTGAGGATATAGTTTCCAGGTTTCACATCTGTGATGTCAATCCACTGGCAGTCAATGTCTGCATTGTAAGTATCATAACATCCTGGGCTTAACCCCTGCAAGAATAAACAATATAAAGAGAATACAGCATTTATTTATCAAAAAATATTTTAAGAAAATACATGCTGGCACAGGTCATTTACTGACAATGTTTTGTTGTTTTTATGCAATGTTTTGAGGACAGACCTGTTTGTGAGCGGTGCATGCGTAGCGGCGGTAGTAACCATAGTCACAGGAAGTGTCCTCCAGACAGAAGCTGACCTTGTGTCCCTCTGCCACTGAATGGTGAGTGCTGGCATCCAGCAGCTCATAGTGACTGAACTCATCCATGCTATGGTAATGTCTGGCAATATATACAGTCAAGGGTTAAGAATCAGTCTAAGTCAATTCAAAATGTTTGATATGAGGATGAGCTGCTCATCATTACAGTTAAAATTATCTAATACCAGGACAGTTCATAGATGTTTTACAATAACTATCAAACCACAAGGATCTTGGAATAAGGAGACCATAATCATAACACGATGTTATAGTCACTATTGTTAAACAGTTGTGATTTATGAGGTCCTGCCCTGTGTCATTTATCTAAAGTTTATTTTATGATAGACAAACTATCTGAGGTTCCAGAGAAGTTTACTTTCACAACATTTCAGAATCTGTCCTATCTACATCTAAGTCTCCTAGAGCCTTTGCCAGATGTGCTCATGAGGGGCAAAGTGCCCACTTCTTTCACAACATAACTTTAGACTGAGGTAAGGCGCCACAGATTCAGTCACTTCAGAAAACAGGGCTTTCTCTTTTTTCTTCTCAAAGTGGGACAAGTAGCAGTCGTGTTTCCTCTGGCCAAGAGCTCTAATCATAGAATATATATATACACACACACACAGATACACACATAATGGTTGGTTTCTGTCAATTACTCCAAAGCAAAGGTTATGTCAAGTTCATTTTCATCCCTTACGAAATGGCTCCTACAACAAATATTTTAAGTCTTAAAAGCATGACTAATAGGATACATCATGATGGTTCAAAACTGTTCTGGTTGTGGTTAATTGTGGCTCAACAGAGGGAGCCAAACTAGATGCAGGCAAGGACAAACTGCAAAGATAACAGTATCTTCTGAAGGAACAGCTGTTTACTCAGGGGTAACTGGATCCTCACAGCCCCCATATATATTTTTAGAGAGCAATTTAATGCATGGTTTGAATTTATTACTAAAATGTACTGAATACAGATAAGTGGTCTGTAGTCTGATAGCCCTATAAACCACACCCTAAAACTTGCCATAGTTCAACATATATAAGCCATTAATTTTATTGTAGCAGTTACAGGGTACGTTGTCTATATTTTAATGATCAACTACATGGCATCTTCATCCCTAAAAGTAGCCTGCATTATCTGCAAAACTAAACATATCATAACTAAGTTATAAAAGGGGCTAAAAGGGGCTTTTCCTGTTTTGGGGATTTGGGGATATAAAGAGATCTTGTCAGGCTCGTAAACATGTGTTTTTGTATTGGTGACTTGGTGGTACTCACTGGTGACAGCTGTGCCACTCCCAGGAGTAGCGCGGCCGGCTAGGGAGAAAGTCGGCTGTGCCCTGGTTCTTGACTCTCTGTGGGAATCTGAGCAGCATCCGCGTGTCATAGTCCCGAACACTGGACCTATATGCTGAGCTGTGGTCAACAACAGAATCACATAAAGCTTTGGATTGAATGACTTGCAGTATCGTTTGTCCTATGTGCCCCCGCCCAAATCTGTCTGACTGAGCCTGTCTGCTTTTAAATGCTGGGTGGAAAAAGCATTTATTCTCTGCTTGTTTGGGTAAGCTCTCAATAATGTGTTTACCAGAAACGCTTTCACTGCTTAGGCAAACTATGATTAAACCTCACTCAGATCCCCCACTGTACCCCCTCTTCATCATGGAAGGATTGGGTTAATTTCACCTTCAATTGACCTGTTCCTCTGAACAGCTGACACACAGACTCACTACTGGTCATGACTCAGGACAGTCTCCCTGAAACAGACCTCCAAGCCATTTGTTTTTTGTACATAAAATGTTTACCTGGACAGACAGTTTTCCTCAGCCGCACATCGCAGGCTGTACATGGGCACTCTCTGAACATAGATAGAAGCTTGCATGTAATATGGGTCAGGAACCAGGTCTGGGAGACCTACAAAAGCATAGTACTCAGAGTTAGTATAGTGGCTTATACACATTACAATTCTGAGTGAGCATTTTGTCTAAACTTTTTCAAGTTTCAGTACGAGTTACTCAAGTTATGGTTGAAGCCACCCCTCTTAATGTTAATCTCTTAATCACATAGTTAGGTTATTTCACTAAACACACAGGCTATATTTCTTGGAAAAAAAAAGCAAAAAAAAAAAAAAAAAGCAGCTGTGCTCACAGCTCTTACCATATTGGTGGTACCTGGTGCCGTATCCTGGTCTCTGCCTCCTTCCGGGCCGGTCATAAACATCATAATGGTTATAATACGGATTTTCGTAGTCGATGGACTTGTATGGATCATAGGGGTCATCACCGACCATCATGTCGTCTCTTTGCGATGGCCTTGGAACCACGGTGGGGTTGTAAACTGTTTCATTGGCCGTGCTATTCCTGCGCGTGTGTGCGCGCTCGGCTGTGTGTGCATTTCCCCTGAAGAGCCTCTGGAGAGGGACTGGCAGCCCAGAGGCCGGTCTGGAGCGCTGCTGCTGCGGGTCATGATGCTGTTCGCTCGCTTCGTCCCGGATGATGGTGACAGTTTGTGAATCCACTTGGCCTTGTGCTGCGCCTCGCCTCCTCGCGGGATGGTACTCGGATCCCTGGCTCAAAATACTGAAAAGTTTGCCATTGTGAGACCACTGCAGTGTCTGTCTCAGAGGTGCTCTCTGTGAGCTCGCTCGCGCACCAGATGCGTCTGATTGGGATTGAACTGCGTGCAGAAGTGAAACAAACAAACAGACACACGCATATGCCCAAAGTGGCGCTCCAAAGATGCGTAATCCCATTTCGAATGTTGACAGGAAACTTTGAGAACGAACACTTATTACAACTGATATTAGCTAGTAATACACTAGTTTGCATTAAAAGTACCACATTCCCGGCAAATGAAGTCCAGTCACTCAAGTGAATAAAACCAGTGCCTCGGCCCACAGCCTCACTGATGAAGATGAAGAATATGAGAAAGAGGAGGAGGAGTGAATGCGTAGACGAGTGCGTCTCATAACTGCTGTTACGTGATGCTCTGCTGTTGGACTAGGCCTACTTTAGAAATTGGGGGCTGATCAAAATAAGAAGAATTCCAATGCATTTGTAATTTGTGTTGTTGAAATACAGAAGTAGCAATAAGGTGTGACCCTAATCTTACAAAACCTGATTTCATAATTTCTTCTTTTTTTTCTTTTACTGATTCACAGTGTATTATGATAAATGATTTACTGCTGCCTGCTAGATGAACTCCCAACCAAGCTACACCCTTTGCCAGAGAAAAAAGCATTTGGAAAATCTAAACATTACAAGCTCCACCTCAGTACTGAAGCTTGACTGAAAACATGGAGGTCATAATTTATCTATTTTAGTCAGTCTGTGATCTTAGGTCTCCATTGTGCATCTGTTGACAGCTATATGCGAGTTGATGTCAGGTTTCAAAAGAGTTAGTCTATGGCACGGCTTGGGAAAGTCCATCTAAGCCTTTCACTTTCCTCTTGAAAGTAGGAGATTCTTTCTATAGCGTGCACTCACTGACCACATGATGACCACTGTTCAACCACAGGAGGTTCTTGCTGTTTGTAAAATCATACCATTTTATATCAAAGCTTCTCATCCAGAAATGCACTGATAATGAGGTATTGTACATTCACACCTAGTATTACCAGGTCACAGCTGCTTTGCATCAGTAGTTTGTGTATAGTAACCAGACAGTAATCAGATAGTATAGAACAAAACTTGGTACTGTTCCAGGCGCTCTCAGAAAGTCTCAGCCCTCCGGGCTACATGTCAGACTCAGCACTGTTTAAGTAATATCTTAGTTTTTTGTCTTCATTTTTTATCTGTTCTTTTTTGTTGTAAGTATACAAAAGTATAAGATGACAAAAACAGCTGCTCTCATCAAACACTTATGATTTATGAATAACACGTTATTTATGACCCTTGTGAATGTATCCAAGTGTAGTGCGGTAGCAGAACAACAACTGACATTGTTTTGTTTTTTTTTTGTCTGCTGTTAAGGAAACCAAACTTAAATAAATAATTCAGAGCATTCTTAAATTCACTTACATTTTTTTTTTTACTTCATGGTTGAAGCCACACCTCTTAATCTTAATCTCTTAATCATACAGTTGGGTTATTTTACTATACTCATATATTTCTTGAAAAATTACTTCTAAACTGCCACAACAAAACACATCAAGCTCTTATCATATTGGTGATACCTGGTGCCGTACCCTGGTCTCTGCCTTCCGGGCTGGTCATAACCTTCATGATTATTATGCGTGTTTTCGTAGCCGATGGACATGTATGGATCACTGACCATCATGTCCAAACCAAACTAGTCTTAAATTAATTTTAATTTCACAAAACCTTAGGCCACTTTATGTATCATATCAATGTTCTCTTTTTATTCCTATGCTTTAAGGTTTAGGATTTGTTTTTTATCATTCATTTTAGTGTTTGCAGTCTCAGTGTTAATAATGGCAGGACATTAGGCTTGCATGTTAGTTAGCTATGCTAATGCTTGATTACTTATTAATAACTATTGATTTCAGTATAAAGAACAGTGGGCAGAGTTGGGACTCTGAGGACGACAAATGAAGGTTCTTGTGGTCCTGCATACCGACGGTTCCTCCCATTGCCAAACTATGTGCACGTGTTTTCTTCTCTCAGACGGACAGTCAGAACCAGCTGTACCGGGTCACTGCTGTTTTTTACTCATAATTCATACAGTTCTTCCACTGAGGACACTGTTCCCCCACAAAATGCAAGGATACATCTGCAAGGAATTAGCCAAGTTCTTTTGTCCACGTTGCTGGATTTCTGGGCACTTGGTGAAGAGTAGTTGGATGAGACTATACTTAAACATAGTGTCTACAACAGAAGCCTGGGTATGAGACAAAATTGACCATAAAACCAGTTCAGTAGCATCACTGGTGCAACATCTGGTTTGCCACTAAACTTCAGACGAGATGGCGGCATCACGTCAGCATTTACAGAAGGGAGTGCAGCCAGACCAGAACACAAGACTATACATATTTATAAGTATTAAAGTGATTGATATTCTGTCCTCATTTCATTGGCATCTGAAGGAATTGTAGCACGTGCACACTGGTATAACAGATCAGGTTTCACACTGTAAATAATCTGCTGCATTTGCATATAATTACTCTGCTTTCCCCTCTGCTGGATGAAGTCACCACTGTCAGGACCACACACAGGGATCAAAACCATTTGGGCCAAGTGAATTAAAAGAACTAGGTAAGCTATGTGTGTTAAACTACAAAAATGTAATCTGTGAACACTCAGAGACTGCATATTTACCCTGTGCCAAATAATCATGGGCCTGTAGCCCAAAATAGAATTCTATAATATAATGATGTCACACTCTCAGATCGGGGGCGGGAGCACAGCCGATACAGCAGTATAGCTGTACCCATTTTATTTTAGTCTTAAAAATTTATTCTAAATGCTGAATCGGATTAGTTATCACACTTTATATGTCCAACAACACAAATTAATCAGCTAGGTTTCAGATTACAACATTCATGTGGGACTTGAAGAACTGAGATAACTGGCAGGAATATTGCATAATAATAATTCACTGTATTTATATAACACCTTTCAAGACACGCAAAGAGCTTTACAGTGCATCATTCATTCACTCCACACCTGGTTATGCTAAGCTCCTATTGTAGGCACAGCTGCCCTGGGGTAAACAGACAAATAGTAATAACAATACAAATTTATTAACACGGGCGGCCTAATTCAGTGATATAATTTGAATTGGGCATCCACTAAATGTAGACAATTAAAAGTGATTAAAAATGGGACAAGTTTTAAAAATATATTCTAAATGTATTGTTATTAAACTGATAAATAGTAATGTCTGTTAAACTACCCCCTTTATGCGGTTTTATTAATGATAGTTCCTGCTTGTGGTTAAGCCTAACTCTAAACACATTTAGCAGACAAACCAAATATTTCCTCCTCTTTCATAAATACTGTTATTCCTCCTCCTGGAGCACAAAGCTGGGGCTCCCGCCACACATAGAGAGAGGCAGTCTCATGGACTACGTGGCATTTTGCACATACACCGGCTGTACGTAGTGTGTGAATGAAGGGGAGGAGAAGCAGCAGAAGCACCAATAGACTCACACTTTCACTCTTACCCCACTGTCCCAGGAAAGATGGGGAGATTACAGTGAAGCCAGAGTAAACAAATGCTGATCCAAAGACTTGCTATTTGTCTTTTGTCTCCAAGGAAAAATTGGCCGCAGATTTTCTTTCTCCTGCAAAGGAAACAATTCAAACATACATTGCGAAAACATTCCTGCTTTGTTGAAAATGATCTAATTACAAAAGTATATATAATCCTTCACTTGCCCATGTTTCCTGTTATTTTATCTGTTCACTTTATCACATTTTTATTGTGCTTAAATAACAATTATTTTCATCTAGACAACCCTAAAGCTAAAGCCAAGGTTACCTGGCAGAAAATCAGTTCCTTTGTGGACTTGATTTCCACGTTTAACATTTTTGTATATTTTTTTTTGTGAAGGCGCCATCTACAGGGTGACAGCTGTACATATAGGCCAAAACAACTAATAAGACAAACAATTTTTTATGATAATGGCAGTTATCAGTATGAATTTTAGATGATGCCTATATTGTGTAAATTGTTGCTTTTGTCACATATCATAATTGAACTAAATATTTAATCATCATAAAGACAACAGACAAAAGAAATTAACATTTGTCAGACTACAGTTATGTGATGTAATTAATTTGAACCAACACTCGCTTACCTTCCTGCTGTCTCTTTTAATTTTAGACACTCATGGCCCATATGTGTTTTTGTGATGTGCATTTTGATAAATACAGCATTTAAGAGTTCATTAACTGTATGAAACTATGTAGAAAAGGACTACATTTTCATCCTTAAGTGTTCATAATACTTAATCAAATTATTTGTCCCACATCAAGACATTACTTTTATTTGCAGTATATTAATATATTTAATGAATGAAAAAATGGCAATTCAGACAAAGCAGGAAAAAAACAGGCTCAAATCACTGTTAATCAGTGCAAAAAATAATGTTATTACATCCAGTCAACTTTTAGATAATACCATATAGACCATCATTCTTGTTTGATTTGTAATGTAACAGACTGAAACCATTTTGCATATGAGGTGTTATCTCATTATGTCTTCAGTCCACTTTCTATACTTAAAGGGCTGTGCAGCAGTGATGGGCTTAGTGGCTTCTTTATCATGTGGTGAATAGCAGGTGCCCAGTGAAGAAGCTTTTGCAGCTCAGACCTACATTGCTCCTGCTGGACTCCAGCCAAACAGTATCCCCTGCCTCTAGCTGCAGTAGTATGTACCCAGACAGAAGATATCGTCTCACAATTGACTTGAAGCCCTGCAGAACCATTTTGTTGTTATGCCATAGACCTACTCTTGTGGAGGAGATGTAGGAGATGCAGAGGAAGCTAAACTGGTAAATGCCAGGGATAGTGCAGGTGAAAGAGCCTGTTTGAGGGATAGTGGTGCTGCTGGTTGTAAACCATACTGAGGAAGTAAAGAGTTTTCTCTGAGGATATGTTGTTCTTGCCCAGGAGGACAGAGAAGGCTGACTGTGGCTGTGTGGCATTTATGAGAGAAACTGGCAGTCCTGGAGGTCCTCTCAAGCTTGGGGGACCTGGACACACATTACAAATAATATATTTTATCACTGAATCTCAGATAATTAAATAGTTCTAAATAATGTTTTGAAAGTAATTGTCAGTGTACCTCATTGTCCAGAAATTCCTCGAGGGCCTGGAGGTCCGGGAGGTCCTCTGACACGGCATTCTGCAATATTAAAGTGTAAAGGCTTAACTTAGCCTGAATGAAAAAAGTATTGTCTATGTGGCTGTTGTAGGACACAGCAAAAACATTACAATAAGAGTTGTTACAAGTACCATGAAAATTTGTGTATTTTAAAAAAAAAAACTTTCACCCAGGGTTTGAGAGAAGAAATAGTTTGGTTTCAGAAATGGGATTTAGTTGACTCTGGCTTGTATTTGTTAAATGTGTTATTGAAACCTTTTTTCAACTGACCTTATCAAGACAGCCAGCACCCAGCACTGCACCAACACACGCCATATATAGAGAGAGAAAAAGTATTAAATAGATTACTAGTAATTACACACACCATAGATTTAAAGACACTGGGTTGAAGTGAGATGAATATTGTGTTTGGTGTCCTACCTGAGCAGGGTCGGTCCCTCCAGGCTGTGAGGTCCACAGAAGGCAGAGAGGAGCACTGCATCAGTCTGTTGGAGTTGGACAAGACACTATATGCATCCCGTGGGACAGATGTGATCCCAGTGTTGTCACAGATGACTCGAGAGAGACTCACCCTGGACAGAGCAATCCTCTGTCTCCTTGTGAACACTCCAGGGTTTTCATACCAAAGTCTGAATTGGACATGGAAATAAGCACTATTGTTGTTTATGTTTGTTGTTGTTCGAATATATAGCTTACTAAGTTACAAAGTGGTACAGACCTGTCTCCTTGCCGAATGTTTTTGAACTGATTTGCAATGAGGCATGCAAACAGAGGACCCACACGGCCTCCACGAACAAATGGCTCAGCGACTCCTCCTAGCCACACATCAATGTTTTCAGGTGTGCCATAGAGCTCCAGCAGCTTACGAGCAAGCTTTGTGTTGTTCATCACTTGAGCCAACTCAGCCTGGTTTCTGGGAGCAGAAAGACCACAGAACCGGCGCCAAGCATTGTATCCTAAGATCAGAAATATTATCCTTTTGTTTCTGTTAGCAAAATTGGGAGCCATAGGTTAAAAATGTTAAGACATACCTGGCAGGCCATGTTCACGTCCTCGCGCCATGTTCAGAGAGCCCAGGTCCAAAGCCAGATGCTGAACAAACTGAAACAATCTCTCCCTCAAAGCGTCCACCAGCATGTGATCCTGAGTATTCAGTTTGGCAGGACCACGGATTAAACCACGGATCAGGGGGTCAATACCACCTGGACCATACAAAGAGTCAGAATAAAGGCAAAACAAACTATAACTTTAAGTATCATCCCATACCCTCAAAAATGACCCTCCATGGGGTGAAGAAGGACCTGTACAGGGACACACTGGGAAACTGGGAGTGCTCTCTGTAGTTGGCATTGAGGCGGCCTAAAATGGGCTGGATGGCCAAGTGTGCGAAGCGATAGGCAGCTGTGGCAAAAACGTTGGAAATGCTTGGGTCAACTCTGGGACTGTAGCCTGGGTATGGACCGAGGAGCCTGCGCATAGTGTCTGGACCAACAATGTGTGGCAGGTAGTCCCTGAACACAAATATCTGGGGCAAAAAGAGAGCGTATTAACATTAATAACAGTAAAAATATTAAGTACAACAGCATACACTAAACTGAGTTGGAAGACAGTTCACAATTATATGGTAGAACTTGCTGTTTAACTGTCATCTTACAGATTTGTTGACCTGGTTTATGGTTAATATATCTCTGTAATTTCTGGGCTATCCACAAGCAACAAAAATGAGCACAAACTTCAATGTCTTCTCTGATGACATTGATAAATTATGAAATAATTTGTATTATTATTTTAAGTCATTATTCAACCGCAAAGATATGACTATTGTCAGGTGGAAGAATATCTAGAAAACCATAGAATGTTTTTGGAGACAATCCCTAACAAATAATGATTAGGTTTAATATTTGTGAATCATAAATTTGAATATTACTTCCAAAAATAGTGAATTATGCCTTTACCCTACATGTGAAATTATGACATTATCAATATCTGCACGTAATCTATTGAATAACTGGAGCTCTTACTTGTGTGTAAGCACCCAGGATCTTGCGGGACTCTTGGTAGAGCGTCTCACTGTCCCATTGTGGGTTTATTCTCTTGAGGGCTCGAGCCACACGATTGTGCTCCCTCACAAATAGTGTGTGAATAGAAGTCAGTGCAATGTTCTCGTCCACACGCACATCACCTACAAATAACAAAAAAAACTCTTGTAATTCTGTGTTTTTACATTCATGAAGCCATCTGTTGCCATCCATAACAATGTTTGTTATAATAGCATTCAAGTCTCAATGTAAAGTATTAGTAACATTTAATTACCTCACATTAACCTTCTAATTCATAAATTATAGTTGTTGTTTTTTTGAGTTAGGAGTTGTTGAGTTCAGTACAGTACAATACAGTAAAACCAAACTGACCTGCAATGAAGCAGGGCACCTCAGTGGCGGTGGTGTCATTGGTGACTCTTTTGCGTGTGGCACACATGTTCATCTCCATGTTGGTGAATGGCAGCAGCTCTCGACCGTTGTCTCTAAACTCAGTGTTGACGCGCATCAGGCCCCCTTCATTCTCAGTGTCCCGCAGGAACAGGGCCAGCTTTTCCTCAGAGCCGTACACCTGGCCTAAATCCAGGAAGGCAGTGAGTGCATTAATCTGCTCTCTTTTTCTGGGTTCTCCACCAAAGTTATAGGCTGAGAACCCTGTTCCACATGTAGGGGCAGATCTGAAGGCTGGGATACAGCTATCCTTTCCAGTGGGCAGGCGGGGGTCACCTGGGGGTATCTAGGGAAAACATTGTACTATATGTAAGGACCTTCAAATCCGAAGAACTGTAGGAATATATTTTACGAAATTTGGATAGATTAAAATTAAGATTTTATTACAATTGCTCTCTTGTACATTTGAAGCACTAACCGGGATAGGGATGCAGGGCTCACTGCGCTCACAGCTCTCATCACAGTTGAGCCCGTTGCTGAAAGAGCGAATGCTTGGAGAGAATGGGGTGAAGGTCAAGTCATGATCGTTCCATTGACCAAACAAGGTGACCATATGAGTGTATTCTGTGTCATTGACAACTCCTGCATCTGTTGTAGCCAAAATGTTGTTGGACACGTGTCTGACCTGCAAAAGACAGTTTTAAGCATGCATACTTGTCATACATAACAATGACATACTGGGGTAACATGTCACACCAACGGAAGCAGAAAATTGTTCAGTGTTCGGTTGTTCCATCCTTTGGGTTGAGAGATACCGTCATCATACTCAGCGGGAAGCCAGCGAGTGAAAGGAGTGTTAGAGGCACCAAGACGAGGGTTTTGCCTAATAAACAAACACACACAGTTTAGTAATGTGACTTGAGACATTAAAGGGATGTCAACACTCATGTGGAGCATGGCATAACACTTTAAGCCTACACTATTTCACAAGCATTGTATCTGTGTCCCCACATACTACTGGCAGGAGAAACAGTTGAATAGTATATATTTGGAGCTGTACTCACAAGTTGTTGCAGACACTGGTGGCTGTACGATATTTATTAACGTTTGGTGTGGTTCGGCAGTTTGGAAGACTGACCCTTGCAGCACAACCAGTTATTTTAACCAAACTTGCCAGCTCCTCCGGAGAGAGCAGATCTGAAATAGTACAGAATCCTTGCTGAGCATTGAACTCCTCAGTAGCCACATTATTAGGCCATAATTGCACCAAAAAAGCTTGATTGACATGTTTTTGAGTGTCTGACCTGTTGCGTTTAGTGAGCGCTTGTGAACATGATGTGTCCTCTCCTGCAGAAAACGGAGGGTCTGGTCCAGGTAGTCTGCAGATCGCACAGCTGAACGGGTGTCTCCACGGGGCTGTTTGAGGAGACGCAATGCATCATGGGGCCTCACCACCTCCCGCCGGACTCTACTCAGACTCCTTCAAGTCAACAAAGATAGTACAGGATATAGTAGATTGTATAGTAGATAGTAGATTGCCAGTTATTTAAAATCCAGAGCAACCGATGGCTGATTAAGATTTGGTGATAATTTTGGACCAATATCTTAGGTCAATTTTGAGTATTCTTTGCCACATTAATTTATGACAAACTCACCTACAATCTCTTTTTATCATAAAACTTCAAGAGAGCAGTGTAGCCATGTTTTAGCAGTTATCTTTTGGTATCAAATAAAGCTTTGTGTGTACTCTTTAGGCTGTAGGTTGAACAAAATATTAGCCTGTGTTGAAGATTTAATGTCCATAGCCAGTGAGTTAAAAGGGCAAATATCAGCTCAGTCTATCCTGTTCAGCAATGACTATACATCATTTGGCATATGAGTATATTAAGTAACATTTTATTCAAATCAAATGTATGTCTTGACCTGTTAAGCCATACAGTTCATTTCCACCCTGCAATAATTTTCAAGTGAAACGGCACATCAGTGCATCAACAGTACCATACTCACTCTTCTCTTGAATATTTGTACGCCTCATCCACAAGTTTCTTTGCATCTTCAAAACATTGCTTAAGTAAAGGACTGCCAAGGAATTCTACAGCAGAAAGCAGCTTGTTAAAATAGTTGTAGATAATTTTACATTGCAAATTTTGGAGAAATGTAATTTACCAGTGGGTTCAAGGTAAACAGGGAGAATGCATAGGCACAACGCAAATAGAACAGAGAAGAGCATCTCTGTAAAAGATGAAGTGAGGTTAAATATAAAACAGTGAAGCACAGAGTGAGAGAATGTGTTTCTCGTACCTGTGTTGGCTGCAGCAGTGATGAGGGGTCTCTGGGTGCTGTGGCAGACTGGGCTCTTTAAATACAGTCAGAGCTGCAGCCTCGCCCTGACCCTGATGCGGATGATGCTTCTGTCAGGAATGAACACTTCCTCCTTCCTTCTTTTCATCACTTGTTTATACAGACTGTTATCTTTATTGGAGTTTTGGCCCAACATTGTTGTCTGAATAGATCATTGTCTGGTGTTTTTGTTTACTGTTATCGTTAATTAAATTGCTTTGCATTTCCTTTAAATACTTTATTAATACAGTATTTTATAGTTTGTGAAAAAACTTAAAAAGCTGTACGTTGGAAGTGCAAAATTTGCACATTGGTCATAAAGTAAGTGAACATTGTTTCCTGAATGTCTATACTGATGTATGTGTGGAGTAACAATGCAGTGCAATAAGGAAAAAGAAACTTTACGGTCAAAGAAATTAATCATGAACAAACTCCGTATGTGACACGGATTTGGTTCAGCAGTTAACAATTAAAAAGGCTTTCATGCACAATATGAACACTGAGCTCATGAAAAGCACTAATACACACTATGTGCTACATAATGATAAATAAATGTACACACAGGAGCAACAAGCATGTGTCAGACCCTCTACCACCAGAACATTGCACCTTTAAAGGCATTCATCTGTTATGGCATGTTGTCCAGTTAGACCTGTAGTTGTGTTCAGTAAAGCACTTCTGTAAGGTTATTGTATTTCACTTAATTTCAAATGTGTCTTTGACTGAAATGAACTCTTGCAACTTTGGCTGCGGTTATAAGTGGTATTTTTGTAGGAAGTTTGAAAAAGCAGAAATAAACATTGCATTTTATGAAACATTGTTTCTTAAGCTGAAAGTTAGGTAAGAAAAAGCATTTCACCAGGAAGCTGGTAAGTTCAGTAAGGCAGTTGGGAGTTGAGAAATTGCACCTTCTTTTATCAAGTCTTAGATAAACGTGTTTTGTGTTATATTGTGATTCAAGACTAGTTCTAATTAATCATAACGCACCAAGCTTGATGAGTCAGTGATGATTAAATGGATTACCTTTTCTCTGAACATAACAAGTAAGAAAATTCAGAGGGAAATCACAAAATTAATAATTGATTTTAAGTGCGTTCCTTGTATTTCAAATTTAATTGTTTACATTTGCAATATTAATGTGCACCTTAATTTTATTTCAAATTTTTCAAAATTGGAAAATTTCCATGGGAATTAAAAGAAATGTATAGGAATTAACAGGAATATATGGGAATTAGATATTTGTACTTTCACTACCACAGTTGAGAAAGTAACATCCTCTAAAAAGTTGTCAGATGTGACCACAAGGGCTTAATGAGATAGAAGTTTTAAGTGTCCAAGTCAACAAGTGTGTTTATAAAAGCTATTTGCCTATTTTTGGTTTATTCTAAAATCATTTGTTTATTTTTTGTTTATGTCAATTTAGTTTACCAACTTAGTTTTTGCTAATTTGTATATCTGTTATTTATTTTTTGCTTTGTTAATGTATTTTATGTTTTAATAATGTGTTTAGTCTAATTTGTTATCGTGTACCTTAGCACCCTTTCTGCTTATTTGGGTCTGTGGGTCTACATGTAAAGCAAAGTGCACCTAAGTGGTCATGTGCTTTATACCATTCGGCCTTTGATCATGTATACCTGTACATGTATTGTCCTGGAAATAAATTTAATTTTGTTAAGTTAGTACTGCATAAACCACATACCCATGGTGCCCATGGTGATTATTTGCGATATGTTTAGTCTTAAATTTGTTCACCCTTTTGTTTGTTAGTTTTCATTGCCAAATACAGTATTCTCTACAATGGCATTTAAGGGAATGGGCCTATTATTTGTGTGTGAAAATGCCCATTCTTTTCTTTGTATGTCTATTTGTATCTCAGGGGCTGTGGTCTCAAACACTCTCAAACTGATGAAGATAAGTCTTTTCTGACTAAAAGGGTAATTTAAGATCACACTCAGAACAATCAAAACAAACAAACAAAACAAATTTGATCAATATGGTTTTGTTTAGTTTCATAAGGTTAACCTCTTCTTTAATTGTTCAAATAAGGAAGAAATGTCTCTAAAAAAGGTTAATGACTGACATTTTGCAAACAAATCTGCAAGAATACTGACAACTTCAAAGATCTCCTTGATAGTGATTGTACTATGAACTTCCAAACCATAAATTTACATGGAAAGCAATCATTACAAACATCAAAGCCATTTCACAAGACATCATGATCAAAAAATCCAGAGAGTGGAAAAGTCCCTACCCCTATTATCTCCAAAACTTTTGTCTTCCACCCACTGTGACAATGGACAAATCTACAGTCTTCAGTCAACACATGTCATAGCACCTTTGTTGTTAACGCTGTGTGTGTCTTTCCTCATTCAAAAGGGTGTAGACGTCTCTGATGTACTGTTCTGTCTCTGTTTTGTAGATATAGAATGAGGTATTTTGCGTAACTATATATATATCCAGGTGTTGTGAGCTAGCTCTTATGAATGAAATGTATATAAATGTTATCACTTATATTTGGTTATGTTTCCACTGACATGATTAATAAAATATTAAAAAATTTTCCTGTTGTACATCATTAGTTCGTCACCATATCCTCCTTATTATTGTAGGCCTTTAAAAAGTAATATATATATATATATATATATATATATATATATATATATATATATATATATATATATATATATATATATATATATTTATATACAGTGTTGGGGAGTAACGGATTACATGTACCGCCGTTACGTAATCAGAGTACAAATTATGAGTAACTGTATTCCGTTACAGTTACTGTTTCAATGAGTGGTAATTGGATTACAGTTACTTTGCTGAAATAAGTGGATTACAAGGCGGTATTTTCCTGTTTTCACATTTTGTGCTACATCCCATTTATTTATTTTTTATTTCGGTAATTCCACTCATTGCCTGAAGCCCAAACAGAACGCGCGCAATAAGAGCGATGTAAACGTCATGTTAAAGTTGGCGGTGTCAGTCACACAGTGGAAGCAGCAGTGCATTGGTAAAAACGCATTTGTGTCTTGGAAATTCTTCTCCCGATGTATATATATATGCGATACAATACCCACCATGGCAAAGACGGTTAGAGGCTAAAATCAAGGAGGTGCGGAGAGAAGTGAGCCAACTGTCAGAGGCCCAGAAAGGTGCAATGAAAAAGCAAGTGCCCAAGAGGTACAACCAGTTGCCCATACCTGAAGCACTCGAAACTGCCAAACAAAGGCTCCAAGCCTTGGCCAGCCGCCTAAAGAGGTACACACGAGATAACGAGGCCAGACGAATAAACCGGCTGTTCGCAACACAACCGGCGAAAGTGTACGCTCAGTGGCAGGGTAATAACACCAGAGCAGACCCACCAAGGCTGGAGACTGAGAGGTACTGGAAAGGCATATGGGAAAGGGAGGCATCACATAACACCGATGCACAGTGGCTGGTGGATCTGAGAGAAGACCACAGCAACCTCCCTGAACAGAATCCAGTCACCATCACAGTGGCAGACATCCAGGGAAGAGTCTCAGGTATGAAAAACTGGACCGCACCGGGCCCTGACATGATCCATGCGTACTGGCTAAAGAAGCTCACTGCCCTCCACGAGCGCCTGGCAGCACAAAATGAACCAGCTGCTAAGGGATGGGACTCACCCTGAATGGTTAACCCAAGGGCGTACGATCCTGATCCTAAAGGATCCCTCAAAGGGTGCAGTCCCATCCAACTATTGGCCAATAACCTGTCTCTCCACAACATGGAAGCTCATGTCAGGCATCATTGCAGCTAAGATAAGTGGGCACATGAATCAATACATGAGTGCAGCACAGAAGGGTATCGGCAAAAACACCAGGGGAGCCAAACACCAACTCCTGGTTGACCGAACAGTCGCCCGCGACTGCAGAACCCGTAAGACCAACCTGTGCTGGATTGATTACAAGAAAGCCTACGACTCAATGCCACACACATGGATCACTGAGTGCTTGAAGCTGTACAATATCAACAGGACTCTAAGGGCGTTCATTGCGAACTCGATGCGGTTGTGGAAAACCACCCTTGAAGCCAAGGGGAAGCCACTTGCACATGTGTCCATCAAATGTGGCATATACCAAGGAGACTCACTGTCCCCACTACTGTTCTGCATAGGCCTGAACCCTCTCAGCCAAATAATCGACCGCACTGGCTATGGATACCGACTCAGAAACGGGGCCACCATCAGTCACCTCCTCTACATGGATGACATCAAGCTGTACGCTAAGAGTGAGCGAGACATCGACTCACTGATCCACACCACAAGGATCTACAGCACAGACATTGGGATGTCATTCGGGCTTGAGAAATGTAGCAGGATGGTGACAAAAAGAGGGAAGGTAGTCCACACAGAGGGGTGTGTCACTCCCAGAGGGAACAATAGCAGACGTTGAGGACAGTTACAAGTACCTTGGTATCCCACAAGCAAATGGCAACCTCGAAGAGGCAACAAGGAAAGCGGCTACGGCCAAATACCTGCAAAGAGTGAGGCAAGTCCTTAGAAGCCAGCTCAATGGCAAGAACAAGGTGCAGGCAATCAACAGCTACACCCTGCCAGTGATCAGATACCCTGCAGGGATTGTAAGCTGGCCAAAGGAGGAGATACAGACCACAGATGTTAAGACACGAAAGCTCCTGACCATGCATGGAGGGTTCCATCCCAAATCCAGCACCCTGAGACTGTACGCAGGCCGGAAGGAAGGGGGCCGAGGACTAGTGAGTGTGGGAACCACTGTCCAGGATGAAACATCCAAGCTCCTTGAGTACATCAAGGACAAGGCCCCGGCAGATGAGGTGCTCAGAGAATGTCTCAGACAGTGGGGTCCAGAGGAAGAGGTGCTGGAGGGACCATCATGGCAGGACAAACCCCTACATGGGGCGTACCACCGGAACATAACTGAAGTGGCTGATATCAAGAAATCCTACCAATGGCTTGAGAGGGCTGGTCTGAAGGACAGCACAGAGGCACTGATCCTGGCTGCTCAGGAGCAGGCCCTGGGCACTCGAGCAATAGAGGCCCAGATCTACCACACCAGACAAGAACCACGGTGTAGACTGTGCAAAGAGGCTCCTGAGACAGTCCAGCACATAACTGCAGGGTGTAAGATGCTGGCAGGGAAAGCATACATGGAGCGACATAACCAAGTGGCGGGCATAGTGTACAGAAACATCTGTGCAGAGTACGGGCTGGAAACCCCCAGGATCAAGGTGGGAAACACCTCCAAAGGTTGTGGAGAATGACCGAGCCAAGATCCTGTGGGACTTCCAGATACAGACTGACAGAATGGTGATGGCGAACCAACCAGACATAGTGGTGGTGGATAAGAAACAGAGCAGAGCCGTGGTGGTGGACATCGCAATACCAAGCGATGGTAATATCAGGAAAAAGGAACACGAGAAAGTAGAGAAATACCAGGGGCTCAAGGAGGAGCTGGAGAGAGCCTGGAAAGTAAAGGCATCAGTGGTGCCTGTGGTGATCGGAGCACTCGGGGCTGTAACCCCCAAACTGGAAGAGTGGCTACAACAGATACCGGGAAAAACAATGGACATCTCAGTCCAGAAAAGTGCAGTACTGGGAACAGCAAAGATACTGCGCAGAACTCTCAAACTCCCAGGCCTCTGGTAGAGGACCCGAGCTGAATGAGGGTGAGAGAGACCTACCACCGTGGAAGGTGAGAAACACATTATATATATATATATATATATATATATATATATATATATATATATATATATATATATATATATATATATATATATATATATATATATATATATATATATATATATATATATAAAATAATTTATTTTTGCCTTGATTTAACTTGAATTTTTTGTGAATAGTGTCCTCTGAGATGCCATACAGATAAACCAGCGCCTGACCCAGTACATCACAAACCATTTCCCAAAATATTTTGACATTTCCAAAATATATGAAAATGGTCCACATCAGTTTGTCCCATTCAGGTGTTTAGGTGTAATAGAAAATGCTAAATTACATATACATTACTTACTTATACATATTTCAATAAAAAATTTGGTTCTTCCTCCATGTTCCATGAGCTCGTGGTGTTACGATGATGCCTTCACATATTTAGCAAATCTTTTATGCCATTTTTTCCCCAATTAGCGTTTACCTTTCTGTTTTTTTTTTTTTATAATCATTAATTAGACCTTTATATGTTGCTGATATTATTCTAAGTACTATCTAGCTTTAGTTATTACAACTACATCACTCTCTTCCCCTGTATTTCTGTGTTATGATAGTCATTCATTTGACGATCCCTGAAGAAATTGCTTGATGACATTGCCTTGCCAAATTCTGAATGCTCTTGAGCTGCCCATTTTTCTTCAGTAGACATCAAGCTGTCATTGCTTTGCTATCAGTTATAATTTTGTTGCACATTTTTGACTGTTGTCTGTTTTGAACCATATAGTCATATGTTTTGTTATGGGATCTGATTTAATTATATTCATCAATCTTTATCTCCAATCATATGTTGAATTGTCCTCTCCAGATTTTCACCTTTCAACTACCACTTTCAGTATCATTCAAGTTCCTCTGTAATATGGATTACACCAGCAGTACATGTGTTTTTTATTGTGCGGTATAACAGTATTTAGTATTATAACAGTAATAGTATTTAACATGGGTAAACCCATTTGTCTCATATCTCACTCTACGTCTCTTGTTGTCCCAAATATACCGAGACACCATCGTATTCCAAGTTGTAAGTTGCGTATTAGTGACCCCTACTGGTGTCTTTTTCTTATGTTGACAAGTTAAGTAGCAGTAACAGCAGATGGCGCAGTATCTTCAAAATATTATTTATAAGCTAATAAAAATATATCTATTATTAGTTTGTAAAAGCTAATAAAATATATTTTAATTAGTTGTTTGAATACATGTATACTTCGTACCGAACAGTATACATTATATATATAACTAATAAAAAGGCCTACTGACTTTAAAAGTCATACCATAAAGAAACATGTGACAAAGCTCAAACAAAGTTTTGAAAAGCAGAAGTGCAAACATGAAGCAGTATACACTTAACATATACATTGAAAACCTGTGTTAATTTTTGTTTTGTTTTGTTTAGTTTTTTGGGGTGGAAAGTAGATACTGGGAATTTGGGCTAAACAAGTTTATAACAAATTTTTGAAGATATTACTATTGATTGTAATTATATTTGAAAACTATTTAAACAGTTCACATGGTAAAAAATAAATTCAATTCTGGACTGGACAACTGGACAAGGTTTGTTCATCAAATACGTGTCTCATTCAAGCTGCTTCTTCAGTTCTGATTCAGTTCATGGTGCACATTTTTACCTTTTTTTTCTGAGAACATGAAAAAAGATTGAAAATAATAAAAATCTTTTTTAGAAATTATTTTAGTCAAAACAGGAAGATAGTTATTTTTACTTGGGATTAAATATTATTGTAAAGTTTGTAAAACTTGACAACAACCTCTAGTACTCTCTAGTTCTCTAGTACTCTAGTACAATGGTGAATCTGTATTCTAATATAAACTGTTTTAGCCTAATATGGAAATTGTCTTTATCAATATACAGGCACTTAAACTGAGCTTAATATCAACTGCTGTGAAGTTATATTGTAGTCTAGTTTAGTTTACACACACAACACAACAGATACCATACAAGAATTCCTTTGGTCCTGTATTTGTGAAATTAGAGCCAATGGAGGAGGGAGTTGATTGTGTGTAGGGACTTTTTATATGTTTCACTTTCACTGCTGCATTGTCTGGTGTTTTAACCCTTACATACTGTTCGGGTCAAATTTGACCTGTTTTGACATTCAACAGTAGTAAAAATACACTAAGCACATTTGATAACTTTTCCTAAATTTTTGACAAAATACACAAAAATGAAAATGTTTTAAAATGTTATACTTTTATATACCACTGCTTTGAATGCACTGGCTAGTTTGAAATAAGCAGGTCTGCAGTGGATAAAAATGGTTATATTATAAATTCCAACAGTTCCAGAATATTCATGTCATTTTCAAATGCAATAAATATCATCATCATATTGACTTTTATGTTTTTATGTGTTTTGTAAAACAGAACATGATACTGTGTGATAGCAGATGTTTTTCTCCAAAAACCAGTGTTGTAAAACTTACAAAAATATGCTCTACACACTAGAGATAGGCAGATATATCATGCCAATATTTGCTATCGGCCTTGAATCTCCAACATTGGCCCATATGTTGTATTTGACTAGGAGAGACATTTTGCTTCATTTGAACCTCTAATGTGAAGTGGGCACTGCTCAAAATGTGACTTCACTGCTTTTTAATGGATTTGTAGTGAAATAAGTCCATGCAATTGTTGCGATTTTAAATCACATAATGTGAGTAGAGATTCTTCTATATAAAATATTACTCTGCTTTTATCTAAGCATTAAATTGTTTCTTTATTAGAGTGAGTTTGATCATTTGAACACAAATGAAAACCTTTTATTTGGATGCATTATTTCAAAGTACAATTCTTTTGCTCATGCAGTTTATTCAAATGAGGACTAGGAACTGGTGTGCACTATAAGCTGATACTGAGGGGGTGTTATCAGCCTGGCCTGTGTTGGTGGGGGCTCTGTGGGGTGAACCAGGTTATATATAAACCACCACACGAGCACATTCACCATTTAGCATCAGTCAAATTTTTACACTGACTCCCAAAAAATTTCAACATGGCCTCTCTTCCACTGGCTCTGCTCCTTCTAGCCAGCCTCCAGACCTTTGGTAAGACACAGCACAGATGTGACAGATAACATGAATGTAATATTATTTGTATACTGCTCCATTAGTTATTATTACATTTGGAATGACAATATTTTCCACAGATCCGATTGTGGTTGTTAACGGTTTACAACTGGACAGTGGTTCAACTGAGGTGAGTAACAATTTGCAATGCATTTTTACTTAATAGCAAATACTGTTTTTTGAGCTTGGTTGGGATATTTGCAATGGTGAAATGTGTCACTTAAAACAGCATGAATCCCCCTCCTCCTTTTGTCCTGGTTTTCATGTTATCTTTATACCCACAATTCCACAAAATAACATTTGGAGAATGCCATAAGGTTCTGATTAATTTCAGAGACGGGAACAATGTTAGGGCCTTAACCATAAAGTTCCTAAAAAAACGGAAGTTCAAAGCTGATCAAACCTTTATATATCCTTAATTGACAGTAGCATTAAAAACAAAGTGAAATTGTTTATCAGAGGTGTTGTGAAATGAGTTTTCAGATTCTAAAATAGGCTCAGCCAGGATAGTGACACTACATTTTCATAAGAACAACAGGAAAATCCACAAAGTCCTGATTATTTACATCAATAAAGTATTTATATGTCTATCTATTTATCTACACCCTATTTCACTAGCCAGTATACAAAATCAGCACACTAAATGTAGACTTTATACCTGCTGCCTGTATAGACGGTAGTGATGTCATCAGATTTCCAGCATTATCAAGTGTTTTATTTTCTTGTAGATTGGAGACGTGTGTAAAGACTGCACAAACATATTTGAACTCCTGGCTGACATGCTTTCCAGTAAGGAGCTTCAGGTGAGCAGTGAGCACCATAACACATTCCTGAGGCCTGCTGATAACATTATTACGAAAGTCTAGGTTCAAGAATATTAACTGGGTTGTATTTGTCAAATAACACTGTTATCTGAATACATTCTTTTGGTTGAAAAGTTACTTCTTGTTTTGAGGGCAGGCAGTCTCACTTAAGAGAGGAACTTCTTTTTTTATAGTTCTTTAGCCACTTCCCATTTCTCTGAATCACAAAAAGTGAAATGAAAGTATTGGCTCTCACCTAGCCCTAAAATATTGTTTTGCAGATGTTTTGGGTGTTACTTGGTCATAGAACATAGATAAAAGATACACATACACAAGATACACATACACAAGATAACTAAACTCAGGCTACTCATTATCATTTTTACAATCCTTAAATGCTAGGCTTATAGATATCAAGGCCACAGTGTGTGTTGTAACAGAAATTCCAGTTTAAGGGTGCATGGGCCTGGTTATGGTCCAGAATATAGTTTGGTTCTGTTCTAGTCCTCATTGGTACGTGTGAATGTGTCCTATAACCACAAGGAGGGAAGGCACAAATTCCAGGGTACTTGTCGAGGGTTCAAACCCAGACACTAGCAATATTCAGAATGTCTCTGCCACTCTTTACGATCATTTCACTTTTAAATATGATTATGCTGAATGATTAATCCACTTTGCTTGTTTACACTATGTTATGCTCAGAAAAAGATTGTAGAAAGTGTGGATGCTCTGTGTGAGCACCTGCCCGGACCAAAGACCACTGTGAAGCTCTGCAAAGAGGAAGTGGAGAAGATGCTTCCTATAGCAATTCACTTCATCATTGGAGCAATTGTGAGTGCAGACATGATACTGACTGTAAAAATACTGACTGAAATATTGTCATAAGTTAAATATAAAGATAAGTATTAGAAACTTTTACTTTTAGAAGCCAGCTGAAATGTGTAAACTACTGGGCCTTTGCCAATCCTGTGACAAACAACTAAAAATGCTAAACTACTTTGCCAATGAAGCACTGGAGAATGCAATAACAAGGCAAAATGTAAGAACAGCAAAATCAATACTTTGGGTTGGACAGCTCATATTAACAGGTCTTTGCTGTAGGCTCCACAGAAGAACCTATGCTCTCTTTGCCTTTTTATTATGAAGACACTGGAGGGTTTACTGCCAAAGCAAAGGACGGAGGCAAGTTATCACAAAAATAAATATATTTGTTGAGCACATAGATTGGTTTTACTGCATCCTAGTACCATTTTAGGATGCTGTGATCCATCTAATGGAGGACATCTGTCACATCCTTCCCCCGTTATATCAGCGCCAATGCGAGGACATTGTTGGCAAGTTCAGTAAAACCATAATAGATGCTATCCTGAGCTACGCCACTCCACGCTCCATCTGTGAGCTGCTCCACCTGTGCAAAGGCCAAGAAGGAACATTACTGGGTTTGTTTATACCTCTCAAGATTATACAATATATACTTTTATGAGACCTTATTTGTCAGCTTCTGCTTTTGCATCTTGATCATAGATTTAGCTAAATGTAATCTTCATTTTTTCTTCTGTTAGACCCTTGCACTGTGGAAGAATACAGGTGCAGAGACTTCAGCAACGCTCTCAGATGTGGAGTAAGTAAAAACCTAGAAAACAGATTTAATGACACTATTGTTCCAAGTAAAGGTTATTTGCTCTAAATGTGAATGTACTACTTACAGACCCTGTTCTACTGCCAGAAGTTTGCTTGGAAGACTCTGAACACCATTTGAAAAATGTACATTTATACAGTCGTGGATAAAATTGTTGGTACCCCTCTGGCAATGAAAGAAAAATCAACAATCATCTCTGAAATAACTTGAATCTAATAAAAGCAATAATAAATTAAAAATTACAGAAAATTGTCCAACAAAAATCAAACATTGCTTTTCACCTGTGGTTCAACAGAATTATTAGAAAAAACAAAATAATGAAACTGGCCAGGTCTAAAATGATAGTACCCTTAACTTAATATTTTTGAGGCAAACTCTGCAAACAAACGATTTCAGTCACTGTCAATGAGTCTTCTGCACTGGTCAACAGGTATTTTGACCCATTTCTCATGAACAAACTGTTCTTGTTGTCTCAGGTTTGAAGGATGCCTTCTCCAGACAGCATGTTTCAGCGTCTTTCACAGATGTTCAGTAGAATTGAGATCTGGGCCCATAGAAGAACACTCCAGAACAATCTAATGTTTTGTTCTTAGCCATTCTTGAGTGTTTTAGCTGTGTGTTTTGGGTCATTATCCCGTTGAAAGATCCATGACCTACAACCGAGACCAAGCTTTCTGACACAAGGCAACACATTTTGGTCCAAAATACCTTGATAGTTTTGAGATTTTGTTGTACCTTGCACAGATTCAAGATTCAAGACACCCTGTGCCAGATGCAGCAAAACTGCCCCAGAACATGACCAAGCCTCCTCCATGCTTCACAGTAGGGACAGTGTTGTTTTCTTGGTCTGCTTCATTTTTGTGTCTGTGAACATAGAGCTGATGTGCCTTGCCAAAGAGCTTCAGTTTTGTCTCATCTGTCCAAAGAACATTCTCCCAGAAGCTTTGTGACTTGTCAATATGCACTGTGACAAATTCCAGTCTCACCTTTTTATGATTACTTTCAGCAGTGGTGTCCTCACATGAAGTCCACTTTGGCTCAAAGAGTGACTGATGGTGTGATCTGACACTGATGTAATTTGCCCATCGAGTTCACATTTAATTTGTTTGTAGGTTGTTCTGGGCTCTTTGGTTGCATTCGTATGATCCATCTCTTAATTTTTGTCATAAATTTTCCTTTTGCAGCCGCGTCCAGGGAGGTTGGCTACAGTCCTGTGGACCTTAAACTTCTGAATAATGTGTAACTGTAATCACAGGAACATCAAACTGCTTGTAGATGATCTTATTGTCTTTATCTTTATCCTGCTTGTCTATTATTTTCTTTCTAGTCTCCTGACACAGTTCTCTTCTTCTCTTTCTCTGGTCCATGTTCAGTGTTGTCTCCATCATGTCTCCAAACAGCACAATGACACACGTCTCCCTTTAAACAGGCAGACTGACTGAATACAAGTTTGAAGACACCTGCGATGCAGATTAGAGGACACACTGAAGTTTAACATGTCCCTATTGTCCAAGTATTTACAATCTTTTCTAGGGGTACCATCATTTTTGTCCAGGACAGTTTCATTATTTGTTTTTTATTTTTTTAATAATTCTGTTGAACAACAATTCAAAAACAGTGTCTGGTTTTCACTGGTCATTTGTCAGGATTTTTTTTTATTTATTATTGCTTTTCTTAGTTTAAAGTTATTTCAGTAAAAATTGTAGATTTTTCTTTCATTACCAGAGGGGTACCAACAATTTTATCTACGACTGTACGTGTACAACATTTGGCATTTTATCTTATCAGACTGACATTCGTATGATCTTTCAGGATCCTATGGCAAATTATTATGAGAGCCCCATGTTCTAAGAAATCGAACAAATGTATTTTAGCTAGATATAATTGATCACATTGTTACATGTGTTAAATGCACTTAAATGACAAAAATTCTATCAGTAAGCCATCAGTACTGAAATTATGGAGAACCACAGCATCTTCATGATACATGTTTGATAACAATTAGGTGTATCAATGTGCAGGAACAGGGCTTTAATAAACTTTAAAAACAACTTAATTGCAGATGACTTTGACAATCAAGTTAAGTGTACTTTTATAGATCAATACTTTAAAATACTGCATATTATTAATAATAAATCAACATACATTACATAAGTACATGCAAGAGTGCAGTTTATTCAAGAGGTTTTCAGAAAAGTCACTTTACAGGATTATTCCAAAGGTAATTTAGCTACAACATGAGCAAAAATACTTTGCGGACAAGGGCTTTCAGAAACAGAAAAGGCACTTTTCAACATTTGACGGTCCACTTCAACTAATAAAATCAAAAGTTGCCCGCACACAGACTCGTGTAAACTAGCTGTTTTCTCTGTACAACACCAGCATATTGATGATCCTGTGTGGGTAAGTAACAGGCAACTGCTTAAAACCTAGATTTGGGAAAATTGACCTTCATTCAAACTCGAGACAGTTTAATGTAAAATGCTCTGAGCAACACCAAGGTGGTCCTAGAGCTTCTCTGTAGTACACTCCAGAATCCACAACGGGGAGCCAGAGATCTAAGCATTGGCCCACATTTGCATTATAAATAGTTAGCATAAAAACAATTACAGTGCCACCTAGGAACAACATGAAAGACCACTTCAAAGACAATTTGACCATAGTACACAAAACAATCAATTAACGATTGATTCAGAAGTGTCCACCTGTAGTGGAACAACAGAATAGTTAAAAGAAATACATAGTTTTGGAGCAAATTCTTGCTGCCACATTTACAGCACCATGTACTGTCTTTTTAAAAGGTCAACATGTTCCTAGACTTGGAACTACATATGTACTAGGTTTGTAAAAAGAAGAGTGCAATATCACCCGATTGTAAAATAACAACTACAATGTTAAAGCTACATATAGAGAAATAGGAGTGTGCATTTTTACATTCACTACTAAAGTAACCTTGTCCCCACTGCACCACAACACCATCGTGTAGGTGCAGTTTGTATAACGGCTAAACTTTCCTTCACATGCAGTATTCTATTCAAGTCAAACATTAGAAACATGGTCTTAAAGCTCCCATCCCCTCATCCAGATAGCATCTAGTGACGTTATGTGAAAATGCAACAGAGCTGGGTCAGCCATTCCAATTACAAATGGTAGCTTTAAACTGAGGGATGGATAGTTTCTCTGTAGTTACACTCACACAGATTCCAAGGATAGGCAAATACATAACTTCAATTGGTCAGTAGGCTAGTGACATCAAACATTCACAGGGTTAATAAATGAAACTTCAATAAAAAAAAACTGCTCCCATAACGTGCAGCTCAACAAAACCATATTATTAGCAGCTTCTGACTTCTCTGTAAAACGTCAGAAAGATATGGTCTGAAGAGTCAGCTCAGAATGGTTTTGACTCAAGTTTTATCTCACTGAGCACACTATCAAAATTTTAAGGTCAGGTTCAAAAGTTGTGCCACTAAAATTTTGCTAACAGAAAGAGGCGCTGCATTTGTTGTGGTAAACTGAAAATCACTAATATAAATACTGTGCCAAAATGCAAGTTACAGTGTCGCTAATACTTAAATAAATATGACAAAACAATACATGTTCATTATATGAAAGGCTTGTGATACATTCTTGGCCTTTAAATCCTAATTACATGTATAACATGACATACAAGACGTAAATAATTAAGCTATGATTCTACCTGTATTTAGAGACTCTTGTGATTGGTCTTCGCTTTGAGAAAGAAAAAAAAAAAAAAAAGTAGAGTAAACATGAAAGAGAAGGAGAGAGTAATGCACCCTTAAATGACACAAGTTAGAATTTGAGCTTCTTGGGCACCTCCCATGGAAAGAGATCCCGTCCAAAATGGCCATATGCTGCAGTCTCCTGGTAGATTGGCTTCTTTAGGTCAAGGTCTCTGTACAGATAGACATAACAGTTTAAATGCATTTAATTCTCACTGGATATCTCAGTTTATCATAAAAACAATCCCAAATACCCTAACACACCTAACAATAATTCCCGGGCGCAGGTCAAAATTGTTAGTCACAATATCCAGGAGCTCGCGTTCACTCTTCTGAGATGTTCCATAGTTAAAGATGGAGACCGACAAAGGATGGGCAACTCCAATGGCATAGGACACCTAAAACACACGTTTGGGAAGTTTCTGGTGGAGATTCAGACAGGTAAAAGCAGGTGTACCCAAACATTTTCATCAACAGCTGCATACAAAGACACAAACAGATGACCAATCAAAGGCCATAGACTAGAAGCCAGGTTAGACCAAACCCCAATAGCAGAACATTTCAGATTTTCAGTTTATAAAAAAGTACCTTTCCTTGCAACAAGAATATCTTTGCAAGAGTTGCAAGACAAATAAAAGGTTTACATTAAAATGTGTGAAGACTTTAAGTTTATAGTATTTCTGACCTGGACTAAGACACGCCTGCAGAGCCCAGCTTTAACCAGGGACTTGGCCACCCAACGAGCAGCATAGGCAGCAGAACGGTCCACTTTTGTGTAGTCCTTTCCAGAAAAAGCTCCACCACCATGGGCCCCCCAACCTCCATATGTATCAACAATGATCTTACGACCAGTCAGTCCAGCATCACCCTGTAAACATGTTCACTGTTCTCAGTCCTATTAAATGATGATATTGTACTCTCTGAATAGGCACCCGTTTTACCTGAGGTCCTCCAATGACAAAGCGTCCACTAGGCTGTAGGTGATAAATTGTTTCATCGTCCAGGTAACCCTTGGGGACCACAGCTTTGACCACCTGCTCCTTCAGAGAGTGGCGCATCTCTTCTAAACTCACAGCCTCATCATGCTGCACTGAAATCACAATGGTATGGACCCGTAATGGCACCATGGCTCCTCGATCTTGCCGGTACTGAACAGTTACCTGACACAAAGTAAACATTCAAACATTTTTAAACTACCAATACGAGAGGAACCAGAATAATGCAATGTGAGTTTTTCCCTTCCACAACAACAATGCTTTGTTTCCATCTTGCTTAATCCACATGACTTCTCACTGCACATTGCCTTCTACCCTCACCTGAGTTTTGGAGTCAGGTCTGAGCCATGGCAGCGTTTGATCTCTGCGCAGCTCTGCCATTTTGGCATTGAGCTTATGAGCCAAGATAATAGTTAACGGCATACACTCATCCGTCTCATCTGTGGCATACCCAAACATTAAGCCCTAAAAAAAGTTAATAGTTAGTTTAAACCATTCTTGATCTCAATGTTAATCACAGGTTCAAAATTAAATTCTTTCTCACCTGGTCACCAGCACCAACATCTTCCTCTCTGCGATCGAGATGAACTCCCTGAGCAATGTCAGGCGACTGCTGTTCCAGTGCCACCAAAACATTACAGGTTTTATAGTCAAACCCTGCAAAAAAGGCAAAATATATTTATTTAAAATATGTGCAATTACTTTAAACACCAAAAATAAAATAAAAAATGTACCAGTTGTATACAATTTACATCCAGAAATACATATATATAAAGTGGTGTCCAATTTCAATTACACTACCTTTCGAGGAATCATCATAGCCAATATGCTTGATGGTCTCACGCACAACTTTCTGATAATCAACACTGGCCCTTGAGGTGATCTCCCCTGCCAACAGGATCATCCCCGTCTTAGCCACAGTCTCTGAAAGATACAATTACAACCACTGTAGGTGATCAATCCTTACAAGGACGAGAGACAAAGCCATTAGGGTTTACATTACCTTAATTTGTTTGTGTGCATTACTATCATTGGCTCACTTACCACAAGCTACTTTGGCATCTGGATCTTGCATAAGATGTGCGTCTAACACAGCATCACTGATTTGATCACATATCTTGTCTGAAAAACAAAAAAAAATTGTCACATTGGGACAAACTGTTAATCATTGTACCATGACCTTTTTAATATGCCGTTGGTGCCCATCATTACGTGAATGAACACAAGTGATAACACAAGTGTAAAACGATTAATACGTTTGTTTAGGACTGTGCAATTAATCACATTTTAATTGACATCTTTGCATTTCTGTTTATAGATATGTAAGGGCATGTGGTCTGGAGTGGAGATCAGATTAAACGAATAGTCCCTTATTAGATAAAAGGCACTGATTTTATATATATTTGTATTTATTTATAGTTTTGACATTTTACCCAGGCCAGTTAAGAAAGGCTTTAGCAGACGTCTAAAGATCGAAACAAGTATCCAGCCAAACTTGAGCCGCAATTTGTAAAATTTTTAACTAACTAAACTGTGCGAAAACCATCTGCTACTTTCCTCCCTCAGTTGAGCCCCTGCAGTAACTATTATTAGGAGTAGTGCTAAGCCTATTATGTGTTGTACAGAGGCTTCCCCATTGCCTCAGAGGACAGTAGTATGAGCCAACGTAAAAAGTATTTTCAATGCTAGACTATATGAACCATGAGTATATCGTGCAAAACACAAACGGGCACTTGGTGTAGACTGGCCACACATGTGCGCGTTCAAGCAAAAGATAGTGCATAGAAATGACTGATGATGTTACTGGTGTAAGCTAGCATAGTTATTTTCTCATAATATAGGTCAAGTACACTGGCCCAGCCATATTCCCAAATTTTACCATTGGTAAATACTTTATATTAGTGTCTGTACTCAAAGGTTAAGAAATAAACCTGTCCTAAAATTATTTAAAATGATATCTTAATGCTAACTTACTGCTAGCCAGTGGTGGCTTGCTACACAAAGCCACGTGGATTTCGTTCCTTATTAAAGCTTTGACGCTTTGAGATGTTTCTAAGAGCGCTAGCTTTAATTAGTTGCTAAAGAATCGACAAAATATTATTTAATGATAGAATAAGCCGAGATATTTGATTAACATGACCTTCGCCCTAAGGCTAACACAGGGAAGGCTAATCACAACACCACAAACTTTCATTTATGACATACACTTACCAGGGTGTCCTTCTCCCACAGATTCAGACGTGAAGAGAAAACAGTCGTCCTCACGCATATAGCTGTTGTGGAAGCCGTTTAGCTGGCCGTTCATTATAGTCACAAGGATTTCTCAGATGCTAACACGCTTTCTGCTTACACAACGTGAACAGCCTTGAATACAGTAGTGTGGCACTGCTTCTTCAAATCTAATATCAGCAGTATTAAAATGACCACACTCCTTTGGTTTTCTGCCCGAATCAGGGAATGGCAGCTGCTCTTAAGACAAACCAATGGTGCCTTCACTGCGCATGGGACAAATAATAAACAAGTAGGATTACCGATAGTACCCTTTGACTGTGTGTGTGTGTGTGTGTATCTATCTATCTATGTATGTATATGTATATATATATATATATATATATATATATATATATATATATCTATATATATATATATATATATATATATATATATATATATATATATATATATATATATATATATATATATACTCAGCAGTGATACAGTGTTACTGAACATAGCATGGTGGCAGTCGGTCCATGGGTGAGACTCACGGACCTATAATAGGATCTTATTATACTTCCATGGTTTCAGAGTCTCACGATATATTATAATTATAGATCCATGGTGAGACTTTAAGTAGTGTAATTCAGGGTCATAGGGATAGGTAATTCAGAGTCATGTTTTGAAATTGAAATATAAAACCAAAATTCTTGAGCTAAATTTGTTTGGACAAAGTCAGTTTTGTATTACAGCAAGGCCAGGTGCCATATCAGGTGCCACAAAGCTGCCAGGTGACAGAAAACAGTGACAGGTGGAGACAAAAAACAGCACCCCAAACCCAACAAACCAACTAAAGTGGGTGTGTCCTTTAGTTGCCTCAAATAGGCTTAATAGACTTTGCCTAACAGTGCCATCCCTCCAGTTCTTTGTGTATTACATATACAGGAAATGACTAGCATTATTATAAATAATATCTATATGTTTGTCTTAATCTATAAATACAGACGCAATCCCAAATTTAATTTCAAAGACACAAAGACAATCATTTTATTTCCTTCTTTTACTTGGGAACCATGAATTGCACAATACTGAGGATTCAGAGTCCTCATCTGATGAAACAAAGTTCATATGAATCCTTAATTGTATATTACACCTTCGCAAGTCCTTTTACTTTGGCTTCACATTCAATATGTATGGTGTGATACAGCTTCTGAGTCTGTAAAAGCACTTTGCTGGTCCAGATCATATTTGTCACAATATGTAGGCCTATTTGTGAATACAGAAATTACAGGAATGTCTTAATCTACTCATCAGTAATGTGCTGCTTCTATTAGCAGTGTGACACAAAGAGACCAGGGTAGAATCTATGTGGGCCTACTGAAAAGTTACAGTTGTATAACCTATTAAGCTGTGTGTCACTCCTATGTATTTGGTTTAAAACCAGTGTGTCTGTTATCCCCTAAGATGGCTGCAACCAAGGCTTCTGGAGCAGACACTCGACTGCCTGGAGATACGGGGCTGCGAGGACTGAGGGGGCTGGCTGCCGGTGATGATATCACATCAGGAGAAACCAGACGTTCCTTTTTAGCTGAAGAACAAGGTGAGCGACTGGGCATCTGGTTGTCCTTTGACAATGGGCTGAGGCTCAGACCTTGCAATGCAGGAAGAGGGTTGGAGGTAAGAGCAGGGACTGCTGGACTGCGGCTGCGTCGAAGACGCTGGTGGTGTTTTCCTGTTTTTGGACTAGGACTGCGGGAGTTTGGAGCCAGCAGTACAAGAGTGCTGTCATCCTCTGAACTGATGTCTGAACTGTCAGATTTCTGCAGGGTTGGGCTGTGGATAGGCATTTTTATCTGTTGAGGGGGGCAAAAAGGTTGAATTTTGATGCATATTATTATTTTACTCCAGTTATTTCTTAAAGATATGTTTTGTACCTGAATGGGTATTGACAACCCAACAATACTGTTCATAGTATTGCTATAATAACCTAGGATGTAGTCACAATCATCCTTTGGTAATTCTTCTTCTGGAAATGTCACCTATAGACAGATATATTTATTTTTATGCCCATTTACAGTTTTAATATTTATGTAAATTTGTTGCATTTAGACCTGTGAGCCATGCTCTCCCTTAGCCCACACATAGGCTTGGTAGTCTTTGTAATGTCTGAACCCAATCTGGGAAAAGAAACAATCGCAAGACACAAGATTATGAGACTCTTGAGTGCAGCAGATGTATCTGTATATTGAATAAAAAATAACATTGACGCAAGTATAATCAAATCTTGCCTTGTAAATTGCCACCCAGTCCCAAGAGCTCCGCTGATAACTTAAAGCTACATTTACTCTCACTGTAGCATCAGATACTTTATTCCACTCTTTGTTTACTTGTAGCTCCACTAGAGGTTTATCCACTCTGAATGGAAACTACGATGAGAACACCAACTTAAGTGAATGCATCACAAATTTAACACATCAAATGAATGGTTGCTAACTTTATAACTTACCTGCAATGAAAACAGGGAAGAAACTGGCTTGTGGTCACTCACAGTGTAACCCATGTGACTGCTGTAGGTGTGCTGTGTCACTTTGGTTGTGCCCCCAAACCAGGATGTTAGACCTCGCTGCAGTGCTGCATTGTGGGAAGGAACAGGAGAGCCAGTACGACGAAGACGCCACAGGATGCGATCAGTCCAGGCAGGTTTTCTCTTCTTTGCACTGGCAAAATTATAGAAGTGTGAGACAGACTGCTCTGAACAATCATCAACAATCAAACATCCCTTACAGCCCTCAAGCTAACCTGGTATCATATGTATTAGTCCCCACATCAAACTTATAAGTGGGTGGAAATTTGAGCAGACCCTCCATGAAGCCATCTAATATAGATTCTGTGTTTTTAGCCATATTCAACTGTAAAGCAAACAGCAAGCAAAAACATTTAATACAGCCAAATTATCCACATAACTTAAATACTGTATTATAGTGCCCTCTGTTGCAGAAAACAAGACACAACAGCAAAGGGCCTCACCTGATCTCGCTCCCACAGAAGAGGCAGTTTATTGCTGTCGATTGCACATTTTACAACATGAATGTCATAATCCTCAATTCTGAAATTCAGATCTCCAAACCAAAATATTACACTGCAAACAGAGACAGTATGTTGTCAGCAGGTACAGATATTACCAAAGCTTAGATAACATTGATTCATTATAGAGCTTATATAGAGTTAAAATATAAGTTAAATTAGTAATGTTCATACTCATGGTCCAGGACACCAGTGGCAGATCCTCCTTCAAACTGTTGCTGCTGGAGGATGCTCTCGAAGTCCTCCATCCTTTGCTCCAAGTTCCTCATGTGCGCTGGCAGGTGACAGTTTAGGAAGCACACTGTGTGGCCGAACACCATCATCCTCGCGCTCACGCCTCCTTTGTTTCCCTGAGTATAGCTCACATGTCAAAATATGTATAGACATTTATGTAGCAATATGAATAATAATGCATTAGTCCTAAATAGCATATTTTATGTTGCTTTTCAACGTTATTAACTATTCGTTGATGCTTCACTCTCAGTAGGGTTATTCAACTTCCATAGCTTAAGTTGTCTTGGGGTAGACAACATGGCTAAGGCTCCTCTAATCACAAGCAATTACTCACTCACACAGCACACTGATATGAAGGCATGGTGTGTATTATAATGTAATAGCATTTGACATCCCATTTACTATTACTTAAGTGATGTGTATATCGAAGAAGCAAATAAAGCTATTTTTGCGTGGAATACATGCTTTTCAAAGAAAAAGTAGCAGGTTTAACATTAATACTTTAAATTAAAAATAGTCATAGCTCTTTTGTCCTTCAACTTTTAGCCATATGAAAAAAAAAAGCCAAACAAAGCTGTGGTTTTAGATCAGAGCTTTACAGAGACAATGTAGTAATAGTGACTGTGGCTTTATTGTAGCAGAGAGGTGAGGAGGTGTGTGGTGGATGAATCAAAAAGACAGGCTTCCTGCTGCTGCACTGACCTCAAAGAGAAGGAGACTGCACCACACACACACACACACACACACACACACACACACACACACACACACATCTATCACCACAGACTTATGCACTGTCCCACAGCGGCTCCTGCATGCACCACACGTACCCAGTATCCTCCCAGTCCTGTCCGTGTGCTCTGGGTCTGTATGCCCCGCAAGAAGGGCAGATGGCAGAATTTAGAGAAGACCAGCAGAAGTACACCCTGCATTCGCTGGGATGCCACCTGGTAATACAGAGAGAAGAGGACATGCACAGTAGGCAAAATCTTCCAGCTAATATAGTCCAGATGAAGCCTAGCTCAAGATCTGGAGATTGGTCCCCTGAACAATGGGTCAAATCCAGAAGAGTAATTTTCATACCAATAAAGCATACAGTATGTACCACAACCTTAACCTTGATCTTGGTTTTACATTTTTCACTGTCAACAGCTATAAATATCTCAGGTGAATGCACTGAAAAATATCTAAAAGTAATTTTGGGAATTTCAGGGACCAATTCTGAGCCTGTTAAGACCCAAGACTCCTGTGTAACTTTATTTTTTAAATTGTATTTAACTTTGTTTATGCTTTTGTATTTGTTTATTGTTGTAAGGCGACCTTGAGTTCCCAGAAAGACGCCTAATAAATAACATGTATTATTATTATTATTATTATTATTATTATTATTATTATTATTATTCCATCTAATGCTAAACATAAATAAGAAGCTGCATGGATTTTAATAATAATGAAAATGAACTCACCAAAACATATCCAAATGGACTTAGTGTGTCCATGCAAAGTTCACTCCAGGGGTCTGAGAAAAGAGCATCCTTCAGCCTCTTGTTGATCATGGAATTGACTTCCTGAAGTCTGGAACATGGCAGCAAATAAAGCTGTGTTTTGACTTAGAATAAATGAGTAACCATCGGAATAATGATGGATAAATGTTAGGGACAAATCAAAAAGAACGCAGATGACTGAGTAGGCACTACAGCTGTCTCCCTGGCACTTGAGAGAGCAGTAGAAAAACTTACCCAATGACAAACATGTCAATGCTTCCATCTGAAACATTTGGTCCAAACAGAGACGTGATGTCATCTGGGGCCACTGCAGATCCCACATTCCATGTGACAATGTACACCCTTTGAGTAGACAGAGGAGTTGCATTATACTGTAGTGTTTACACTATAGGTGAAAGAGGACATAATCTGCTGTAATCCCAGGGGAAGAGCTCTCAGATGTTTTTCTGCATATAGAAAAAATAATAATCAGCTCAGTGCAGCTCACTGATGACTCAGACATTTTGCATGTTGGATAGAAGTTTGTGACACTATGTCATTGAGAGCAAGGTTATTTGATCTGTAAACTGTTTAAATGTGAAAACATAACATAGTCCAGTATTAACACTTAAGATATTTAATATATAAAATGTCAAGTTTTCATTTATTTTATTATGCAAATTATACCAAGTACATAACTGTAAAAGTAATGGTGCAAGTTAGCCATACCAGCTTGTCAAAGCCTGATCCCATCAGATCTCAGAAGCTAAGGCCTGGTTAGTGTTTGGATGGAAGACCGCTGGGAAAATCAGGTGCCACAGTAGGGCACCATCGCAAAAACTGTTGCTGTGCCCTTAGGCAAGGCATGTCACCCACATTGCCTTGTACAAAAGTGGTGTGAGCGGGGGGGACCAATGACCTTGCTTCCTTCAGTATCCTCCCAGTTTTGAAGCTACAAAAGTATCTTACCACCACCGGGTGTGGAGTGAATGAATACTGCTTTGTAAAATGTCTTCCTTTGTAAAATGTCCAAAAAAGTGCTACATAAAACTGATTCATTATTATTATTATTATTTAAGATAAATGACTAAATAGGCTAACATTGATTGCAGGACAGACATACAGCGGAAATGGCAGCAAGTTTGTGACATACCTGAAATCACTGCCTTCATCTGATTTCTCTGGTGACGCTTGGCTCTGCATGGGACTGGGGCTGGGTTCAGAGTTGACCTGAGCAGGGGGCATGGGCAAACTGGGGCTCAGGTGAGACTGGCTGGAGTATGACTGAGGACTGTGAGGACTTTGAAGAGGAACAGTAAATTCAGTCGGAGTACATGAGGGGACATTGATGCTTTGAGGACCTGGAATACACACTGGAATCAAATCAATGTCTAGCAAAGGCTCAGAGATCCGTGTTATGTTTTTATTCCCAAGAGCTGTGGGCCTTGGTCTTCTAATGCTAGACATTTCCGTATGGGCAGTGGATGGGTCTGTGTGCCGGGACTCCATTTGAGTTGCAGGTTTTGTTGCACAGCTGTGGGCTCTGGAGGGTTGAGCTGTGGAGGTAAGTCAGCAAGTTTGATAGGTCTAGTGTGCACAGGGGACTTGAAGGGATTTGAGCAGATTGGCTTCTATGGGACTTGTTCCATAAACTGCAAAACAAACAAATGACTTAACTGAATGTCTAAATAAGAAACACCAGCTTAAGACAGAGCAGGAAACAAAACATTAATACCTATAGATCAGTTGTTCCTAAAGTGAGGGTAGCAAAACAATTGGAAGATGTAATTGTAAAACTTAAAAGCCATTGTAACTGAAAACACTGTTCTTTTGTGACATATAGTGAAATATTACAGTCAACTCCATATATATTATTAAACCTGGCTTTACATGTTTTGCCAGCAAAATATTACTAATGTTAATTACATTTTATTGTGAGGGTCCTGAGTTGGTTGTGTGGTTATTTCGGGGGTCTCAACCTAAAAAGTTTGGGAACTCCTGAAACAATACCAAAGAATGTACTAATGCTGAACTACGTGCTAAGCCAGAAACAAAGGTCAGTGCTAAAATAGGCAATTGAAGTCAAACCATCAGTCAGGTGAGCTGTTTGCAAAAAAGGCAACTCCAGGCCTAATCATTTCGAAAACACCTGTTCAGCTGTAAAGAGGTTATTTTCTCCTTAGTCAAAGATATTAGTTTCACTTAAAAGAAAATCGAAACCACTTTAAATAATTCATCTTTAGTAAATTAAACCTTTGTAAAAGGAGGCACGTGACAACATCCGTGGGCTTGGTTTAACAGAGGTCAAACAGGACCCACAAGCACTGATAATGATTATAGTTATATTAAGTTCTAATTTTGCAGTTTGACCTTTATGTATCGTGTCATTTGTCATTACCTGGCATTTTGTCAGGTTAACCAATTTTTACATACACACAGATGCAGGTGCACGCTTGCTTTAGTCTTCGTATCACTGAACACCTGTCTTACCTCGGACTGTCTTTCTTCTCCAAAGGTGAACCTCTGAGTATTCAACCGCGCACGAGACGACCCTCTTTTGGTGTATATTGGTCCGTCTACAATCCACGGCCCCACACGAAGACAGCGGATGAGTGGCTCAGGACAAGGCAGACGTCTCCGTCACGGTGCGCACGCCAGGGTACGTGAGTGTATGAGTTTAGCCTCATGTCGTTGTTTGCATAGGGTCTGGCTTGATTCCGATTGTCATAGACTTATGCCAGGTCCCGAGCTGCAGCATCCTGCCTGCAGCAGCTCCACACCGGCTCCTGTCACCAGTTTGCTCCGCCTCCTCTTAATGTGTCTCCTCTCCGCGCTCTCCGATAAACACGCGCACCTGCGAGTGGCACAAGTGACTGTGCCCTGTCTGTGACGCATTACAGTGGCACCAGTGCGTCACAGATAGGAACATTGATCAAAGGGTCAATAATTAAATGTGAATTTGGCTGGTTATCAATCTGATGAGTAAGTGGGAGATATAAGCCTAATGCACCAGCTGATGGGGAGAGAGGTTCACAACAAAACAACAGCATTACAGTAACAAAAACAAAGTTAATATAATGTGATCAAAAGCATAAGAAAAAGAAATAGACACAATAATAGACTGTGTAATATTAATTGGTATACTGGTTGGTATTGCTGTGTTTAATAGGCTAGACCAGGGGTCGGCAACCCGCGGCTCCGGAGCCGCATGCGGCTCTTTAGCACACCCCTAGTGGCTCCCTGGAGCTTTTTCAAAAATGAGTGAAAATGGAAAAGGAATGATTTTTTTTGTTGTTGTTTTAATATGGTTTCTTTAGGGGTAAAACCCTCGTTCATCTCTGGTCATGGATCTGATCCATCAGCTGTGTGTGCAAACGCAAACATAGGAAAAGTGTTTCAGCAGAACAAACAGATGAGCTGAAGCGGGGGGTGGTGTCCGGTGCCTCCACCTGAGAAGCGTTTTCCCCGAAAAAAAAAAAAAAAAAAAAAAAAAAAAAAAACACGTGCGCAGACGGACGCTCAGAACAACATATAATGAACCAAACTGGATTCATGCTTCTGTCCGGATGCTTTGCACCACTTCGGAACCAGGCCGCGGTTGAGCGTGGAGGACCGGAGCAGCCCGCCCGGACCTGTAGTCCACAGCGCATTCTCGCTTTTCCCGCACAGAACCAGCGCACACAGGACGACGCGGAACTGCTCGGACCCAGTCCTTTGCACGCTGGTCTTGCTCGCCCCCATCTGGAACCAGGACACGGAGGACGAAACCTCCGGACAATCTGACCAACACTGGACCCCCAGCCCCGTCTTGAGGAGCTGCGCGCTGACTGCTCCCGTGTATTTTGCGCTGCTGCCCGAGCACAGAGCTTCTGCTCTGAGCTGATGTTGCGTAGAAAGTTCTACATGCTGCTATTTTATGAATGCTCCTATGCACGATCAGAAGAAATGCGACTGCTGCTCTGAATACTTCCATCATCGTCGTCAAAGCAACAGGTAAACGTCGGTCTACAGACAGCGCACCGAGTATGAGAGGGTCGCAAAAGGGGTTTGTGTAATCATGAATGCTCATTTTGTATTTGTAGCCTACTTAGTCATTTTAATAGTAGGTTTATATAACTAATACACTGACAGCCTATGTTGCCTTCATATTAGGCTTATATAAGGCTTTTAATTTTTTGCGGCTCCAGGCAGGTATGTTTTTTGTTTTTTTGGGCCAATATGGCTCTTTGAACATTTTGGGTTGCCGACCCCTGGGCTAGACAGAGTGCATGTGCTGTCACAGTTCTGCCTTTTGTTTACTTGTTTTCCCCAATCCAGTCCATTTCTCAGTCTGTTCCGGTCCTCCTTTTGCCACCTCCCTCCTTTCCCTACAGGTGCCGCTCATTCTGTAATCAGCCCAGGCCCAGTCTATATATACTCCCTCTGCTCCCTCAGTCTTTGCCAGATTGTCGACCTGTTAAGACAGACATTCAAGCTCTGAAAACCTGAAACCTGAAACCTGAAATCCCTGTATTCCCTGAATCTGTTCTGTTTGTGACTTCTCCAATTCTGTGTTTCCCTGTTTGTTGTCCCTGTTCCTGAGTTCACTCCCAGTTAATTTCTTACTAGTGTATTTCCCAGTCTTGGAGGATATTTCCGTTCACATTTTATATCATATATTCCTCTGTTATATTTTCAGTCTGAGTTTCCATTATTACATTCCCTGTTATAGGACACTTTCTGTTATTTAAATAAGACTTTGTTTGCCCGAGTACTTGTGTTGCATTTGAGTCCAATTTACCTGCGTGATAGTACAATCTGGCCAGTATGGACTCAGCACACAATGAGATTCCGATGGAGCGGCTTGCCAAACTAGAGGCTAGTTTGGAGCAACAGCAGGTCAGGCTAGCATCTACTGCTTTTGCAGCTCGTCAATCAACCATAGCAAGTGAAGAGAACATTGCTAATTTGACAGCTCAGATCCAGCAACTGGCAGTTACTATTGCCCAGTTAGTTTCTGCTGTTCCTCCCGCTCCAATCACTCCTACACCACAGCCTTCAGTTGAAGTGATTGCACCTGGACCGGTTTCCGAACCCAGAGTAGGCACACCTGAACGTTATCGGGGAGACCCTGAAGGGTGCAATCCATTTTTGACCAACTGTACCATTCTGTTTGCCTTACAACCACACATTCTCCATGGAGAAAGCCAAGGTGGCATTTGCTATTAACCATCTTCCTGAAAGGGCTAGGTTGTGAGGGACTGCTGAGTGGGAGCGTCAGACAGCTGCCTGCACGTCTTTTGACGCCTTTGCAAAAGAACTCCGCAAGGTGTTCGGAGCCACATCCTCTGGACCCGTGCAGCTGGTGGTCTGATGGGGTTGCGACAGGGGGCCCGCTCTGTTGCTGACTACTCAATTGAATTCCGTACCCGGGCCCTTCAAAGCGACTGGAATGTCGCAGCTCAGACCGATGCCTTTCTCCTGGGTCTGAATGACTACATAAAGGATGAGTTGGTTTCTTATGATCTCCCCTCGGATCTAGATTACTTGATAGAACTGGCAACCGAGCTAGATCGTCGAATCAAAGCTCGGCGACAAGAGAGAGGACTGAAACTTTCTAAACGACGACCAATTCCCCATTCACGTCCTGCATTAGATATCAGTCAGTCTGTCAGTCACCCCCCGTCTCCTCATATTGGAGGTTCAGAACCCAGGCAGCTGGGCAGAACCAGTCTTTCTCCTGAAGAGCGATATCGCCGTCGTCAGGAGAATATATGTCTCTATTGTGGGAGGCCTGGCCATGTTGTCTCTAGTCTCTAGCCCAGTAAAAGGGGCAGGCTCATCTGTAAAAAAGGGAGTACTGATGAGTCTATCCTCAACTCCTTCCCCTGTTAAACGCCCCCAGTTTCAAGCTCGTCTACTGCTCAAGAGTGGAACTCACACAGTGACCACTCTAATCGACTCAGGGTCTGACATTTGCCTTATAGATGAGAATCTGGTCCAGCAGTTAAAGATAAATTCTGTCTCTCTCCCAGCACCTGTACCTGCTAATGCTCTGGATGGGAGACTTCTGGGCTCCATAACACACCGCACTGTTCTTGTTCACCTGCTTATGGCCGGCAATCACCATGAGACAATCCAGTTTTACATCTTGAAGACTCCTAAGCACCCCATAATCCTCGGTTTCCCTTGGCTTCTCCGTCACAATCCCCAAATTGATTGGTCTACCGGTTCCATTTCTAGCTGGAGCCAGTCTTGCCACCAGATCTGTCTTAAGCAAGCCATTCCCATAGTACTACCGAGTGACAACACTAGTTCTCTCCCAGATTTAACAGGTGTTCCTGAAGAGTACCATGACCTCAGAGAGGTTTTCAGCAAGACCAAGGCAACATCACTTCCCCCACATCGTCCGTATGACTGTGCCATTGACCTTCTGCCTGGAACTTCTCCCCCACGTGGTCGTATTTACTCCCTCTCTGGACCTGAAAGAGAGGCTATGGAGAAGTATGTCAATGAGTCACTGGCTGCAGGAATCATCCGTCCCTCTTCGTCTCCTGCTGGTGCCGTTTTTTTCTTTGTTGACAAGAAAGACAAGACTCTCAGACCTTGCATAGACTACAGAGGGCTAAACAGTATTACAATCAAGAACCGTTACCCTCTGCCACTCATTTCTTCAGCGTTTGAACTCTTGCAAGATGCTGTAATTTACACTAAACTAGACCTGTGTAATGCTTACCATCTTGTCTGGATTCGTGAGGGGGACGAGTGGAAAACGGCCTTTAACACGCCTACTGGACACTATGAGTATTTGGTCATGCCGTTCGGTCTTACCAACGCCCCCGCTGTGTTCCCAAGCCCTTGTCAATGACGTGACATGCTGAACAAGTATGTCTTTGTTTACCTAGATGACATCCTGATTTTCTCTAAGTCCAAGGAAGAACACATCCATCATGTTCAGTCCGTTTTGCACCGCCTCCTCTCAAACTCACTTTTCGTCAAGGCAGAGAAGTGTGAGTTCCACGCCTCATCAGTTGCCTTTCTGGGGTATATTATTGGTCAGGGGAGTATATCCATGGATCCTGCCAAGGTGGAAGCTGTTTCCTTGTGGCCTGTTCCTGAGTCCCGCAAGATGTTGCAGCGCTTCCTTGGGTTTGCAAACTTTTACAGGCGGTTTATCCGAGGTTACAGTTCAGTTGCTGCTCCACTTACAGCTCTCACCTCCTCTAAGGTACCCTATAAGTGGTCTCCAGAAGCTGATGCGGCCTTCAGGACTCTTAAAACCCTGTTCACCACAGCTCCTATTCTCAGAATGCCAGATCCTGAAAAACAGTTTGTGGTCGAAGTTGATGCCTCTGATGTGGGAGTAGGAGCTGTTTTGTCTCAAAGGGCATCTGACGATTGCAAGCTACATCCATGCGCCTTCTTTTCCCGTCGTCTGGCACCTGCTGAAAGGAATTATGATATTGGTAATCGTGAGCTGCTGGCGGTGAAATTAGCCTTGGAAGAATGGAGACACTGTCTTGAAGGTTGCAAGGTGCCATTCCTGGTCTGGACCGACCACAAGAATCTGGAATACCTTCAGTCGGCTAAGCGCCTCAACTCCCGACAGGCTAGGTGGGCATTGTTTCTGACCAGATTCAACTTTACCCTTTCCTACCGTCCTGGATCACGTAATGCAAAGCCTGATTCCTTGTCCCGCCAATTCTGCACTTCTGATGACCACTCTGCTGAACCTAATACTATTCTTTCCAGCTCCCACATGGTTGCCACTCTCACCTGGGAAGTGGAGGAACGAGTGAAGGCCGCTTTGGAGAACAATCCCGGCCCCAGCACCTGCCCTAACAATCTCCTGTTTGTTCCACAGCACCTCAGATCAGACGTTCTGCAGTGGGCTCACAGTTCTAAGCTCACCTGTCACCCTGGAATCCAGCGAACTAAGGAGGTCCTGCTACAAAGGTTCTGGTGGGGTACCTTGGATGAGGACACCAGAGATTTTGTAAATGCATGTCAGATTTGCAGTCAGTCAAAGTTTACGCACCAAGCACCTGCCGGCCATCTTCTTCCCTTACCTGTTCCCCACTGGCCTTGGTCCCATATATCCCTGGACTTCATCACTGCTTTACTGGTCTCCAGCGGGCACACCACCATCCTGACTGTAGTTGATCGCTTTAGTAAGATGGCCCATTTCATTCCGCTGGCCAAACTCCCTTCTGCCAAGGAGACAGCTGAACTCATGTTGCAGCATGTTTTTCGGCTACACGGACTCCCGACTGATATAGTCTCTGATCGGGGTCCACAGTTCACCTCCATCTTCTGGCGTAAGTTCTGTTTACTTCTAGGAGCCACCGTTAGCCTTTCATCAGGCTACCATCCTCAGTCCAACGCCAGACTGAGAGAATCAACCAGCAGATGGAGACAGTGCTGCGGTGTATGGCCTCCAGGAATCCATCCTCCTGGTCCCAGCAGCTACTCTGGGTCGAGTACTCCCACAACACGCTGAAAAGCTCTGCCACTGGTTTTTCCCCATTTCAATGTGCTTATGGGTACCAGCCACCTATGTCTCAATCCCAGGAGAAAGAGGCGTCATGTCCTTCTGTTCAAGCCTTTATCAAGCGCTGCTACAGAACCTGGAGACAGGCTCGGACTGCCCTTCTTAGCACAGCACAGCACTATTCTGCCGCAGCTAACCAGTCTGTGAGAGCCCTCTTGCTCCTGTTTTGCCGCCACCACCTCTGACACGCCTGATTGATGGGGAACCTGCGTATACAGTGCGTCGCCTCCTGCGCTCCAGACGTCGTGGTCGAGGTCTTCAATACCTGGTTGACTGGGAAGGCTATGGGCCAGAAGAGCGTTCTTGGATGCCTGCCAGCTTTATCTTGGACCCTCTTCTCATTAAGACTTTCCATGAGAAACACCCTGAACAGCCTTCAAAGGGCTCTGGAAGCTCTCGCGATTCTTTCTGCTACCCTAGGTGATCCATCTGGGTACTCTGACCTTTCAGAGGACTTCTGACCCTCCTCCAGGCCCCCTCCTCCCTCCCGTGGTCGGCCTTTTGGTTTTGGGACGTCAGGAGCCGTCCCTTGAGAGGGGGGTTCTGTCACAGTTCTGCCTTTTGTTTACTTGTTTTCCCCAATCCAGTCCATTTCTCAGTCTGTTCCGGTCCTCCTTTTGCCACCTCCCTCCTTTCCCTACAGGTGCTGCTCATTATGTAATCAGCCCAGGCCCAGTCTATATATACTCCCTCTGCTCCCTCAGTCTTTGCCAGATTGTCGACCTGTTAAGACAGACATTCAAGCTCTGAAAACCTGAAACCTGAAATCCCTGTATTCCCTGAATCTGTTCTGTTTGTGACTTCTCCAATTCTGTGTTTCCCTGTTTGTTGTCCCTGTTCCTGAGTTCACTCCCAGTTAATTTCTTACTAGTGTATTTCCCAGTCTTGGAGGATATTTCCGTTCACATTTTATATAATATATTCCTCTGTTATATTTTCAGTCTGAGTTTCCATTATTACATTCCCTGTTATAGGACACTTTCTGTTATTTAAATAAGACTTTGTTTGCCTGAGTACTTGTGTTGCATTTGAGTCCAATTTACATGCGTGATATGTGCATAAAATGTTATTTACTCTCAGTCCTTGACCACCTCACCACATTAGCTTAGACAGACAATAGCATCCATCAGCTAGATAAATATTGCTACCCATCTTGCACGAAACTGCTCACACATAACGGCACTATTAACATGCCCAGATTTTCTGCAGCTCTATTACAGATGTGTAATCTCAGAGGAATGCACTGATCCTAATCGCCAGCTGTCACCAGAAGTCTCTGCTCAGACACACTCACACACTAATGCTACACAATGGGTATATTTATGACATAAGAGAAATCCTTTTTTACATCAGTGATCAGGCTAAAGTAAAATAAAGTACACACGTTACATTAACAAGACAAGCGCTATTTTGTGTAAACAATTGTCATCTCAGGACTCATGACAGTCTTAAAAGATCCACAAATATGGTTCCTAATATACTTGCCAATTTTTGCGCTACTCATATTTTATGAAATTTGGAAGTAATTGGACAATTTGATTCAATATTGTATTGCATATTTAGGCTGCCACATATTGTTTGGTAATTTGACAACATAATAATACATATTTGTTTGCAAAAAGCATTCAAACTGTAGATATATTTAATATATTATTTAAAAACATGTACATTGACTTACAGAAGATGATTAAACCGTTTTATGGCAACTGGCCTGAAGAGGGAAGTTTGTTTTGAATCATGTGTCCCTGCCTGGGCAACACAGGCTCATATTCATGATCATATCTGAACTAGGAGGATAGCCTAAAGGTCACTGTGCAACTGGTGCAATGTAGCAAGAAAAAAGTGATTGTTTAAGAAGGGTCCATCGTGACAAATGCACCTGAAATGCAACATAGGGTGATCTTATTGTTCAGTATATTTGGCAAGTGAATTTTGGTTTATGGCCTCTTCTTGGTTTTGACCAGGCCCTTCTCCACCAGGCAGCGGTAGAACTCCTGTATGTACGTATACACACACTTCCAATCGGGCTCGTGCATCCTCACCAGATCATCGGGGTCCAACAGAGAGGGGCAGCCAGCCAACCTCCTGAGAGACAGGAAAATACAATGAGAAGCAATGTCAAAGCATGGCCGCGGATAACTTCACATTTCCTTGTACTTATAAGGGCAGTAAGCTCACTCGGCAGTGCTGAAGGCAAGTTGGAAGTTGTCCCTGGGTTTGTTTGGGTTGAGAATGGAATACTCAAATGCATCAGGGAAAAAACGGTGGACCAGGGCACAGAAAGCAATGCCATCTTTCCAACTGGAGGAGAAGTTTTGGATGTCCACACCCTGTAGGAAAAAGTCAGTACAAGTGTCTGGGAAGGAGCGGTAAAGGCAAGAATGTAGGGGACATATTATGTTTAGCAGCACAGTAGTAAATCACAAGAGGAGAGTGAGGAAACAATTACCTCATAAGGTTCTGTTTTGGCCCGGCACCAGTCTAGAAGCATTTGTTTGACATTTTTGGCATTGGGAGCAGCTGCAGTGGGACATTTCTGGGGTAAGGCTGCAGAGGGACTAGAATATAGATAAACATATATTTATTTATTATCTTATATTTATTTATTTATTACAATTTAATCATCTATCTGTCCATGGCAGTAGTACCTCCAACTTGATAATGAGTTGTTCTTGCCATTGTCCTCAAATATTAACCTTTCTATAGACTGTCCAAGATATGCTATGTTTTATCCGGTAATCAAAGTCATATGTATAGGTGACCAGTCAGAGCACAGTGAAGTAGCTTACAGTTACAATAAATGTTAAGGGTAAATGTGCATATATATTTCTAATGTAGTGGACACACACACTCTTGTACTGATTGCTGCCCTCACCCTGTTGTCTTGTTGAAGGAAGTAAAAGCTGAAGCTTGCTCTGTAAACAACAAAAAAAGCCATAATTTATATTTCCATATTCCGTACAGTTAAATATTGAAACAAATCAGAATTACTTGTAGACGTTTGCTGGTTAAAGGTGCTTCTCCCTCCTCCAGTTGCAGCAGCTTTACTCTGTTGCTTTAAGTCAGCCTGTCTCTCTCCTCTCTCCTCCTTACGTTTATCTGGGAGAAAAAAACAATAGAATGCAAAGGGATAAAAATACACATACGTATAACTGATATGGAGGACATCTTTACCTATTTTTCTCCTCAGCAGATCCCTTAATGCAGCGCGTATCATACTCCGCTCTTCAAAGTTTTTTGCATTGTCAAGCTGAAAACATACATTGAATTTGAAAACATTAGTGGGAATTTCAGTGGACATTCTGTAGTATGCAATGAATGTAACTGACTTAAACATTAAAAAAAGGAAGTCCTGTGATTGCGGACACTGTGGCTATTAGTTAAATTGAAATTTCTGTTCTGCTGACCAACTTAATTCAAGCATCAGAGACAGATGTTTAATGTTTAGAGAGAATGGTTTATATGCTGACCATTTTGTTTAGTACATCTTCGTCTTCAATTGCTGCAAGTTCCTCCTTGGTCGGTGATCCTAATGAATCACCTGGGTTTTCAGTGGCCATCTCTATGGAATATTAGCAGGTTGATTTAACAATTCTCCATGACATCATTGTGCAATAATTAATAAGGAAATGTAACTTAAGTAACTTATGTAATAGGTACCCAACATCTGCACTCAAGAACTTCAATAAAACAATAGTTTGTATCAGTCTATTCTTCAGTATTAGACAGCCCTAAACTATAGCATTGGAACTTTAATTGCTACTGGCAACTATACCTCAACTATATCTATGGCATTAATCTAAATGTCTCTTATAAAATACTTTCTTCTACTTTGACATTAAAATATTACTGTGGCATTCATCCCTATAAAGACATGTGTTTGTATTACAGGCAAATACTTTTGTTTCACAGCAACACAGAAGGGGCAAAGCATGGACAAATATAGTAATGTCGCAGAAGCCAGTAGGATAAATATGCATTGCATTTGATAACAGTGTGTGACTATGTAGTCAACAGAAGAATGTGCTAAAGCAAGTGCAATACAAGAACAATACAGAATTGAGATCTTTCAAATTGATCACTGATACTTTATTTATGATTATATATATTATATATAATATATTATATTATATTATATATTATTTGTCACTTACCTGTTTTGGAGAATAGTTGATAGACTCGTTACTCTGCTCCTATTTGGGTCTCAGTGCAGAGGGATCCCCTGTATACACTGCACAAGACACATGTTTGCACAGAGGAAAAGTTGATTACAACCAACCAAGACTGGAGATTCTTGGAGGAGGGACAAAGAGGTCCATCTATCGTCTGTTCTCTAAATCCTGGGTCTTAGTTTTTTAGAGGGATCTTCACCCCAGCAAAAGGTGTGTTGATGATTTGTGGCATGTCCACCCTGTGTTACTGATTGCAGCAGTACAGTCATGAAATGACATGAAAGGGTTAAAGAGGCAGAATGTGAGAAGCACTGCCTTATTGAGGCAAAAGCCGATCTGGATATGTATGTTTATAAAATTAAGGAATTCACAGAATGAAAAGCAGATCACAAACCTCTGTCACAATCATTTTAAATAATCACAGTGAAACCGCAAATGAGAAAAACACTCAAACTTGTATTAAGTTTGGTCTAATACAGCATGTAACTGTAAGATAGAGATAGAAAGTGTGACTCCCCCTTGTGGTGAGCAACTAGTAGATGCTCTAAAGCCTTCCATAGATGATAATGAAACAAATTATATAGTTTGTATTTTTCTGGTTATTTTATTGTTTGCAATTTTTTTGTTAGATTAATTCAGACCAATGACACTCTTTGCTACTTTAAATGATGGATCATAATGGATTGGTCTAGACAGAAAAGTGTTCATCCAAAAATGTTCACAAGAGCGCAGTGTTGTTAAATTATATATATTTTGAATTGACTCAACTCAAGTTTTTCTGTCAATTTTCCATTTTACAACTCATAGCAACACTTTTGAATCCAAACTTGTGACCACAATTTGACAGAAAAAAAGCAAAATTCTTTCTTACAGGAGGTTCACATACAGTAAGGCATGAGGCAAATGCCTCAGTTTAGACCCCCCCCCCCCCAGCTACAAAATACATAAATATTAATTACATCAAACAACCAACAAAACAAACCAGCAAGTACAAGGAATACCAGCTCTGGAGGCATTGTTGTTGTACATTTTTAGTGCAACAGCTGCTCTGCCTGTCATTCCAAACCAACTTGGCATTTAGCAACTGAAAGAACAAGCAACTTTGACTCAGTACAACTGCTTTGTTTTGGTCAAAGCTGCCTTTTCTAACTGTCTTTAAATAAAAGGCAGAACATACCCTCCCTGACAAATGAGGTATTATTTTCTCATGGCATAAACATGATGTTAAACAGACTGTTAAATTAAAATAAAAACAAAAGCAAACAACAAAAACAAAAACTATATATATTCATAGCGCTCACATTTATCCAACAATGAAACATGACATGACTCAAATTGTAAATATGAATGGCACTGCTGAACAAGTAAAAATGTTTAAACCTGTGATGTATGGCTTAGTGTGGTGATTAAGTGATTAAGTGATTGCTTTCTAGGTAAATATTTGGCATACCATTCACACATCAGGGAAGTTGAGGATTCTTGGGTCAGTGTCTGCACCACCCTGACCTCACCAAAATAGAGGTGTGCTATTAAAAAACATACATCATGTGCTAGACCTTTCACAAACTCATCTACAGCAGTAGCAAGCCACACATTCCAAAATAAATAATGTAAAATAAATATTATAATATAATGTTAAAGTATTAGAGGGCAAAATATCCCTTTTGCAAAAGCAATGTAATTCAGAAATACTGACACAAAACAACACTAATGTTTGGCAAGTTCAGAAAGTAGGTCACTTGGATGGGGAGAGAGGTTTTAACTAATATAGATTTAGTACAAAAATAAAAAGCGATTTGATGCAAAGTAAAACAAATGTATTTTAAGTGTCAGAAGTCTCAACTTCTAAAAAATGAAACCAAAACAAGATTTTAAAATAGCAATGTTTTTTCCAATGAGCACCTCCGTCGGGGAGTGTGACTCCTTAGAGATCCATGAATCAAATTATGATGGCACAGTTGCAGTGCATGTAAAAAGTAATTGGAGTTATTCCATAGAGACCTGATGAGGGACTGACTGAACAGAATGGAGGTCTTATTTGGGGAATCTAACTTAGCTTATTAGCTTAGGGCCATTTTCAGATCAAAGAATCCTGCCATGTGTGCTTTAGATGAACAAATCTTTACCTCAAGTTCTGGTACAGGAATAAAATGACAACAGAAACTGTATGTAACAAGGTTTGCCCTTCACACTCAAAGTAAAAGCTGCCAAGAGGTGACTAGAGAAGAGCCTTCCTACATCAGGTAACAGTGTTTTGACACACAAAGAATATATTCATTAGTCTCTGATTAATATTGTACCCATTGATAATGAGTTCAATGCTATCTGTGCCTGCTCTCTACCTGCTGCTTTAATTATCCATGTAAAAAATCAAGAGCCCTCAGAAAACTTTCACAGTGGGGTAGTGTCCGTATGAATACCTTATTAGTTTTTAGTGTACCCATGCATGCAAATAGCATTATTATTAACCATGTGAAGAGTAAGGAGAGATTATTATGAAACTAATCAAATCAACACCATCTTTGTCCACACTATTTGAATGTGACAGCCAAAAATAACAGATAAAAAAGGTGCATTCACATGCTGCTTGGGTTGTGCAAACCGTATGTACCAAAAAAAGGTAAATATTTAACACATTAACACTAACACCACATTTTTGCCAATGTCACTTTTACACTTGACATCAAATTGTTAAACAATTCGAATTTCTTGAGGAGTTTTTATCTCTAAGTATTGAAATGATGAATGTTGAATCCAGCATCATATGAATGCAGAAAAAAAATGTTAGAATAGAAGAGAACTGAACACAGATAAGAATATTATCTCAGGACTGTTTGCAGGTGTTTCTTCATAGTTCACATTGATGCTCCTTATCTTCAGCATCAGTCTACTTTGTCTTGCAGTTTACACTCTATCCTCTGCTGGTCATACAGTGACTGCTGGTCATACACATTGGTGGTGTTCTCATGGTGGAGAGATTTGTAGAGAACAGGTCTAGATGCTTTCTCTTTAGCGCCGCGAGCGTCCAGGTATCTTATGATAAACTCAGAGTTCTGATAGATGAGCATGCCTGACAGGGTGAGCACTGCACCCACACAGCTCAGGGCAGAAAGCTCACAGCCAAACAGCAGCTGGGACAGCAGCAGGTTCCCCACCACATTCAAGTTCCCCAGGACATGCAGCGTGACAGCAGAGGTGAGAGTGATGACACAGTTACTGGCCAGATTGTACAGCACTGAGCCCATGCAGCTCAGGAGAATGAACATCCACAAGTGTTTGTCATAGTGCAGAGGGGACTCTAGCTGCGCCCAGTTCTCCAGCGCCAGAGCAGCCACCGCCAGGATGCAAAAGCTGGGGATGGCCATAAGGTAGAGCAGAAACATGGAGTTGATCTTCTCTTCTTGAAGCAGGATGCCTGACACAATGATGAAATAGTTATACATTTTTCCAACATATATTGCCAAAGTAGATTATACCACCAGAACTGAATAACAAAAACAATAATGCTGAAGTTATTGTCCAGTAATTTGCCCAATGTTTCTCCATGGTTTGCACCTCATGACTGTATTCAAATGAACAATCGAAACACCTCTTAAGAGATAACACACTTAACCTCCACTTAAGGGATACTATTCTTAAGAGATTCTCAGAGGGGCTTTCAATAAATAAATATATGTATAAACTACAAATAATGACATTATTTTAGACATTCTTACTACACACACACACACACATACACACATATATATCATATATATATATCATATATATATATATATATATATATATATATATATATATATATATATATATATATATATATTTTTTTTTTTTTTCCATTGTAAATTAGGGCTTTGAGTCAACTTCCAGGGATTCAAATAATGACTTGAAGTAATAATTTTAGTAATAACAACATGTAATAATGTAACCCAGAAATGAAAATACTACTGGCTAAAACACTGGATACAGTGTGACTTGAAAAAACCTGTTAAACCTATACTTGAAGACTCTTCATACAAAACTTGAACATGCAGTACCAATGTAGCCCCACCCCTGCCCCTGTCCCTGAACAAAACATTCAGTTATACAGTTGTCTGAAAAATAAGACTATATGTTCCCTTCTGTTACGTAATAGGAATCTCAATTTTATTCATGTGGTTCAGTTGTCAACAAAGTTAGTCTAATTTTATCTGAGCATTTGTTTAGGCAAATATATAGCATTTAGGCAGTTACATAAGTCAATAAGCTGAAATTAATTCAAGCATAATAATTCAATTTAAAGTGTGTGTTTTCCAAGAACAATTGACTGTGGCAAAAAACAAGAATGCTAAATTTAAATTAGGAAGTAAGTAGTTGTTTTTATGTAGTTGTGGCTGATGTATTGTTTTGTATGTGGATGAAAGTTAAGGTAACCTTCTTACATAAACTCAAATCTATCATATAAAGACTGACTGTTCCTTGGGACTGACAGAAAACTGTGCAAAGTTAAAGCTTGTGTCATGTCTGTCTGTGATGAGTCACCATTTACTTGGGAAAAACTAAAAAAATTGAGAAAACAAATCATATGGAATGAATCATTACACAGTAATTACACAGACTTATATCTTCTCCCTCTGCAAATGTTGGATGATGTTTGACAAATAGGTCAAATAATACAAAAAAGGCTAGGACTTACTCTGCTGAATTGACTTGACACCTCGTAACATGGTTGCCGCAAAGACAAAAATGCATCCAGTTTGGTCAAACTGGACTTCTCCCATAATGCTGAATGAAGCTCCCAAACAGATGGGCATCATAGCAGTGTACTTGATGATATGGTGCTGTTTCCCCAGAATAAAGGTGGATATAGCCAGGGTGAACAGAGGAGTGGTGGTGTATATCATTTGTGCAAAGGAGAGCTGAACGTAAGTCAGACCCATGTTTCCAAAGGCGATGCTAGCACAGAAAGTTAGACTCAAGAGGAATACTTTGCATTTGGCATTTGTAGTCAGTTCCTGTTCCCCAGCTCTTCTGTGGTGAATTATTCTCAGTTTGATCAGTACATAGTCCACCACTATGGCTGTTAGCATGTGCAGCGCTGAAAGGAGCAGAGGGTACCTGAAGTTGTACACAGCAAATATCCATTTGTTGAGGCTGGATATAGTGCTCCCGGTCACCAGCCACACAATGACAGCCGACAACAGATGGAGCATCTCAGTCAGAGGTCTGTGTCTGCTTCTAGCTTCCAGAGAGAGCTCACTGTTGGAGAAGCCATCAGTCCTTCTCATGTTCGCTTCATTGTTTTCTCTGAAAGGCAAACACACGTCCACTGAGAATAATCATATCGCCTGTAATCACTCCACAGTCTACATTTAAGAACCATACACTCCTTGTCCTGGAAATTAAGTTTCTTTTGCGCCACCGCCTAAAAGCACGTGTTTCTATTTTGCATGAGGATCAGGTTGTGTAACACCGTTGGAAAAAACTGACATAGCCGACCAGGAAGACAGGCACTGTGCAGGAATAGAGACTTGCAAGCTGGGTCCGCCCCGGCAGCAGCGAGCCCTGACTTCATTGGTTGATTTTCCATCATGAACTCAGGGGCTGGCTGTCTATGGCTGTGACGCACCGCTGTGCTGCACCAAAACACGGTGCCGTGGTAAACATCAGCTGAATGTGCCTGTAACTGTAATCCAACCTCATAAATATCACGTCCCGTAGAGGCACACGAGTTATCAGTTTCAGGTGAAGTAGTTTTAAATATAACCTAACCTATATTCACTTGAGATGACATTATTACTTTGCTAAGAGAGCATGCTCGTAGCCCTAAATGCCTCATAGGAGTAGCAGTTCGCTTTTAGCATACAACTTAAAATCAAACACCACTCAAAAGCAGTTAGTTAGCTGTTATTACACGCGTAAGACGACGCTATTAACAAAATAAAAGGGCATAGGCTGGAAAAAGTTAGCTGACCTGTGTCATTGAGGGAAATGACACTTGACACCAGACGAGCGACAGCTAACGGGAGCTAGCTGTGTGTTCAGCCCAGTGTTCAGTGCTAGACAGGGAAACAGCCGCACAGCCACATACTTGCACATGCAGCTACATACTTCTATCGGAAATCAAACTACATTTTAAATAAACAACATTTCTAATACAAGTGTGTGTTGTGTTACCTGCATATATGATGACTAGTGCCTTGACCATCGCGTCTGCGCCGGTCTGCGCCACACCGTCATCCACAGCACACCACTAGATGCGCGCTCATGTAATTGAACTACTGTCCTTTTAAAGGGATAAGACACATTTATCCGGTTCATTAGTTCGGGATATGGTCAGAAGGAGCGAGAAGGGCAAATTATGGTGCACTGTGACTGCAAGCAAGTCGATGTGGAAGCGATGGACGAGGGCATAAATGCCATCCTATATGCAAAATACCAGGAACTGGAGGGCACTATCGACAACTTTTTACTCACACGTGCAATGGGAAAGCATTTGTGGTGCTGAGATGGTCCTTCAACAAGCCCATCAATAAGTGAACCTAATTATGTTATTAGTTATGAAGAAGTTGTTGCTGGATTCTGCAGTGCAAATCGCAACTCAATATTTGTCAATAACGATAATAAGATGAACTGATTGGTGGGTTTCAGATGACATCACAACATCCTATAGGCCAAAAATATTTAACAGAAGAGATGAGGGGCAGGTAAAAAGGAAATTGTAAAATTGCAGATCACTTGTTGTAATTGCTTGTTATAATACAGCGAGTTCATTGGTGTAGTCACTCATAGAAATTATCAGCTTTGTAAATTTATCTTCTGTATGCTTCATGGCAAAGCACAATGTAATCAATAAAGCAGGCTCTTGCTCATCTTCAGGGAGTATAGCATAATTTCACTCTAAAATCTAAATAACACCAATTACCTGTGCATTGTCATCAACACAAAGTGAGTTGGCCAGTCAAACCAACATGAATAGGCAGGTCTAGTCTACTGCCTAAGCTTACTGCATTAGGCCTCAGACTACATCATAACTGTTTGAAAGACACAAAAATGTTCAATACAGTATAGTGGGTCAGTTTTCTAGCAGGCTAGGATGCACTTGTATGACATAGCTTCAATAGCCTGTTTGACATCATTGACAGGTCCAGATTGAGAGAGGGTGCATATGAGATTCAAAAGGGTGCAAAGGCAATACAGCTCCATTGAGCATCAGTTTACCCTGCCTGAAATGAGTGGGCAAACATGTTTTATCAAGAAGTTGAAATGCACCCTTTTTCACTCCTGAAGCATGACCAACATAATCAATAGACACAAATACACTCTGCATTTGCAAAACAATATATAACCTTTATTTAAGTTGGAAAAATTTCATAAAGCCAAAATTATAAAGGAGAATCAGAATTATTATATTGCAACTTCAAACTGAAAAATACTGGGTTATGCTATTTAACCTATGCTGTCATTTGGGAACAAATGTGAACAAATATCCATAAACTGTATCATTCTCAGCCAACGGACTAGTACAAGTGCAAGTACAGTACAATATTGTATTTTCTATTTTCTGACAAGTGCGTGGATTTGTACACAAATGCAGAGCTGGTTTCAGATAGTCAAATAATCACAGAACAGTCCAGGCACATTCACAACTTTGTCTTTATTTGAGTTAAACTGTCACATTTCTGTGGGCTTGGGCACAAAAGGTGAATTCACATGATTTCTGTATGTGCCTATAGAGTATTATATAGGTGAAGAGGCTAGTCACTACAGTCCATGCAATGACCTGTATGTTCTCATGGAAACTTTAAGGTTTACATGTTTCAAAGCCTGCAGTATGTGCTCTACTATAACACTTTGCATAAGTAAACTTTGGACTCATTTGATATTAAATACACCTTCCCTTAGCAGTATGCAGCTGCATTTGGGATTATGCCTTACACATATAACCTGAAAATGATTACTCAAGATATATAAAACAATATTTTTGTCTATTTTTGTGATTTTGTAAATAATTCTGCAATATACAGGACTTGAATGTCCTTCTAAGAATTATTTGAACATCCTGCCCTAATAGTATCACTGAACATAGCTTAAATATTCTTTGGCTACTCTCAACTAATTTACAGCTACTATTGTCATATCATAACCATACTCATATAAACATGTTCAACTTTATTTATTTTTCATATTACACCATTAATATGAATGTATGAATACTGTAACTACCATGTGCAGAAAAGTTGCTGTGCTATTATGCCAATTCAGACACACCTGAAAAGTGAATATAATATTTAAATGCCCAAAACTATAAATAAAACCAGTAAAACTTTTGTTTAAAAAGTGGGGTTTGATTTAAATAATTTCTTTGCAAGATCAGGTTAATTTAGCACCAATACAACTTATTTTAGAAATTAAGTAGTCATAATAATGTTCATCTTAGTTTTAGTGTTGCATTTAGTGATGTGTCAAAAGTGAAAGGCAGTGTATTACTGCAATCTGATCATGGATTTGACAAAAATAGTACACTATGCAGGTGTCCAAGAACAACCAGAAAATCTATTGGAAAAGACCATATTCAACTTATTTGATGTACCTTGTTTTCCAGAAATCTCAACTGCACAATTTAGGGCAGCTAATTATGAAAACTATGGTTTATAGGTTTTTCAAAAAATACATTTCACCCTGCTGATATCCTGATAGAATCAGGATATATGAATCTGCTACACTGCAAAAAAACAAACAAAAAAACATTAAAAGCCATGCATTCCTCAAAGACATGTAATAGTGCTGCTGTAAAAGAGGTCTCTCTGAGAAGTTCCTCGTTGGCTTTTCATACACACACAGATTGGCTTCCTGAAAGAGCTGAGGTCTATTTACAGGTCTAGAGGTGAAGTATGGAGGATCGCTTTGCTAAAAGATTTCTGGGCATTGGCTCCAATCCTGTCTCTCTTTTGCTTCCCAGTAACCTCCTCTGTAGGTGTAGGTGATTTCCCCGGTTGTTTCATCTGTTCTCTTCTCAAACCAAAGTGGGTGATAACCCTCCACATCTTGACCTGTTAAGAAAGATAAGAAGAGAAAGGAATGTATGATCATTTTTTACCATTTTAATTAGTTGTATTTCACATTTTTTAAGACAATTTATTAAATGTCTGGTAAAAAACAAACAAAGAAACAAAAAAACATTTAATTCATTAACGTTATATATATCTTATATCTATGAATAAAAATGTTAAAGAGAAGCCTTTCATTTCATTTCAAACAGGTGACAAAAAGGGAATAATTGAGACTGCAGGGGGGATATTTAAGAAATTGGACCAAACAGTTGTTTGTCACTGTTGGCTCCAGCCAATTTGCTCTATAATGAGTATGCGTGTATATTTATGAGTGTATACTCCAACTGAGAGATATGTATAAGTCCATATTTTTACCATCCTCCAAGGCCTGGTTGGCTTGTGCTTCTCGTTTCTTCCTTTCCAGCCTTTGGCGTTCCTCTAGACGCTGCTTCTGGGTGTTTGCTTCGTCCCAAAGACCTGCCTCCATGAGCCGCTGGTCCGGGCGCAGACGACTATCCGTAGGGGCCACACCCTCCTCGGGTTCATTCAGGGTCAGAGCCAGGGAAGAAAAATAGTACATGTTCTCTGCATTACTCCTAAAAAGAAGAATCAAAGACATGTCTGTGAAAGCTAAACAGAGTTCTATCACAATTTAGGGCTAGAGAAATGAAACATACGGGAGAGGGTATTTCTTCCACAAGAGTTTAGGCTGAAGAGTTTGATAAACTGTCTTCTGCTTGCCCTCTGATCCTCCACATCCTTCACTGCTGTTCACTACTTTGGAGCATTCCATTTTGTCATCCCAAGTTCCAGACAGTATATAATGGCCTGTGCCTTCTCTGTCCTCAACCACACCTGTAACCTGAGATTTATTATTTATATTTATTAAAAGGTCAATTACTGTATTTGTGTACAGTAATACAAAGACTGAAAATTAAAAACAATTAACAAGCAAATGTATTTGATAACACCCTTAATATAGTCATGTGTATGCATTAGTGGTAGCAGCTGTGAGTTGTTAAATTTGGCAGACTTACTTTACGGGGGACTTCTCTGGAGAAATAGCTGTAGGGAGAAAATTTAAGGCGGCTGGTGTCCTTAGTTGTTGTGTTGACTATTTCAATGTCTCCAGACTGACAAATGTGACAGAAAAAACATTTGAAAAAAAAAAAGCAATTCTATTTATCCTAAACTTTTTGCAACTACCACAGTACTTACCTGATCAATCCAAAGCTTCCCTACAATAATGTTGTGCACTGTTGAGGTCACTTTACTCCACACATAGTGATTGCCACTTGCATGGAAATGTAGATGGATATTTCCTTTGGGATAAAGACAATAGCATAAACTGTAATTTCCATTGAGTACTGTATGTGTCAGAGGTATTCTCAGGTATTAGAAAAATTAGCATTGCTCTGTAGTTGTATAGAAGATGCTTAAACTCTTGTTTAAGATTACTTAAGAGTTTTCTACTACACGAATGCTATAGCTGGGTAGAACTGCTGTACAGGCACACAGTTGTTGTATCTTGGTGAAGACACACTGTTTTTGTGTTTGTGAGTGCAAATGTAAAACAACAAATTGAAATTTGGCCATGGCCTCTCAAACTGAAGGGTTTACAGGCATGTTATTTGGTGGGTAGGAAATTCCCTAATTTGTATACAATATCCTGTACAGTGTGTGAGCCTACCTAAAGGCATGACAGAAATGTACTTTCCACGAAACTTGCTGTCGATGGTGATATGTTGCCATAGGGACCATCCTCGCTGAGAGGACACATGGAGGGCCGCAGCTGGTGGGTGATGACTGACCTATGAACACACAGAGATCAGAGATGTATGCACACTTGAAAGTGTAACCTTCTGCTGTTTTATTACAAACACTGCATTGGGCCAGTACTCAAAGATGCATTCAATAAAATAAAATAAAAAAAACTGACTGTATTGATGTAATGACTGTTGATGTAGGCAGTAAAAATTAATTCACAATATTCCCTGAAATTAAGTGGCTGAGCTTTTTGCCTCCTTCCTTAGACACCCAATGCCCTTTAAGTTATTCCCTGCATATACTGCGTAACATAACACAAGTCACAGCTCAGTAGTGCCTTACACGTGGTAGAAAGGTAATTTCATACAAAATGTTTAAAGGTAGCACTAAATTTCAGTCACCACCTGCTCACAGATGGAGCGATAACCAAACTCTTCCAGACGATCAAGCTCATAGGTTTCGCCAAGCAGAGGGTTGAAAGGCTTGGCTGTCCGGTGCACTGTGGTGGAGTAGGATGACACAGAGAAAGCAGCTACCAGGCACATCTGCTCCAGAGAAGAGTCACAGCGGGCAGCCCTGTCCAGTAGCTCGCTGTACTCCAGATCTTCTGTCAGTCGTTGCAGCATCGACAGTGGCTCATTAAAATTTACCTGAAATAGATATAAGCGGGTATGACCATGCAATTCAAATGATATGCCAAGTCCGTGTATGTGTAGTATGACTGTTGTAGTTACAGGCATGGGTATCCTGGATAAGTCTTTGCCAATGCAGTTTTTCATAATGGACCATAGGTTGAGAGAATAATTTGGTTTGTCTGGAATACGGCAGCGTCTTGTTCTTCTATGATTGGTGACTGAGGTATCCTAGGGCAAACAGATATAATTAAATACAAACATTTAGAGGATCGCCACGGCACATATTTATGTTCTGTTTCATTAGTAATGATTAAACAAGTAATACAACATTTATTGCTTACATTTTCATTGTGTGTCCAGTCATTAGGCATTCCACCACTCATACTTTGGTTGCTTCCTGAGCGTCTGAAAAAGAACAGCACAAATTTGAGATGCTAGTTCAGTGTTCAGTGTTCACCTTAATTTCCACAATACTAATTAACCCATATGGTTTTACATTATTTTCATAGAAATAATTGTTTTACTTGTGCTGTATGCTGGCAGTTGCAGCCACAGTTATGAATGCAGGGGAGTCCTCCATGGCATCAAAAAACTCTGCCTCCTCATTCTCATCACTGTCATCCCCGTGCTGAGACCTCTCCACACCTTTCAAGAAAAGACAATATATGTATATATATATATGTATATATATATATGTGTGTATGTATATATATATATATATATAATATATATATATATATATATATATATATATATATATATATATATATATATATATATATATGTATATATATATATGTGTATGTATATATATATATATATATATATATATATATATATGTATGTATATATAAAAGTCGAGTTTCACCTGAATATGAAGCTGGGTTCTCCCTCCAGGCTCTCTCTAAGCTGTTGTGCTGCTTAGCCAGTTGCTCGATGGTTTCCTCCAGATGGTGGCGCTGTTCTCTCTCATACTGCAGAGCCTTTTGCCACCTCCGATTGTGAGATTCGGCTACATCCACAAAGTCCTGACAGGCCTGAGAAGCAAACACATGCTTTGTACACTTATGCAAGCAATTTACATTTGACCCTACAGGATGCCAATGCACAAATAGCTATAGGGAAGACAATGAAAAACTTACATTAATCATAGCATTGGAGGTGATGCGGAAGAGAGTAGCCCGCTCATTAACAGTTTTGACTCTGTCTGTGCTATCGGCCGTCCCACGCAGGTCCTCAAGTTCACTGAGGGAGCGTTGCAGGGCAGCACCGTGCTTCCCTATGAGCTCATTACAGGTGCTCAGGTCATCCAGTTTGGTGGCCAATGTCTTCAGCACCCCCTGGTTTATGGTGCGGTCCTCCTGTGGCCCGGGACCGTCATCTCCTGAGTCATCTTCAAATAGGAAGAAATTAAACACATTTGGGGGAATAATTGTGGTTGTATTTTTATACAGTGAAGCTAATAAATACTGTAAAAGTAAAAGTGGAAAATAACATTTCAAAATCTGATTTCCCAGCGCCCATACTTTTACAAGGTGGGAAAGCTGTGAATGAACTCTGTTGCCTTGGTAACGTGCGGCTGTGCAATCAGGAGGCAAGGCTATTTTTAGAATCTGAGGGAAAAAAAACATGACGCACTATCCACTCCCTCCTTCTTGCTCTCAGTCCCTTAGACTAAAAAGAACATAATATTTACTGCAAGTTTAATTATATATAAATACTATTAATATAGTAGACTTTTTGTTACTGTGTCAGGCAAAAGTTCAAATGTTTTTTCTTTGCTTTCAATTGTGCAGGCCAATGAAAATGATAATAATAGCCCTGTTGGCCCATGGTTTGGGTTCAAAGAACTAATTACAGTATTCTGTACACAGCAACTGTGTGGTTTAAAAAAGCAGAACAAGCAGTCAAATTTAGATAATTCCGTCTTTAATTGGAAAGTAGCCAATCGGCTAATTCTAAAATATTCAAATGTATGTATATTTATTTAATATGCATTTAAATTATAAAAAAAAAAAAAACTATTTGCAATTTTGCATTATTCCGCAGCATATATTAGTTGATTACTTGAAATACTGATAGTAAGTCTTAGAAACTGTGCCAGGGTCTACAGAATTCCGTAATTGTAAAAATGGGTGGTGAAATTACTATTAGGGCAAAGTAGATCAACACTGTCCCAGGAGAGTTAGATTAGAGACAAAAACTCCTTGGAGCTTTAATAATAACTCCATGACCTATTTACACAGATAACTAGAATTTACATAATGCACTGACTTGATATACTGTATCAAGAACTACAGTTTCTCTTAATTTATTTCATGCCCATTTATTTCAACAAAACACTAGGAACTTAACTGGGTGTTTAGTGGACTTCACTGTTAACTTTCTGGCAGTAATGAGATATATTCACTCCAGACACAAGACAGTCCAAAACAAAATGGTGACTCATCACTGAATCATATAAAAACACCCACAGGTGGCAACTATCACACACAGTATACACACTGCACTACATACAACAATTCTTAGACATGTGTTCATAAATTGTAGATGACTGATTTTGGTATTTGTCTAGTGCCCACTGATTTTCCCTAGTACAGTCAGTGTCAAACATCCATGGACTCACTGCATTTAAAGGCTAAGGGATGATTACAATAAAGTGCTCAATTAGGTGCACAACCTATTTAAACTGCTATAGTAAACTGAAATTAACTGTACAGAGTACACTTCCAAACCTCCAACACCTGCAGATGACAATGTAGGGGTTAATTCATTATAAAATTAGATCACATTGCAGAAAATATATTACTTGTTCCTGCCTAATACTTAGGTTTAAAATAAGTTAAGTACACATGTAAGTACACAGTTAAGTACACGTTTTTACTTTAAAATGTATTAAGAGCATAACAAAATAGTCCAAAACCAGAATGGCTTCTATGACCACATTTGGGAAAATCAATATTCATACCTTACATAAAATAAATGGATTAGTATAGTTATATGAGAAGATCATCCAGCCAGTCCTCAAACATCAGCCAAATGCATACTCACAAGGTGACCCCCATGATGACAAAGGCTGCCCTTCTTTCTCCCTGTTGTCCCAAGTTGGATGAAGAAAAATGTTTTCAATGAATATCCACGCACCCTCCTGCTCTGTCTTTGTTTACCCCTCCTTGCCCGACTCAGAGGAGGAGTCTACACGAAGGTCATTTCATTCACTCCTCACTGTCGTCACTGAGAGGGACCAAGAGACAGGATGGGAGGCAGGCGTAGTGCAGTGGGGAGGGACGATGTGTCTCTCTCCCTATGTAGTAGACTAGTAATATGAAACTAAGACTCGCTGTGCATGGAAGGACAAGGCAAGTAAAATGGCACCACAAGGACATTTCACTGCTGTACTAGGCTATTTTGAGAGTAGAGTATAATCATATTATTTAAACAACAGATATAGATCTACAGCATAGACACGCATAACATTTAATATGACATAAAAGTAGATCAAGTCAGATTAATGTATTCCGCTTCACATTGCATCATCACTGTTCATTTTGGCTTCTTTCAGGACAAGACTGCCCCCTTCCGGTCATTTCGTTTTAAGACATTTAGATTTTTAAGTATAAAAATAACTCAGTGCTGCATCCGTAAGTAGGCCTTAACTGCACCTTAGCTGCATTGGGGTTACAGCCAAAAACGACATTGTCTGCCTCTATCACAATCAAAGTAAGGCTAGACTTACCTGACTGCTGCATCATTAGGGTTGCATTAGCTTTGGCCTGCTGCAGGGCAGACACCCAGCGCTGGCACTCCCCTTCTGAGGTGGCTTTAAGGTGGTAGTTCCTGCCTCCACTCGTCAAAACAAAGTGGCAGGTGTCTCCCACTTCAATGTGAGCAGTTGCCAAGGGAATTGTCCCACGACACGTGTGTGCCATTTCTGCCTGAGTTCTGCGGAAATATAAATATAAATATTTAAATGAAGGGCAAACAATAACTTAGATAGATTCATACTTGTGGAGCATGGGCTTTTAATGTACGTTATAATTTGGGTGTACATAAATGTAATGATAACGCTTAGCAATTTTTATTATAACATGGTTGTCTTGCCAATGGACCTAATTGACAAATTTGACATCATAGCATAATAGTAGAGCACCCCCCCTAAACTTTGATCCCCTGGTACGTGGCTCCGGGCCCCGCTGAGTTCCCCCGGGCCCCCCGGGCCCCCCTGCGCTCCCCTGCGCTCCCCTGTCGCCGTGGTCACCTGTAGTAGGACAGCAGGCCGTTGCTGAGGACGAACCATCGCCGCTGGTATCCCTTCAGGTAGTTGGTCCATTTGAAGAGCCAGCCTCTGTAGGTGTCCGCGCACGGCATGTGGATGCCCGGCAGAGTAGGCGAAGGCAAACTTTTGACCAGCTCGTTCATTTCTCCTTGTAGACCTTGGCTGCTCCTCGAACGGAATAAAGCCGCGGAGTGGGCGCAGTTTGGTCGAGATGCGGGCAACAGCTGTACGGTTAGCTAGAGCCAACTGTAAAGCACTCTTCCTCCGGTAATGATACTGCTGCTAGCCTGTGCTGCTGTGGGGCTATGACACTACGGGACTGTCCCGGTCCCTCAAAACTGACACTTCATAATATGACAAGCTAAAAGCATGACATAACACATCACATCACCTCCAGTGAATGCACAGCGGCGTGTTTATCGAAGCCAGTGGATCATGCAGGAAAAGGGAATCACGATGACGTCCTTTCCACTGGATTGTAGCACGTCTGCACATTTTTATCCGCATGAATTGCACAATTTAAAGGAGCTGTAGGCTCATTTTGTTCAACCCAGGACTCAATGCATTTAAGTCAACAAACTGAGCTTTAAAATTAGCACATTAGCACATGTCTTCTCTGAATTAAAAGCGATTACCGAAAATCGTCAACATTTAGTAGGCTAAACTGAAGATCAAACTGAAAAATGACTCTAGGCTTTCACATATTTTTGATGCAGAATGTGATTTAGGCTGGACACAGTGAAGACACTAGGGGGCACTGACACTGACATCTAAAGCTTGTTTATGGGTCAGTATAACCCATGGATCTCTGCGGTAAAACACAAGTATAATGCATCATAAACTTTGAGCTACACACAGAATAAATACTCGCAGCTCAAACTTTTATTCAACATCAAAATTGGTAAAATATTATATTCGTATACACATAATTTAAATAAATACCATGATTAAATAACAATTCAATGCAAGAAGCAGTGTCATTAAAGAAAGACTATGACCTTATATGGAAGAATCCAACATTAGATTACAGGAGAGGTTATGCAAATTCAATAAATAAGCAAACTGGTACTGGTAAGAGTTCAACATTTTTGTCATTTGGCATCATCACAGTTATGTGAAAAATGTACAATCTTATAGTTCTGCAAAGTGCTTTATGACTTTGTGAGTCTAAAAAAATGTTATGTTGTCATTTCGAAGATTTGTTTCTTACAAAACTGCAAAGACCCAAATGCAACCCTGTACAATTACCACAAAAGAATCTCTATGGCACAATAATAATGTGATAATATTGTTGCAGTTTTGATGTTGTACTGTAAAATGTACATATTGAGCATAAATCTCTTCTCACAGCACAATGCATTTTAAATACTTTGTGATTACAAGTTACAAAATTCTTAAGGAAACCAATTTAGAACATTTCAAGTGGTTTGCTGGGTACAGCAGTAAGGCAGTCAGCACAGCCGATAATACAGTGAAGATGAAAGAAACTGCTACAAGAGAAATTTTGAACTCATTGTCTTGAATAGTTGGCATAATCACAGTGTCAATAAATCCATCTTGCAGCATATTACTACTGAATTCAGCATCCCATCTCAATTTCACATTCTAGAGCAAACCATCCTGCTCAAACACAGAGGGCAGCAGAGAGAAGTCGAAGGGCACGAACTTGACACCTGCCCCATGATAAAATTTGTTTTGGAACTCCACCCTGAAAGAGAAAGACAATAGCAGTTACACTACACATTTCAAAACACTAAACAAGGGGAAGAATCTGAGGTAAATGTTTCAAATGTATCAATTCAGCCAAAGTCATGAATGAAACAAATGAGGAATAAATCAAGGCACAAATTTCACTTATAAAAGATATACATTCAAAACTAATTCATTTATATTTTAGTGTACATATAATGGATAGTATGAAAGATAAGATAACAACAATCTTGTTTTCTAGGAAAAAGGAAGAGAAGTGTTTAAAATGTTATAATACAGACTAACCAGTGAAGACGGAGTGCGTGTAGAAAAGCAGACAGGCCTTCCATAACGAGCAGGATGGAGACAGTAAGCATAGCAAAGAGGCCAAAGATAGGGACCAGGAGCACCACACCTACTCGAGTGGTGATGTTAAAGCCCAGGCGCATCACCATTTCCCAGAGTACCTCAGACAGCTCTGAAACAGATGTGTATACTGATATAGGACAAGATCCACTCTTATTTAGTTACTTGTGTATGCAACTTACGTGCATGGGCTAAACTAAGAGCCCAGAGTCGCAGGTAAGAAGCCGTGTTGGAGATGCAACCCAGGCAGTATTCAATAGTGTGAATGGACTGGTGAAGGAGGCTATCGGCCAAGTCAAACTGCCAAAAGCATACAGTACTAATACAGTAATTAAAAGTCTCAGGTTTCAGGTTTCACTGAATAAATAAAAGAATTCATTCCAAATTTATAAACATATCAAATGGAAATCTTACGATTGATTGAGATATGCTATACAATACTGTATAAACTATGTTCTTCAAATACATTCTGTTTTATAAATTCATAGATTACTATACCAGAGGCTTCAATTGTTCATTTCTTTTCCACTCAATAAGGGCAACGTGAAAAATATAATAAAAGCATTATTAATCTTTGCAGCCAATACCATAGCCAAATATATATTTTCAATATGTGCAAAATCAATACATCTATGGCAAAGCCCACACATTTGAGTCAGGTTCACAAATTTCACTTTTTAAACATAAATAAATAAATAAATAATAAATGACCAAATTTATTTTCTATAATTACTACACAAAATATACAGACTGTGCCTAGGCCCTGATTTTGCAATATCAGCAATCAATTAATATTTTGAGGAATTCTGTAAACAACATAAAAATGTATTTAAATGAGCTTTGATTTCTGACCTGTTTTGGAAGGGGTTCTCTGCTGAATATTTCCTCTGTTCCTTCCTCTTCATCCTCTTCATCATAGGTAGGTGCAGAAGTGTCATCTTCACTCACACGTCGTACCCTTTCATATCCCTTAAGCGAAACAAGTCACTTTAGTTGTTACAGAGGACCTTATCTTACTAATTATGCTATTTTTCCCAGAATGAAACGGCAATAAAATGTATATGTTCTTACCCTGCGTCGCCGCAGACCTTTGCCTCCTCGATATAGCCAAAACAAGTAAATAGGTTTTCCCAAAAGCAATACAGGGATGGACAACATGGCTACAGTTATGAGAAAGATTTGTAATGCAGTCTATAAAAACAGAACAATGCATTAAAAAAAGCAATAACAATAGATCCTAAGAATCATGCTCTCCCATTCACACACCTGCCCAGGGTATAGAGGTGTGACATCTTTTCCTTGCATGACAAACATATTAATAAAGTGAATAAGAATGCTGGGGGCTTGACTCGAATCACGTGCACCAAATGCTATCCACTTATATATAATCATGAAGACCAGGTAGCCAAAAAGACAGAGCAAAAAGAGCAGCTCGGGAAGGAAGAGTAGATAGACATTAAACTTCTGTCGAAAGTGCCTGAAGAGAAAGAAAATGTGTGTGTGTATAAGAAACAATGAAATGTTTTAAATGGTTGCTCCTTTACTCACAAGTGGTTGAAAACACTTAATACTACACCAAATGTCATGTGTATCACCCCAATGATCACAGACATCTTCATTTTATAAGAGTTTAGGAAGGAGAGTCGATTCACAGCCAAATTCCATATCTGTTGGATACATGTTGGAACAAACAGTGTAACTTCAAAATAATATGCAAGTTGTTCAGGATGTATTACTTTGCTGCTTACAGGATCAATTCCCAAAGGATAAGGTCCAGTGAAAACTCCGCTGACATTTGGATCTAACATAAGCACGGCATTAGCTTGGAGTGTTTTGTTCCTGTAATAGACAAAATATGGAAATCAAATTAATTTATGAGAATATTAGATGTGAAAGATGTTTTCATTTCAAGAATGTTTTATAAAAAGTACTTTAAAAAAATTCCAAATATAATTTTCTGGTTTCTGTTGTAATTTAATCAATTACTATTATTATTTCTAAAGAAATTACTTGAAAAACATGCATTCTTTCTGTGAGTTGGTATGCCCTTGACAGATTTGAACTGTGTCGCCTGCTTGTCTCCATGGACCACATGCGGGTGGTGGAATCTAAACCAGAATACTGGTGCACCTTTAATTCTTTACCAAAGAAGAACGTGTGTTTCAAATACTCACGTCCAGTGCTGATTTGTGAACATAGCCTTGACACTCCAACAGGACCCAAAAATGTTAAGAGATTTAGAGAAGCAGTCATTATAGATTAGCCCAGTATATACCGAAAAAAGACCCATCATTAGGATGATGTAACGACCATTAAAAAATGTCATCCATATCTGAAAAGGCCAGAGGCACCATTATCTCCAACTACAGAACATTCACAAATGTTATGCTGTGCTTTATGGAGCAGCAGTAAGAGAAGCAAACCTCATTACTGGAACGCTTTTTCTTGTGAGATTTTTCTGTGAGCACCATCCATAAAGCAAACAGACTCATTACAGCACCATGCCCAAGGTCACCAAACATCACAGCAAACAGAAAAGGGAAGGTGATGATTGTGTATGGAGCTGCAAACAAAACATTGCATTCAATGACACAGTAATGAATTAATGGTTGACTAAATTAGTTCACAAAGCAAGACTTCTTACCTGGGCTTACCTCGCGATAGTCTCCGACCCCATAAGCCTCCACTATGCTTTGAAATCCAGAGGTGAATTTGTTTGTTCTTACAAGAGTAGGGGGAGTGTCTGTGCTTGGGATGCGATTCACAAAAGATGGTACTGTAGCATCACCTTTTCTCTAAGCACATAAAGAAAACACACTATGTCGCGTGTTTTTGAGTAGTAAAAAAAAGTATTCACATTTTATGGACACTCACTGAGCCTTCCTCTAGCGCCACACGAAGGTTGGTGAGATCACTAACAGGACACCAAACCTCAGCAATGAGACACTTGTTGGTGACATCAAAGCTGCAGAGGTTCAGTATGTGGTAAATTGCCTTCATCTTTTTGACCTGTACAACCCAGGAGAAGGCAGACTCTGAGGCTTTCTGCAATACCTGCCTCAGATAGTCCTCTGTCCGATGTAAAACCTGTGATAAAGAGTCAACAAACTGTCTTATGCTATTTATATGGGCAGTAATTAATGCCATCTAAACACACATTATTAAGGTCTTGTATTCGTGTTCTCAAGCTGTCCAACACATCAGCCCTCTCCTCGTCATTCTCCGGGTGTGGATAAAGATGGCAGTGGTAACTGTGACAGAGAGGTTTTTTTTAATAATATAAAAAAGTTAACTCAAAATTATGTGTTAGTGTGTTTACCTACCAATCACATATCTTTTGCACTTTCTGTCCAATCTGATCACCCCAGAAAGAGATTAGGAACACAACACTTTCACTTATTTCTCCCTGTAAAAACATGTAGGTTATTACACTGATGGGTGTTGAGATACTGATAAAACCTAAGGTAGTTGGAAAATGTAAAGCAGGTAAGCAAATTCTCTAGTCTGACTCCCAGTATGCCAAGCTATTTATGCTACTCCAAAACATTTAAAGCAAGATATATGAAACATTTCTTAAATGTTCAAGACTTTAGGTCATTTATTCAGTCTATAAATTTTGTGTTTAAAGAAATGTAATCCAGTCAGCTCACTGTGTCGAGATCAGTAAGAATTTCATCCACTTCTGCGTAGCTTAGAATAGTATAACCCTTGCAGACTCTCCAGAGCATTCTCTCAAAGGCCTCCACCTTCACTCGCTGTATGAGACCTGAAACAAACCTTCAACCAGTCCACATGTCATTAGTATCCTAATAGTCCTAATGGTTTCTAATAATCCATGAAACCGCTCACCCCAGTTTGGCTCCTAGCCTCTGCATGCCAGTGCAGCCTGTCACAGAGTCTGTCTCCATAGTGGGGAATTCTTCATACTGGGGACCAAGAGCCTCATGCTAATTATAAAAAGGAATATGTTTCATTCATGGCAGCTTATTTGAACTTACTCCATAAAAGGCTCTATGAGAAACATAGAAAGAGACTTTATCTCACAAATTTCTATATATGTGGTAACAGAATGAGAATTTTGGCTCTGAGGTGGAATGCTACAACTGTATCTTGTCATCTGGCTTCACTTTTCACCATCAATCACTCACCATATTCATACACATGCAAGGTGTTTTGCTCAAGGACACAATGACAGTATGCACTTGAACTGCATTTCTATATAGTGCAGCTTTAATACACTCCTCCAATTGGTCAGTCTCTGGCTTGCTCTGAGTGAGTGACACTGTCAGAAAAAGCTTTTATTTACTTAAAGTAATATAAAGTTAAATGATCCCTGATAAAAAATGTGATCTAGACATAATCCGCCCATCCCCTGTCAGATGTGTCATTAATTAAACCATGCCTCCACCTCAGTCACTTAAGGAAATAAAATGTGTCAGTGACAAGAAAACATCATGTTGCTTCAGAAAGGGAGGTAATGACATGAAAACAGTGCTATAATGATAGGCTACTAAAGCAAACAAATTAAATATTTAATTACTGGTATATTCATTATTCATATATGACATTTGTTTCATAACAATCTAAGAGTGTAGTCTTTTTACTAAGTTCTACAACTTTTACCACAAGTTTTAGGCAGCTATCACAGAGTTTAATGAACAGACTCAAACTTACTCTGGAACGGCTATGGATAAAGGTACGTGTGATCTTCAGCATGTGTGTGTATTCTGTCAGCTCCAACAAGTTCCTCTGCAGCTTCTCTTTGTTCCTGGCCACTTCACTCAGCTCCATCTCCAGCCTCTGAAGCTGTTCCTGAAAGCATCACACATAGGCACTCTATTTTCAGTCTTAGTTTAGTACATTCACATCATTACACACATTATTATTACATGTTGCAGTAGCACAGAGGGGGTACATGTGTATGTCTTGGTGCATACTTACTCCTTACACTTTTTTGTGTGCAAATAAAAAAATATTCAATTTAAACTGAAGTTTGTTACTTTAATTAATTCAATGCAGAGAGCTTTTGTGGATCCAGTCAAGTGCTTGATATAGAATAACTTACCATTATCTCCAGGACTTGTCTTGGAGGTGGAGCTATCGGACAGTCATCTTCTCGTGGTACTGCTATGTTGGCCTTTTGGATCTCTCGCAGAAGAAAGCCTTGTTCAAAGTTAACACACAACAGTCAGGTGTTTAAAAAAATTACATGTTATCATCATATTCATGAGCTATGTCTTACCCAGAATCCTCTCCATTTCTTCGCATCTCTTGATTTCGCTGACAAAGCGCCGTTGGAACGAACTGACACTTGGGTTCAGCTGAAAGCCGAGCAGGTGAGAAAAAAAATAACAGGTCATCTGATAAATCGATGCTTTAATCGCCACTCTAAAAGAGGTGCTGTGCATTGTGACAATGTCATATGCTATCAAAGCTAATAATAAAAAAATATATATATATAAATAATGTAGCCTTTATACTAAAAAAAATAAAATAAAAAATAATATGTATATATGTATATATATATATATATATATATATATATATATATATATATATATATATATATATATATATATATATATATATATATATATATATATATATATATATATATATATATATATATATATATAATATATATAATATATGTATGTAAATTGTCAAAGCAATAGAGGTGTAAGCGATGTTGAAAGATCACGTAAGCTATTGAAAAACTGTATTTTTGTCGTCATTATAAGAAGTGTGAAATAACTAGTTACATCTCTGAACTCGACCAGCCCCAGTTCTCCGAGCGCACTGATGCAGTCATACTCAGAGCCAGACTGCAGGAACAACTGCGCCAGGCACATCTCCTCGCTCCGAAACACCATGTTTATGAGCGGATGGTGCTCCTCTTCTGCCTCGTTATCTGTCTGCAGCCACCTCAACCTCCCAAGCAGTCGTCACTACCAGTCAAAACAGGACATCACATTTAACGTAGTGCTGTCGATCTTTATACTCATGTAAACCAATAAAATCCCCCTGAGGATTAATTATTTTCTCATGAGGAGCGAGCTCCATTCTGTCTGTAGATTCCACATCATATTATTCCCCGGAGACCCCTTTTCTCATAGGTCAGCCACATGAAAACAAAAGAGACAAACCTCCCTATAGTAGCACCTTCTGCATCGAGCGGTGATAAGCGTCATCCTGCAGGAGCTAGACACCTGTGATAACAAGACAAAAACGCGACCAGAGAAGAACTAACATGTAACTAAAAAGATAAATCATCAATCCGCTATTTCAACAAACTATGCTAAAGGCAGCCCACACCACGTTAAATATTACTGAGTTGGAATTAGGCTACGGCCTGTATTCTCTAACGTCACCCGGCAATTGACACAGATTGCGTCTATGGGTTGCCAGATCCGTGGAAGTATAGTCTGGAGTATTGGGATTCCACGTGTCCATCACCATTAGAGGAGATAAAAGATTTCACTTATGTTTGTTAATGATCATAGTTTGTGAATTTTACCTTAAGTCTCTGCCTGGTCTATAAATATTTTATTCCTTTTCTTATTACAGTGGAAGATTAAGTAATTTAAGATTATAATTTAAGATTAATGGTATTTGAAAATACTTTAGACAAATAGTTGATTTCTAAAATAGGGACACTTATAAAATGATGGGTACTAGAACAACATGCTATAAAATACGTTAATTGCAGGAGGACTACCATGGAACATGCTTTTACAGCTCGACGATGAATACGGTCAACCTGGCAACCAGCGCATCTTCGCTTTCATCACCGAAAACAAGCCAATCATCTGCTTCCCTTTGTCTTGTATTAATTTAGGTAGTTTTCATGATAGTTTTATGCAGATTTCCTATTCATATTTTACCAACCACACAAACCACAAATCAGCAGCAATGTCAATAGTTTAATTACTGAGACGTAAAATACAAACAATTAAATACAAAATAAATACATTCACTCAATACTGATACATAAACATGTACACACAATAGAGTCTATGCTTGTATAGTTTGCTATGAAACTAATGCCTTTGTTCCTAACATTTTAATTGTCTCTCCTCTGAAACCCTTTAATTATGTTTTAAGACTTTGGGCCAGGCTGTTCAGCGCCTGGGACAGAGCAGTTACAGTATCTAGGATGCGCTGCCTATCCTTCTCTACCAGCCGAGTAGCACATCTTTGAGTAAACTTGTCTGGATGCCAAAGAGTCTGTTGTTTCTTAAGAACTTTACGAAAGGCAGCTGTATCTTTCCTGTCAACACCGTGTAACATAACATCAACCATCTCTTGAACAGTGCCTTGTGGGGCTGGCCAGGGGATGTCGCTATAGCACAGCTTAGTGTCAGCTTTGGAGGAGGAAGCCTCAAAAGTTGCTGCACAGCGTTCTTCATAGCGTCGTTTCTTGCCTTGTTGCACTTCATCCTCTTTTCGAGTGGCCTGAGACAAATACTCCTCATGATCCCTCTGCAGCCTCTTAAGATGTTCTTTGTGACTTTTCTCCTCTTGCTGCCTCTCTTCTTTAGTTTTTCTTCTTTTTGATCTTGAACATGATGCTGCAAGTCTTTGAGCTTCAGCATGCTTTTTGTCAAAATATTCTTTTCTGATACGGTCTGCCCAGTCTCCAAAATCTTCATCTTCTTCATCAACAGGAAGAAAGTCATCGGCTGTTGAATAATAAACATAATGTTCAAAAATTAACTCATAATGTCTTTTTTTTTTTCAAGAAATTGTAATTTACCATCATATACACCAAAGGTTTCAAAGAATTCATCTTCACATTCATCAAACAGCTTCTCCATCCATTCTTTCTCTGGATCTTTTGCCGTCTGATGGCTGGTGCTAGCATTTGGCTTAAAAATATTACACAAATAAATTAGTCTTAAATGGCACCTTTCCAAACTCTCAAAGTCCCTTTACCAGGCCAGGTGTCACTGGCCCTGCTTAGCTTCCGACAAACTTTGGAAAAAAGCCCAGAAATGTACATTACCAACATTAATCACATACCTCTGAGTGTTTCATCCATTTGAGAAGATCCTCTGGTGTAACTCCTGCTCTATTGGGAACATACATGGCTTCTGGACAGTTCCTCTGCAGAGGCAGGACTAGATCGTCATAGGCTGGACACAATAATAATGTGAGAAATAAAAAAAAGCACCTGAAAGTGTTTTCAAGACAAAATTCTCCCTGGGAAATAAGGTGATTTCTGATATTTAAGTTAACTTAGATTTTCTTATTACCAGTTTTCCCGTACTTCAGTGTTCTGTTGGCAGCGACGTGTAAAGCTGTATCTCCTTTACGATCCTTTAGCAAAACTCCAGCGCCATGTCTGAGAAGCAGTCGTAGAACAGCGTCATTCCCCCGGCAGCAGGCCAGGTGCAGCGGACTCCTCTGCCTGCGGCCCTGGGAGAAGTTTATGTCCACCTCGCAGTGCTTCTTGAGGTATGACTTCAGCTTCAGCAGGCTACCCTCCTCTACGTATTTCCATACTCGCTTTTGTCTACGGGAAATCATAAATCTACAAACCTGAGCAGAAAACAAAAAGAACTTAAGATTGTTGTTGTGTTAGCAGGTTAGCGTACTAGTACTCATTCTATTACAGTCCTTCCTATGAATAGTCCCCGGAGTACAAAGACAGCATGTTTATAGTTCCCCGCTTAATGTTCCTGCGCGTCACTAAGCGTCGCTGTTGGCTTGTGAAAGCTCTTATTTTAATATAAGGACGACATTGACAGGCTCTTCAAATATGTACTACGCCTGTATGTTAAACAATTATAGTAATATAATCAACGACGTTTAGTATGGTTCTGTGACTGTCATTGAATAGATGCTGTGAAATGTAAACCCATATATTTAGGTGACAAAAGAAGACTGGGCAAAAGTTAATTTGTTCTAATACCTTTCGCAGCTCATCCAAGCTGCTTCTTCAGCTCTGGCCAGTGTCCACCAGCATTTTGACCAGAACGGAAGAAGCAGTATTCGACCAAACAAGCTAAACTTTTGTGCAGTTGATTAATTTAATTTCTTATACACACCATAGAGTTAGAAATGTGTTTTTGTTGAATTTTTTAAAATTTTTTATTTAAGCATACTTTTTTTTTTTTTTTTTAATCTTTGTCAAGCTGCATATTCTCCCATGAGCTACTATTATTTGAATTTGCAGTTTATGTTAATACTTACTGTGAGAAGAAAGTATGGTAACATAGCCTGATGCCATACAGATGTAGGCATATTAATGTTGGTTATAGTCCTGTAATCTAATTGAGGTTAAACCATTATCTACCACTTATTATCTGCAGACTTCTCTTCTGTATGTGTGTGTGTCTGTGTGTGTTTGCAATCAAAAGATGTAATATTTACCTGTGCTGCTTAAAATGTGTGCAGCTGAGCTTCTGAACTGGCCCAGGCCCCTCTGAATGACAGAGCATCTATTTAGTTCCTACTAGCTGATAGAAGAGGCAATGAACAGACACTTTGTGTAGTGCTAAAAGGACGGTCCACCCTGAACAAGTCCAGATCCGGAGTAGCCCAAAGCTTGGACACTTCCGCTCTTTTGGCTTTCGGAAACTACGTGTCTTCAATAATGATGGGTGCCTTGTGTGAAAGCTTTTGAAACATCTGCTATTTCAGAATATGGACAACACCTAATTTTACTTATTCATTTCATATGACTATTAGCAACCCATAACACTAAAGCTTGCAGGTCCAGGTCAAGAACATCTCTTTGGTAGAACCTTAAATCAAGAAGTACATTTTTAAGACCGGATATTCAGTCCATCAGTCAGAAACCATTACCTTGCCCACCAGTGTCTTTCCTGCTTGGCCCACTGGCTCTATCCTCTTGGGACCCTCCAGGAGTTGTGTGAGGAGAGTGAGCTGCAGGAAGCTGAGGGTCCTTCAAGACACAGTAAAGGTCAATCTCTCATCCTCTCACCGCCACAGAGAAATTAGGCCTAGGTCCGGTTTGCTGGCTGACTCTCCATTGTTTACACCAAACAGAAATGCTTGCACACTTCCTCTGTCTATTTTCTGCCTGACCTGGTTTATAAAGATTGGATTTATGAGCCTGGACCTGACTGCCAAACAGTGGCTGGGCCATCAGTCACCCATTCATATGACAATAATGGTGAGCACTCCTTGAAACCTGCATTCTCCTCTGATCTCCACTGTTGAGTAAGATGGCCTTATAAGTAGCTGGACTTAAACAGTAGAACAACTAAAAAAAACTAGAGATCCATTCATATGGGGTTTTTCATTGTCAGTAGCATATTTAATTTTTTAAAATCCAGAGCGGCATATGGGCTATAAGCTCTGCTAATGGTTTAAGGCCTGTTACTTATAGCGAGCAGTGTAGTTGAAATTGGTCTAAACACTAAAAAGTGCAAATATTGGCCTTTTATATCGGCCAAAGCGTTGGCATTTATTGGTCTGTCTACAGAATTCAGAAATTGCTTTTTGTCTTAAGATGGCAAACAACAGGGCATAACTTGCCAAAGCAAGAGCAAAAAGTATTTGTAGAAACTACTATTGAAACTGTAAGACATAATATCTGATTTATAATTTGAATTTAATTTTAATAGAAGGACAAAACATTAAATAATGGCTCAAACCTGACATATCAAAGGCAAAAATGAGAAATAGATATATGTAAAGCTTTTGTCACTTGTTTTAGACTTTGCTATTGGTTTGTCAGGTTACACATAGTCAAGAAGGTAAAAAAAAAGATTTCTTTGCTTGTTGTTTTCAACTAGGCCACCATCCGGCAAAACTGCTTCTGTGTTCTGTTTTGAGTTCTGAATATATTCTGTGAAACCCCTTTGAGCAAAAAACACACTGCTCCAAAGGCTTTAAAACAGAGCTATCCATGGCAACTGTGAAAGCGAAATAAAAATGCCTTTATAAACCATAAAAATCTCACTAAAATAATCTGCCCAGATTTGCTTTCATCTTGCACAGAGACTTGGAGACAGGTGAAGGATATACTATACTGTGACGTAAAAAATAGCCACTCAGGGAATGTTAAATGTATGTTGCCTGTCAAATAAAAAAATTACTGTTTGCAACAAAGACTTACAATGAATGATTTCAAGGTATAGTTTTGCCAAATAATTTAGCCTAAAGGTTAAAAACAGGCTATTTTGAACAGTTTTGAGTATGTACCTCTTAAGTTTTTAAAATGTTTCTATTCTTAATTTCCTAGGCTCCAAGATGTTTTGAACAAAGGCCTGAGTGAATGTGTGTGTGTCTGTTGTCAGCAGAGATTAAAGAGCTGAGATGGCGATGAAGGAGCACAAATGACTGTTGCTGCAGCTGTTGGATTTATTTTTTACAGTGTCTGAAAGATTTTCAAATATCCCCATGCGAAAGATATGATAAAGGCCAAGACAAATAACACTGTGCTGTTAGTTGATTGTAACTTATTAAGGCTAAGCCTAACAGTTATCATCACAGGTCTTTCTCCACAAAGGCTCGTAGTCAGCTTCAAGTAGAAATCATTGTCTAGGATTAGTCCAATCCCTCTGTCTCCTGCTGTTGCTGATTAGGACCTTAAAAAGCTCATTACAGTGAAGTTAGTTAATCGCATGATTCAAGATGGTGCCATTGTCTTTAAGCACTATCTGCAGAAGGTTAGCACCTGGCTAAAAGAAAAATTCAAAGAAAAACAGCTAATTAATAGTTCTGTGTGTTAAATTTGTTTCACCAAAGTTCAAGATAAGTTTTAGGTGGTCATTAAAAGGGACTGTGCTTTCACTGTACAAATAGACTAGAAATAGCCTACAAACAAATTTTTTTCCCATTGTAAATCTGGATACAAATATACAAACTGTAACAAGGTTATTTTACTGTTTGTCTATTGCTATTTTCTTCATTTTTAAATATGCTTTTTTCATGAAAGCCGAAACAAACACTGTTGACTGAGGGAAACAGAGGTCCAGTGTGCATTTCCTGCAGACATGTGCTTTGATTTCAGTGCTGCACAACACAATGGGAGACTGACGGACTCCCCTCAGCATTGCTCTAACAGGAAAGGGGACATTCATTGCACAGGAGAAAATACATTCCAACAAGACATAAGAGAATAGACGGGAAGAAACCATTTTTTTAAATCACCTTTTTATTACAAAATCAAAAACGCAGTCATGTGTATTGACAAAATGCTTGACATAAAGAACAGTTCATTGTTTGCTCTGACTCATTCATTCCTTCACACTCACACAAACTGTCAGAATAGTCACATTGTTAATTGGAGCCTTGAGCAGTAGCAGCCTGTAGCCATTTGTCAGCTGCCATCTGTCTGTCTGCCTGGAACCCCCATCTTTGCTTACAACACTTTTTATCAGACCCCAACACCTCTCGTCGACTGGCACACCCTTCCTACACCCTACACTCACACACAAACACACAGTCAAAGGCTGCCAGCTGTGGACACAAGAACCAGAAAGCGGGCGGGAGATCAAACACCTCAAGTGCTTACTATTGAAAGCCAGATCTGTGATTGCACACGTTCTCCTCACAGTGGCTTGGTTTTCACAAATAAAGGTTGCAGGTCAAGGCCACAAACACAATATATGATAATTCTTAGTCCACTTTTCAAGATTGCTTTGTGCTTGGTCCTTTCTGTTCCAAACCCATCCCTGCTACATAACAGAGAGGCATCTGTGGTCGTATTCTGAAACCACAAGCCTGTCTGGGTGCTTGTTACCCTGAAACTGCAGACGACTTCAGGGGCAAGTTCTGCATTGTTTTGCATATGTCTCTAGTGTCTCTCTGTGACTAAGTATTGGTCACACCTTAGTTGCTAGAGACTGGGCTTCAGTCTTCTGAGAGGACAGAGAACCAGCTGGACTAGCATGTAAGGACTTCTTGAGGTTGAGTAGGCAGAGGCACTGGGATCTGAAGCGCAGGTCAAAGAAGGCATAGAGGAAAGGGTTGAGGCAGCTGTTGACATAGGCCAAGCAGGTGGCGTAGGGGTGAGCCAGGAGGAGGAACCGCAGGAAGGAGCAGGTAGCAGGGGCCAAATCCAGGTAGGACAGGGCGTCTGCACTCTTCAAGACATGGAAGGGCATCCAGCAAGCAGCAAAAACCACCACTAAAGTTGTGATGATCTTCAAGAGGCGACGTTTCCGCTGGTCCTCCTTGCGGAGAGTGTTGAAGTGGCGTGTAACAGTGCATCCAATGAAGCAGTAGCAGACCATCATAGCCAAGAATGGTAGTAGAAAGCCCAGGGCAGAGGATGAGATGCTGAGTCCAGCCACCCACAGGTTTTCCTGCCCCTTAGACGAGATCACCTGGCTGAAGTCCATGCCACAGGAGGTCTTGTTACTGGTGTGGTCGAACTTGGTAGTGCGGAACACCAGAGTGGGAGCAGCGAGGAGGCCAGAGAGGAGCCATATGGCTTTGAGAGAGGAGCGCACATGACCTCGGGTGTGAAGCTGAGTAGTGGACAGCGAGTGCACGATGGCAAGGTAGCGGTCGAAACTCATGCAGGTGAGGCAGAAGACGCTAGCGTACATGTTAAGGAGTACCACATAGCTGCTGATCTTACACAGGGCTACTCCAAAGGGCCAGTGGTAGCCCATGGCAGTGTAGACGGCCCACAGCGGAAGGGTGACCACGAAGGTGAGGTCAGCCAGTGCCAGATTCCCAATATAGACATCAGCAGCACGCCGTTTGCCCTGGGCTCGCCACACGGTGAAGATGACTACTCCATTCCCAGAGAGGCCTAGGATGAAGATGAGCATGTACAGCACAGGGATGACTGAGTAGGAGGGAGTCCATTCGGAGTAGTCACACATGGTGGCGTTCTCTTCCTCATCATAGTCATAGTAGTCATAAGAGCTGGACGTTGCTTCCAAATCCATCTTAAGACTTGTTTGCAGCAGATAGATCCAAAGTTAAGGAGAGACTGAGGACTGTTGCTGCATCAGAAATGTGCTTAGGCTTTAAATACCCCCATGAGCTGTGCCCTCCCCTTCACACCCCCGTGCCCCCTGACAGCCCCCTCCCTGGGCCCGCCCACTAACAGGAACATGTCTCTACTGCAACAACACACCCCCTTATCCTCCATTCATTCAACTTCATTAAGATTTGTTGGCAGTAGGAAGACTTTAATTAGATTTTATTGGGTTTAAATGAAAAATGTACTTATACTGCGCTTATTTCAATGTGTTCTCAAGTTTGTACACAAATATATTCGATATACCCAAAAGGAGGTGATTGGAGGCAAGAAAATATGAATCAGTGCAATTAAGGTGCTTGAAATCAGGGCTTTGTTTTGGGTGTACAAAAACTAATATAATATATATGGTAATATATCCTTAGGTTATCTAAATATGTCTACAATGAATGTTCTGGGCTCTGAGTCTGGTCTGGGCATAACACACTTCACTAAGTGGTCAATTATAATATCAATTAACAATGATTCAACAGTGCTCTCTGTTTGGGCTTCCATACCTGCACATGTTCAAACATGTCAGACTTACTCAAACACACCACTGACCAAAGGCATTTCATTGAAAATATTCTATGTCGATGCACGGTGTTATCTGTCAACAACATGCAAAGTGAAACTTGTGACTAATTCTGTATCTAAAGCAAATGCACTTCTGGGATATGACATATTAGTCATTATTAGTGTGCCATTACTCCTTATAAATTACATTATTTATTCGTATGCCACAGCCATACACTTTATAACTAGAATAATTTTTTTTTTTTTAGAATAGAAATTCCTACATTGATTTATTTTTCCAGATTATGTAGCATAATATATAGGGAGGCTCTTATAGTAGTTGTTTCACATTACATTGCATGTCACTGAAAGCATGTGCACCACTTTACGAAGCTGTAAAGCTAAGTATGTGTGTCGAGGGTGCAGTGTGGGCGCATCTGTTGGCCCAGGTGGGACAGCTCACTCACAGGCTGGCCCCATCTCTCACCAGGGCAACTGCAGAGGGGCAGAGGGGCAGAGGGGCAGAGGGGCAGAAGGGCAGTGGCGCCACACATCAGGCTTTAGACACAACTACAGTATCACTCAGCAATCCTTCCGTCCAGTCTGTTCTGTTTCAGTCAGCTCATCTCCGCTTCCCCACTCATTATTGGGCTAATTCACTCCCTTCGTCCCCTCCTCAACAACAAACGTCATTTACCCTGAACAGCAGCCTGTTAACCAATTATTTTGATGTAATCTATAGATATGTGGCAATCGAATTACTGAGCGTGCTTGTATGTGACTATTCCTATGGTTCCATTCAACAGAGATACAAAATGCATTTTGCTTTCCAATGTCAAGACATACATTTTTGTATTATTTTTACTTCTGAACAATTGTGCATTGTTGAGGTTGCCTTTTTAAATTATTTAATACAATTCTGACTTTGTATTATCTGTCAAAATGTTGTGTTTATAAACTAGGCTTATAATATATCTTATCATATTTAAATTTGAACACACTTAAGTACTTTCCATTGACTATGATGTTTCGCCACCCATCTCGTCACCTCAATACAGGACAATGGGCTAAACAGGAAAAAAGTGTAGTGAATCAGTGTGAGCTTCCTATGTGCATGCTGGCACCACTCCGGCCTGTCTTTGGCTGTGTCCGCTGACAGGGACATGAATATATCTGTAAATAACACATCAGGCCAGAAGAATAGGCACATCCGCACACTCACTTTTCCAAAATCCCCTCATTAGTCTCTTCAAGTCTAGATGGAAAATTGTGGATTTCAAAGTGACAACAATTTTGAGCCAGATTGTTCACATTTTAGTGTGAGTGACAGCTTCCAACTGCACTAAGTTATTTAACTCCTCGTTTTGACAAGTGTATTTGCAACATAGAGTATTTTTCCCTTCTAATGAGCCACCTGTGTGTGATGGAGTGTTGTTGTAGTCTGTGTGGCCTTGTAAACCACACACTGTGGAGATGTTTGGGAAGACCTTACTGTTGCTGCACTGTCTTTTATGAGTGACACACTGATACCACATTGAGGACAGAGGAGCAGTGAACAGGGTGGCCCAAGCCCGCAAAAGCACTGTAACGCCGTGTCAAGAATCTAATCTTTCATTTACAAAACAGAAATAACATGAGGCACTAAAAAGACCTTTCAAATATATACAGTACTTCTAATGTCTGTGGTAAAATGTGATGAGTTTTTGGCTTATTATTTGCCTGGTTTGTGAGAAACAGTCTAAACACCCATAAACTGTTCTATATTCAACTGCTCAGGGCCAGGAACATTTGTTCTCTGCACAGTCAGTGAAAGACCCTCCACTGAGAAACACCAGCTATGTGTCCAAGTGTCCGAGTCTCGCACCAGACTCTATGTTTAAAGTTGCTGACAACATGCAACAAGCTGAAGGCCTACACAAATAGATGAGTAAAAAATAAAAGTGACTGACTATGAAGTCTGTTGTGATACATACAGTGTGTGTCTGGGAAGATTTGTGATCTTTGGCTAAAAATGTTCTCAAATTCATTTTTATTTTCTAGAAATCATTTTTTCAATGAATTTTAAAAGTTTTAGTGTCTTTGGTCAGATTTTAAACAAATACATACTCCATACCTATGGACTAAAGACACCATTAAGAACTTGTGAAATTGAAGTTCACTGACTAAATGTGTAATGGTGGATTTACTTTTTACCTTTCTCTGATAAGTTTCTTTTTCTTGAGCACATATTCTGAGTACTTTTCTACTTGATGTGAGTGATACCATGGCAGCAGTGGTCCAGATTCAGAGGTGTCCCTCAGCAGTGACAGAGAGTCTGCCTACATCTTTGATCTCTGTCTGATTCTTGTTTATGGGCCAGGGCAGGCATCTAGGCCCCTGTCAGGAGGCAGCTCGGGTGGAGGTGTGTGCTAACACTTGTGTGAAGTGCCACAGACCACATACATGGGACAGTCCTGCACGGGACAGCCGCTTCCTTCATAATCCACTTGAGATTTGACATGTCTTAGCCAAACTTTAGCTTCTTCACTCAAAACAACAAAACAAAACAAAAACAAAAACACAATAACACAAGTAACACAAAAAACTACTACTTATTTTTGTTGTTGTTGTTGTTGATCCAAAGCATTTCTTCTAAGTTAATATAAAACTGTTTTTAAATTACCATTACAATACAAATGGTAAAATACGACAAAATATATTTTCACTTAAATATATAAACACCAAACCAAGGGTTTTTGACAGTAAACAATCCTGTAATTGAATAAATGCAAAATAGAGAAGTCTATGCCACATCATAGAACATTCCTGATAAAGCAATAACATTTTCATGAGACAAGCAGGTGGTGGACCCTTCACCAGAAAACATACATTCAAATGTTTACATTCAATTAAACAATTCCTATATTATGCAAACTTTACTCTCGTGAACTTTAAGACATGTTATAATGTTATTACCTCCTCAAAAACATACCTGGGGTTATGTTTTCTTTCATTCACACATCTCTGAGTAATTCTTCATGATTAGGCTGCATACATTTCCAAATCTTAAAATTCTTTGTTCCCTCTTGTGTTGTCATGAATTTGTACTTTTCAAGTTATCAAGCTCCTTTTACCTTTAGTTCAGTAGATTAGCAGTTCCAGGGCTGAATTTATTCAAATGATTGGAGTTTAAAAACACAGTGAAGCACTTCTTGTATTACCACATGACATCAGAAGGTGGAACAGTCTGAAAGAAAAACTCAGCCTAAATATGCAGGGTTTATGAGATGAAAATGTGTGAATGAAACAAAACACAACTCCAGCGTAATATGGGCCCTTTAAAAAATAAAATAGCCTATGGTAAAAAATATGACATACATTTAAAGTCAACATTTTGTGGGTGAATATTTTCAGTGTGTTCCTGCAGATTTCTGATACATGTGTTTAGAAAATGACAGTCAGGCTGTCAATTACAGCTCAGGGCAAATGAACTATCATCAGCATTCACTTAACTCTGCTCAGCAATCACATCAAGTCTGACAGGTTGTGATAATTGTGCTTCAGTGTCAGGGCTCACACGTGCAGCTCTGCAGGAAGGCCTGGGACATTTGGGTGTCGTTAGCGCCCCCTGCACCCTTCAAAGGCTAAGCTCAGGTGATTGACACCCGCATGGTAGACACAGAACCATCTATGGGAAAGCTAATGTTGCATGACAGTTTCAGTTACATTTATCTGACAGAATAATTGGGTAAAATAACAGAAAACAATATTATCTGAAAGTGAAAAGGCTCCTCACTGAGGCTTTATCAGAGTAAGATAAGAGTAGTTTGCACATCAAAGACTCATGTTTTGTTACTTTTTAAGAACCTGAATTTCTCTCAACTGTAATCTTGCTTTTAGCATGACTTGAAGCTTGAAAAGTTATAGAATATCTATTTGTTTCCCCCCATAAAAGTCTAACCAAATCTATTGAGGAATTACAAAAAATATATTTTGGGTGATTGCTAACAAAACCAAGGCCTGCTTGCAGACACATTCTAGCTGGGCATAAACATGTAGATGCTACACAATTATCTTATAAGAAACTCTGTAAAAACCAAAATCTATTAATCAGCAAGGACAGCACTCTCACACAGTACACTCAGTGTCACTGCAGCCAAAATGAACATGCCAGGATTATTGCTGCTGGTGGTTTTGAATGACTGCACAAGTTGATAGGGACCAACCCCAACTCGGCCCCGTTTGGTCTCAGACCCCAAAAAACACAGTTTTTAAAAAAAGCTATTTACGAAATTATGTAACTGTAAATATTAAGGCACTGTAACTGCATAAATGGTCAAATAACTCTAAAATTTTACATGGTGTATCCTGACACATGGGGGAAACTAGGAGAAAAATATTCTGGGGCTTGCTACCTTTCTATTGTCAAATATCACCCTCAACATACACCAAAAGAAAAGAAAAAAATG